AGGACCTATGTGTGCTTATGAATCAGTATGGACTACATCAGCAATTAAAACAGTATGGCGCTAAATACATGTGTGATGATATTATTGCAAAATATATAGGTTACGATGAAGTTGACTAATTTGTATGATGTTTCTATTAAAATAAAAGTTTTCTTGGTGAAAAAAATCGTTTGCATTATATTAACCATTGCGCCAATTTATTAAGGATGTGGAAATGAATCTTATCATTCAATTACTAACCATGATGGTGTCAAGTCAATCGTACTATGTTCTCTTGGTTGCCCTTGTGCAAAATAGTTTCTATGTACACAGACCGTACAATGTCCACAAAATGTCAATAATGCTGGACTTTTCCGCACCTAATAATACAACATCGTGGACAGAAATGCATTATGAAGTAATAGATAAGGGCCATTTAGCTGTTTTCACGACTCGTATACCGTCGTCGACGTCATTGGCGTACCTGCGTTACAAGGTGAGGCTGCATTTTCATGATGAAACTGTTGGAGATACCGAATGGAGAACTCTCATCAGCGAACCACAACAGCAAGAAGAAACATACAATAATTCCCATAAGAGTCTATCAGACAACGACATCGCACCGAAATCCACTTTAAATGTAGTCATATTTATTGCCATTTGCTGCGTAATATTATTATCGAATTTAACGTACCATATTGGAAAAAGTCAATGTACCCTATGGTTTAATAAATAAATAGGTTTTAATTTTAAAAAACAAGTGTGACTCATTTAATTCATTAAATTTCCCATAGTTAATCTGCAGTGAAAATATCCTTTTTTTCGTCAACAAAATATTAGATGCAAGTCCCAGCTTGTTATTTGCGCTAGAACGTAAATGCTTATCAGTAAAATAAACTGTGAAATATGATACCTTTGTTTATAACGCTCCGACATTAAGCGTCGTCGACTCAATGGTCTGTAACCTTGAGTTTCACGAATTTTCTTTATTTACCACTACGGCATCCTGTAATAGGACACGTCGCACTACGTACGCTAGATGGCGCCACCGACACACATTGACGTGACCATATAAGTAAAAAATGATATAACGCGTGTACTCCATTTACGCAATGATAGACGTTTGATGCAAAAATGGACGTGACCCAGGGCGCTATGACGTCATCACAGAACCCGAAACGACTCGGAACAATCCCTTCCACGCAAACTCCATATTACAGGAACCTGTAATTCCCCGAACCATAATTAAATATACGTAGCGATTTCGAAACGACTCGGAACAATGCCTTCCACGCAAACTTTATATTACAGGAACCTGTGATTCCCCGAACCATAATTACATATACGTAGCGATTTCGAAACGACTCGGAACAATTCCTTCCACGCAAACTCCATATTACAGGAACCTGTAATTCCCCGAACCATAATTAAATATACGTAGCGATTTCGAAACGACTCGGAACAATCCCTTCCACGCAAACTCCATATTACAGGAACCTGTGATTCCCCGAACCATTCCTGTCGATCAATTGCAAGAATTCACCGCAATAACCCGGTATGACGTCATCACAGGTGACAGATGACGTTTGACAGATGACGTTTGACAGGTGACGTTTGACAAATGACGTTTGACAGGTGACGTTTGACAGGTGACGGTTGACAAGATGGCGGGAAAACATTTCCCCCCACCCCTTTTTCTGGTACCCATAATAAAATCCGGGGGGCCCCTTTTCGGGGGGCGCAGCCCTGCGGGTCCCCTTTTTGGGGGGCGGAGCCCTACGGGTCCCAACTACAGCATCCTGTATTACGAACTTCACACTATGTACGCTAGATGGCGCAATGGCGGTGCATCCACCTTCGTGTCAACGACGGCGCATCCACCACGTGTCAAGAATGAAAGATTGAGGTTATGGTCGGAATTTGATGCTAGAACCCCTGTTGCTGTACTACTCCAATCATCCATAGTGACTAACAGGATTACAAATCTGTAAATTTACTTTATATCAGACAGTTACCAGCAAGTTTATCTCAAGATGAATAAACCGGGCCTAAGATAGAGAACATTAGATGTTAGCGAATACAATTTCAATATAAAAACAGATCTACGAAAAAGTAGTCTGATCCAAATCCATTCAAACATTTAAAATGCTGGAGGATGTTTTCCAGCAGGTCTTTTTTTCCTATACCAACAAAGATCCCAAGCAGCAAAGGATAGTCGTTACGTTATGACATCGATTTTAAATAGATTTACTTCGTTTAACCAAAATTCGACGTCGGAAAGAGGTTGCAAAATATGACTTGTTTGGGACGTCACGTAGTCGACGTTTATTTGACCATTACATGAACCCAACAGGTTCAAAAGTTACCAAGTAAAACCCAATATATCCCATTCAGAAAAAATATTCTGTATTAAGACGTTTTATGAAGCGTCCATTTGACGTCGTTGAAGAGGCGTTTCACTGATATCCAGAGGGCAACTAGATCATGGTTTGATTATTTATTTCTGGTAATTGGTGCCCCCAGGGTCCTTATTCTTGAAACAGGGGAGCAGCTTTCCCAGGAGAACGAGTGTTCCGTCATTGTTACTCATATGATTAGTTCCATATCATTGAGAAAGACGGAACAGTCGTTCTCCTGGGAACGCTGCTCCCCTGTTTCAAGAATAAGGACCCAGGGGAAGCCGTCCACCATAATAAGTTAGGATCCCATTTGTTGCACGATTATATTATCTAGGGTAAGTGTTAGCAGTGAGGCACTACCAAATACCGGCGAGAAATGGTTGAATTATGATTTGCTGTTCGGTGTCAGCTGCACAATGTGATTTCAAGTGAATTCAGCTTAATGGGACTTTAATAGAATAGCTGAATGCTCTTCAACTTTGCCAGGTAAAATTGTTTTGGTGTTTTCCAAGTGATCATGTTCTATATTGTAGCTGAAATGAAATGGTCACGCATCTTAAGAGGAATGAAAAACCTTCAAAAAAAGGTATCAATCACACGGGGTAGTTTCACATATTAGGAAAATCATTAGGGAGCCTAGCTCATGTCAAGGACGTATATAAGGGGGGGGTTTGGGGGTTCAACCCCCCCCCCCATTGAATTGAATAAATTATTTTTTTTAAGAAAAATAAACGTTTTTGGGCGTGGAATCCGAAAAAAATGTTCGCCTTTGGCGATATCCTCCGGTGAATATGCCACTGTAGGGTTGTCACCTCTCCGGGTTTTCGCATATGGTCTCCGGGCTACGGATTACTAGCTGTTTTCTCCGGGTTGGCAACAGCGCAATCCTGTTTCTCCCGGAAAAATTCTGCTAAACGCATGTGTCGTCGTTACCTACGGTCTCCCCCAAGGATAATATACACTACTATCAGGATTGCTCATCAGCCTTGATTTTTGGAATCAAGGTCATACGGATGTACCGTTGGTGACATCATCAACGGCATCGTTAACTGTTTGCGCCAGCGGTCGTAGTTTAGAATATACATTTATGATGAAAAATATTATTTAATTTTGATTAACATAATAGGCAACGAGGAAAGTGCAGACGAGATCTGAAAAGGGTTCTTTTAGAATGGTAGTTAATGTACTAACACAAGTATGCATAAAGCAAAAGCTAGGGTGATGATAGCCTATGGTGCAAGCACCCTACGTCGAAACGAGAATCGACCCGATTCTTACGTCATAACTGGTCCTTTGGCGTGGTGCAGTGGGGGCTTGAGATTTGATCTACACAGGCCTTATGAGGATAGGCTATCCTGTGTAGTGTGTAGTATCCTTGGATCTCCCTCTCCAACCGTCTCAAATAACTCAACTAATCCAAACTAACTTTTTTTTTTCCAGTTCAACTTATTTTCAAAGGTGGCGTACCCTATATGACAGGTAGATCGTCTGATCTAAAATTGAAACCCTTCCCAGACCACGAGCCGCCACTGTTCTAAAACCCCCCCATGAAAAAGCTATAGCTACGTTGTTGGCTCATGTCAAGCCTCCAAGACACGAGGGGTAGGGTTTAGGCAATAAACACACGGTTTTTCCAATGTGCATTTGACACTTTTATGACAGAATTCTGTTGTCTAGAAGAAAGGTAGTCAAAATTACTGGTACTGGGTAGTTATAAGCTGCATTCTACATTACAGAATGCTTTTGGAAAGTCTGAATTGTGTTTTGAACTTTCCAAATGGCTTATTAAAGTCCTAATGTGTTCTGTAGCATTTTAAATGGTTTCCAGTAACTTCATAAACTGAATGAGAAACGAATTCTGTGGGAAATTTTTGTAGAGTACCTACATCTTAAAGACGTCCCTGAAATGTCCACAAACGACATTCAAGACGTCTTGCTTACGTCTTAGGGCAGAATTTATAGTCACTCCCTTGAGGTTTCCTCAGACTTTAAGGAGGCCTTGAACGTTTAGAAATGACGACTAACTTGTCAAATTAGTAGCAAAGTGTCCATTCTAAACATCTAAACTCGCAACCTTCAAAAAAGGCCCAAGGAACGACTATAAATTCGGCCCTTAAAGTCTTGAAGATGTTTGTTACAAAACCCAACTTTCAAGAAAATATAGATAGTTTTTTTGAGTAAATAGTTAAAGTATAATTAGGTGCTTTTTTTATACAGGGTGTTCATTTTCAAACTTTCTCCCTCCCCATTACCTCCTCCCTTTCAACCCTGCTCAGCCACCCCTAGAAAATCTTGAATGGAAAGGGGGAACGTGTTAGATTTTGAAAAGACAACACCCTGTATAATTTTTAAATTTGAATTATCAATGGCGCCAAATAAGTTTAAATAAGTTCCATAAATTTTTTAAATAAAATTATAAAGTTGCTCTGTATCTATATCTAGTCTTATCTATAAATAATATCTATCTAATCTGTATCTATTTAACGAAAAAAAAGTCCCTATTTGATTTTAATATGAAAATATTTTTTATTCCTACAATCTAGCTATCTCTTTCTGGCACACAACTGCTAAGAGCCAAGTGACAGATGTTTCAATTTTTTAGGTTATGTTTTATTTGTTGTTTATATTTGGATGAGCTGAGTTTTCGATTATTGTTTCCCCAATTTTCAACCTTTTCCCTCAATTCCAACCCCCTAAAAACCCTTCAACACTCGCCCAACACCCTCAACCACCATTTCCAATCGAATCTCACTCAAATTCTATTCAGAAAAACATGGAAAACGGGGCTTGTTTGTGCTGCGAAATCAACGTACAATGGCTCAGCAAACAGGGGGCCGTTCAAAGGAAACTGGCAAGTAAACGGGCCAATTTGCGTATATTACGTGCCGACAACAAAGATCTTTTCATTGAAATTGTGGCCGAAAAATCGGGTCCGGTGAAACTCAGATTCGGCAAAGATTCTCAGGTGCACAACAAGTTTATGAAAGAAGGCAAGTCTTCGATCAAGTTTCCCAATGAAAATGTTACTTTGTTTTTGTCCAACGCTCCTCCGGAACAACTGAAATTTTTTTTGAGGTAAGCAAAATATGTATTGTCTATTTACCATGTGTAGTTCAAAGGTACAGGTAAAATGTATCACCTTTCAATACTATTTGATAGGAAAAGGCGAGGGAAAAGGTGATAAATTTTCCTGTACCTTTGGACTACAGATTGTGAATAGAATATATTTTCAAATACTTGAAATTGTTGGAAATTATCTTTGAAAAACACCAAGTGTTTAACCCTCGCCTTAAGTACTGACAGCGGGTCAGCGATGACCCAAAATCTGAGCATGCTTTTTTCATGTGTTTTCGGAATTTCCAACTTTTGTCCTTCAGTTTACTATTTACTTATCTTATGAATAGAAAGTTAATTTTTTGTTTTTTTTTACATAATGAAATTAAAGCATAATATAATAACATGTTTTATTATGATTCCCAAAATGTTATATTCAAAATCACTGAAAAAAAAGGTTTGTATCTGGGTCCATTTTACCCTGTTCTGGGATCCCAAGTTTTAAAATTATTTTGTGGCGGCGAGGGGTTAATCAAAATTCCAAACACACTGTTAATATTCATCTTACTATGAGTTGTAAGTACTCCATCTTGGAAGCAATAACCCAGAAAATTATTACACCATCAATGGGTCAGCACATTTGACAACAATATGCAAAAAAGCCAACAGCAAGTCATTCCTTCTAAAGAATGTCTTCCCAAACACCCCCCAAGAAGCATTTACAAAACTACAACATATACTGCAAATCAATCTTAGAATATGCAGGTCAGGCTTGGCACCCACACTTCATTAGAGATTGCAATAGCTGTAGAGACAAAAGCAACACGATTGCAGCTTGGTAGAAAACGAGGTCTATTTCGAGATTTTGTATCCTAATGGTCAATCAACATACCCCAAACTCCATACTCTAAATTATTCTCAGATTTGAAGCCGTAATCTATAAAAAAAAGCACCCAAAAAAATTGAAAAATTGATAAATCACCCCAAATTGCTTAACGCAATTTTATCCCAGAAACTATAAGTGCAAATGAGCTGAAATTTTTCGGGATTGTAGTCCCTTGATTGGGATAAAATTCAGTGAAAGTTTCAGCTTTCTATCTATAATAGAAAAAAAGTTATAATTTTTCTAAGTTTTCCAAAATCTAAATCATAAGGTAAGGTACTTACCGGGATACTTACCTTCTTACAAAAACGATGAAATTTCAATTTTTTTTTTGTCGAGATTTTGTATCCTACTGGTCAATCAACATACCCCAAACTCCATACACTAAATTATTCTCAGATTTGAAGCCGAAATCTATGAAAAAAAGCACTCAGAAAAATTGAAAAATTGATAAATCACCCCAAATTGCTTAACACGATTTTATCTCAGGAACTATAAGTGCAAATGAGCTGAGATTTTCAGGGATTGTAGTCCCTTGATTGGGATAAAATTCAGTGAAAGTTTCAGCTTTCTATCTATAATAGAAAAAAAGTTATAACTTTTCAAAGTTTTCCAAAATTTAAATCATAAGGTGACCTTCTTACAAAAACGATGAAATTTCAACTCGAATTTCAATTTTTTTATTATCCAGATTTTGTATCCTACTGGTCAATCAACATACCCCAAACTCCATACACTAAATTATTCTCAGATTTGAAGCCGAAATCTATGAAAAAAGGCACTCAGGAAAAATTGAAAATTTGATAAATCACCTCAAATTGCTTAACATGATTTTATCTCAGGAACTATAAGTGCAAATGAGCTGAGATTTTCAGGGATTGTAGTCCCTTGATTGAGATAAAATTCAGTGAAAGTTTCAGCTTTTTATCTATAATAGAAAAAAAGTTATAACTTTTCAAAGTTTTCCAAAATCTAAATCATAAGGTACCTTTTACTGAAACGATGAAATTTCAATTTTTTTTTTGTCAAGATTTTGTATCCTAATGGTCAATCAACATACCCCAAACTCCATACACTAAATTATTCTCAGATTACCTTCTTACTAAAACGATGAAATTTCAATTTTTTTTCTTGTCGAGATTTTGTATCCTAATGGTCAGTCAACATACCATACACTAAATTATTCTCAGGTATTGTAGTCCTTTGATTGGGATAAAATGCAGTGAAAGTTTCAGCTTTCTATCTCTAATAGAAAAAAAGTTATGACCTTTCAAAGTTTTCCAAAATCTAAATCATAAGGTAGGTAGGGGAGGTCCGGCTACAGTGGCCATTTTTTCATATTTTGCCTTCAAACTTTTAGCGTAATATATTTTTTGGATATCTATTTGGCTGGGATTATTTGTTATACTTACAACAATTACCATTCATTGCTAGAGACCATATTTTTGCTTTATTTTCTGAAAAAAATATTTTTTAAAAAATATCTACAGGATGGCCACTGTACCCTCCATGTTGGGTATCAAATCAAATCAAATCAAATCAAAATATGCTTTATTGTCTAAGTAGATAAACTCTTATTGACAAAGCTGAATACTATAAATAGATATTAATATAAAAACAATATACAATAAATTAATAAAATTCACATGCAATCAATAATAATAATAATACTAGTAATACTAACAACAATCCAGGACTCAGAACATGAACAAAAAAAAAATTTTAAATATCGAACACATATTTCTCCCTTTGAATGGAACAATACAAAAAAAAAAAAAAAAAAAAAACCATTACACAGAAGTCGCAAAATTATCCAATAAACTGTGGAGAGCAGGGCAGGTTGAAATAAAAATAAAAAATAAAAACTAAAAACTAAAAAATAAAAAACTGAAAACTCAGGACAAAAACTTATTATTTAAAAGTCATCACAGTAAAATTCATGGAGACTATAATATGGCCTCGACATGAGAAATTGTTTTACACTTTTCTTGAAAAATTTATCATCCATCATCATTCTGTATACCAAAGGAATGTGGTTAAACATTTTTATACTTTCAAATATAATTGAATTTTTGGTAAGTGTCGTCTTAGGAAGAGGCAATGAAAGACCATTGCTACGAGTATTGTAAGGATTTATTGAGGAGCAGTATTTGTGTTTTTTGTGTATCAGACACACTGTCTCCAAGATAAAGATACCTATTACTGTCAAAATCCTTCCATCAACAAATAATGGCTTGCAATGCTCTCTTGCTCTTACCTTAAATAGATAACGCACAGCCCGTTTTTGCAAAACAAGAATTGAGTTCATCAGCTGCTGGGTGCAGAACCCCCAAAACGCTATTCCGTACCTCAAATGAGATTCGATCAGTGAGTAGTAAACAGTTCGAGCCATGGGTAAACCCAATTCCCTGGAAACTATCTTCACTGCAAAACATCCTGTCGCCAGTTTCTTATTCAAAGATTGTACGTGTTCATTAAAATTCAGTTTATCATCAATAAACATGCCTAAAAACCTGACAACAGGTCTGTTTTCTATAAAACTATTTTCAAAATTTAAATTGTCGCAAACAAATTTAAAACTTAGGATGCTAGTCTTTGATATATTGAAACATAAAGAATTTGCCCTACACCACTCATTTACCCTACCCAAATCGTTTTCGATAACCACCCTTAAATCATCAGCCTCTCCTCCATGCCACAAGATTGTTGCATCATCTGCGAATAGTGTGAATTTACCCTGAATGAGGATTTTCGACAAGTCATTGATGTATACAAGGAAAAGGAGTGGTCCGAGGACGGAACCCTGTGGGACGCCAGATTTCAAACTTGACACGTTGGAGCACTGACTCTCCACCTTTACCATTTGCTCTCTATCAGAAAGATATGTTGCCAACCATTCCAAGGCCACCCCCCTTACCCCATATCGTTCTAGCTTACTCAAAAGCACTGCATGATTTACACAGTCAAAGGCTTTGGATAAGTCGCAGAATACAGCCGCTGCGACATCACCATTATTAAGCCTGGTATAAAGGTCTTCCAAGAAGGAAAAAATTGCGTCGTTCGTTCCCTTTGAAGCTTGGAATCCAAATTGACAGTCAGATAGAATTTTGTTGCGTTCAAAATATTCTGTCAATCTGTCAAGGTACAGTGGCCATATCACTGTAATCCACGTAGGGTACAGTGGCCATGTATGTTTGACACTGTTCAGTAACTAGAAATTAACAAGGATATGGGATTGTGAAAAACAAAATACGACCAACTGAAATAATTTTAATTCCACATAATGTCTAAACCAAAAATAGCTAAAAATTGCTAAAAAAAAAGGTATAAAAATATAAGTAAAAGATTAGTTCACATTATAGCAAGACATATCAATGGCAAATCTGTAAGTGGTATTTGTTCTGACTGTTCCCTTGGAAAAATCTGGATCAGGTAAGTGCAATTCTATGTCTTGAAGCAAAACAACACTTATGTCTTCAACTATTGGGAAAACAAACGCATTTCCTTTCTTTCTTAAAAAAATTATTTCAAACTCTTCGTCATTAATTTTTTTTAACACCTTGCCAACGAAATATTTGCATGTCTTTTTAGTAGAAAATTTCACTAAGACAAAAGACTGTGAGCTAATATCATTTAGATCTTTAAAATCCTTCAACTTATCATCAATTTCTTCAAAATAATCAACGTCATCGGAGTCTGTTAAATCAGGTAAGTTTACATTATCTTCCTGAGCACTTGATTAATCGACAGCCTCTTGTAATTTGAGCTTTTTCAGAGTTGGTTGATTTTTATTGCTATTAAAACAGTTGCGCTTCACCTGACCTCTCACCATGGTCACGAGCCCCCTTTTGCTTGAAGTGATTTGGCCCACTTCAAGGCAAGTGGGCCACTTGCCTTTGACCTTTAGTAGCTAGAACCTTTCCGGGATTTTGTACTGTCGTTAACGCTGTTTCATCGACGTTGTAGATCTTCGAGGCATTAAGTTTATGTTTTTCTATAAGCATCTGTAATTTTATAAAAAAAAGTCTCAACCACTGGCTTATTAAAAGCCATAGCCCTTCCTAAGGATGTCGCCTCCGCTGTTCTTATAGAGATGTCTTTGTTTCTCTTTAGGAATCCTGTAGACCAGTCCTTGCCCGCTGTTTGATTCTCACTCCAAGATGTAGGGATATTTTTTCTATTTGCAACGGCTAAGTCATATGCCAATTTACGAGAGTTTTTTGGTGTTAAGCCATGATGTAAATTAGCCATAGTTTTTAAATAATTACATAGAAGCTGCTCCTCTTCACTCGAAAATATTTTTCTTACTGTATAGTTTGGACTCATTCTTGGACAACCCTCTAAATCATGATTATTCCAATTTATTTTTTCCTGGGATGCCCTACATTTATTTATGTATCTATGTAACGTGGTGCGAAGAATATTGTAGTTAATCGCAGCTCTTTTAATAGAAATACCTCCTTCAAAAACGGCATATACTGCATTTTTCATTGACTCTTCACTGGTCTTTCCAATGCCAGTATTTTTGCAATCTCGTCGTGGCATTATTGCAATCCCTGAGAGAAAAAATATAATTATTACTATTTCCAACATTTAAATATTTTTGAGGCAACAGTGGCCACTGGTTTAAAAATTTGAAAACCAGTGGCCACTGTAAACCTAATATCTATGACCACTGTTTCCAAATTACACCCTATCAAAAGTATTAACCTAAAAATATCAAAAGTAAAAATCTTACCTTTTCGGGATTGAAAACACACATTTCAAGGACGTCGCTTATATGTGTTGCAAACCACAATACCAAAAAATAAATTGTTTTTTTTTTAATCGCTTTAAATTGGTCAAAATCGTTACTTTTGGTGGCAAATAAAAGGGAAGGCACGTGGCTTCAGACTGGTTCACAAGAACTGCATCGTCACTTGTTGAAAATAAACACTTGCTGGTGCTCTATACACAAACGAGGTGGCAGTGTTGCCAGATGTTCCATTTAAGTTTTACAAGGAGGTGACCACTGTACCCGCATGGCCACTGTAGCCGGACCTCCCCTACCTTCTTACTAAAACGATGAAATTTCAATTTTTTTTTTTTGTCGAGATTTTGTATCCTAATGGTCAATCAACCTACCTCAAACTCTATACACTAAATTATTCTCAGATTTGAAGCCGAAATCTATGAAAAAAGGCACTCAGAAAAATTGAAAAATTGATAAATCACCCCAAATTGCTTAACACGATTTTACCTCAGGAACTATAACTGCAAATGAGCTGAGATTTTCAAGGATTGTAGTCCCTTGATTGGAATAAACTTCAGTGAAAGTTTCAGCTTTTTATCTCTAATAAAAAAAAGTTATGACCTTTCAAAGTTTTCCAAAATCTAAATCATATGGTGGGTACCTTCTTACTCAAACGATGTAATTTCAAATTTTTTTTTGTCCAAATTTTGTATCCTAATGGTCAATCAACATACCTCAAACTCTATACACTAAATTATTCTCAGATTTGAAGCCGAAATCTATGAAAAGAGGCACTCAGAAAAATTGAAAAATTGATAAATCACCCCAAATTGCTTAACACGATTTTATCTCAGGAACTATAAGTGCAAATGAGCTGATATTTTCAGGGATTGTAGTCTTTTGAAAGAGATAAAATTCAGTGAAAGTTTCAGCTTTCTATCTATAATAGAAAAAAAGTTATGACCTTTCAAAGTTTTCCAAATTCTAAATCTTAAGGTAGGTACCTTCTTACTAAAACGATGAAATTTCGATTTTTTTTTTGTTGTGATTTTGTATCTCAATGGTCAATTAACATACCGCAAACTCCATACACTAAATTATTCTCAGATTTGAAGCCGAAATCTATGAAAAGAGGCACTCAGAAAAATTGAAAAATTGATAAATCACCCCAAATTGCTTAACACGATTTTATCTCAGGAACTAGGGTAGTTATAATCTGTGGAACACATTGTGCCAATATAAGAAAACTCAATACCTACACTAGTTTCAGCTGCACAATCATTTTTGTAATCTCAATTTAATACAAATTAATTCTAGGACATTGTTCATCAAAATGGCCAATGGTAAACCAGCTGGCACCCCAACAACATCTCTAAGAACGCAAGTCTTAACCCACAAACCTAGCCAATATGACGAAATTTCGCCTATAACAAACGGAGAAATGGAAAAGGCAGTCAAAAAAGCTATCGGTAGATCAACTGATACAACCCCTTCGCCTTTGTCGGGCAAAAAACGCAAAATCGAACGTACAAGCTTGGACAAAGCCCCTGCAGCTAAAAAACTCTATGCAAATTCCCCAATACCAATTGAGCAATTAGATATTGAACAAAAAGACGTGCTCAGTGCCTGCCTTGCAGGGCAAAACGTGTTTTTCACCGGTAGCGCAGGCACGGGCAAAAGCTACCTGCTTAGAAAAATAATTGGGGCTTTGCCCCCTGATGTAACAACGGCAACAGCTTCTACTGGAGTGGCAGCTTGTCATATTGGAGGCACCACTTTACATCAGTTTGCAGGAATCGGAGGTGGCGATTTAAGCTTAGAAAGAAGTTTTCAATTAGCCCTAAAGCCTCCAACAGTAACAAATTGGAGAAGATGCAAACATTTGATTATTGATGAAATTTCTATGGTTGATGGAGGGTATTTTGAGAAAATTGAAGCTGTAGCTAGGCACGTGAGGAGAAACGATAAACCGTTTGGTGGGATTCAAGTGATTTTGTGCGGCGACTTTTTTCAATTGCCCCCTGTCACAAAATTTGAGCCCGGACAGAAAAATACTAAAAAATTCTGCTTCCAAACGCAAGCCTGGACGAGTTGCAGGCTTAACACGTTTGAACTGAAACAAGTTCACAGACAAACTGATAACAAATTCATCAGTATTTTGAATAAAATAAGAATCGGTAAGGCGGACGAGGAAGTGATGAACATTTTGAGAGCGACTTCCAAACAGAAAATTGAAAGAGATGGTATTCTGGCAACGAGGCTGTGCTCGCACACTAAAGACGCTGATATTATCAATCAGTCGAAACTTCAAGCTTTGGAAGGAGAATCCAAAATTTTTGAGGCTCAAGATTTGGTTCCGGGGTCTGGTAAGCAATTGGACCAACTGACGCCGGTTCCTGGGACTTTGGAATTGAAAATAGGAGCACAGGTAATTTTTTTTATTTATTCCGGGCTCTTGCAAAATTGATTTCATTATATCACATTTCCTGAGTTTCAGGTGATGCTTTTAAAAAACATCAATGTATCTGCTGGTCTTGTAAACGGAGCCCGTGGAGTAGTGAAAGCCTTCAAAGACAACCTTCCTCTCATACAGTTCAGAAACAAAAAGGAATACTTAGCTCAGAGAGAACAATGGACAATAAAAACCGCCGGTATTTTTTGTTCAAAATATTTCATCATAAAATTATCATAACTTTTTTACAGGTGGAGGCTCTTTGACTAGAAAGCAAGTCCCACTTAAATTAGCATGGGCATTTTCGATACACAAATCTCAAGGCTTGACTTTGGATTGTGTTGAAATGTCTTTAGGAAGGGTATTCGAAGCTGGCCAAGCTTATGTGGCGCTTAGCAGGGCTCAAAATCTAGAAACTTTACGGGTGTTGGATTTTAAGTAATAATTTAATTTAGGTTTTTAAGAGATATTAATTTTTGATTTGATTATTGTAGGTCAGGTCAGGTTTGGGCCAATCCTGATGTACTGTCTTTTTACAAGAATATGGATCAAACTAGAATTATTCCTTTGGGTGCGATCAACAATAAAAAAGTCTTAGGAGCCATGAGGAAGAAATCTACTATAGGGAAATCTAAGCTGATGATGGATAAACCAATCTTGAGTATTTCATAGAGTAATTTTAGTAATTTTAAGGAAGAATTTTTATATTTTATTCGACATTGATTTACTTTTTATTTATATTAATTATACGAGTCTTTCAACAATATTGTGTTTTTTTACTATAAATTAGATAATTATGAATGTCCTATACGATAAAACAGGATTGCATTATGTGTCTGCGGAATAATTTTTGAGATATTGCTTGGTACCTTAAATAAGCTTTTTTGAAGCCCCAATCGAGATCTACAATTGAATGAAATTAATGGTAATAGGCTATGCAGATGATCTGGCCAGGCCATTATAATCAAGGGCAAACATGAAGGCGTAATGACAAGGCGAATGCAAAGTGCCCTGAACATCGTTAAAAATTGGAGCGAAGGCACTTGCATTTTGCATTTAGTCTTCATTTTCAATATTTTACATGTAAACTTAAACTACCTTAGCCTACTGCAATCATAATCCTAAATTCTATGTGCGCCAAAAGGGCACGACCGGTATAATAGGGGTAGTAGTGGCCGGCGATCAATTTGGCATGACTCTTTTCTGGGGTACGCAATGGTGCTCCTTATAGGTCAATTCACAGTTTTGACTTTATATGTCGTGTTTTAAGTTTATAAAGTCCAGTTGTCATTCCATAGTTGCCTTAAGATATTCATGAAGGGAAAATTGAAAAAACCCTTCTTCACGTTTCTTTGGTATATTCTGTATTTAAAGCTTGCGCCAGTTCCCGAGCAGAGCGTTTGTAATTAAATTAGGTGGGCGTGCCATGGGTGGGACCCCCGGCGTTCCAATGGTATTGCTGGTCCTATAGTTATAGTGAACTATTCTAGTGAAAAGTTGCTAATTTAATTACATTTGCTCGTCGCTTCAAGGCGGCTCGAAATATTTTGGCAACCTATGGTGTATGGGTCGGTGTCTGGTAGGTGTTTAACGGGGTTGTGTCGGTCAAACTTTAGGGTGGCAAGGTTTCTGGTCAGGGTGGGTCCGTTTGCGGAACGATTGAAGAATTTGATTGAGACTTCATTGAAGTCTTCGAGGATGGTGTTTAAACCAGCAAGTCAATGCACTTCAGTTGTTCGGGTGTCCATTGGCAAGGAAAGCGCGTTTTTTAGAATCTTATTATGGAATACTTGGAGCTTTTTCTTCTCGGTGTTGGATATGAAGCTCCAAGCAGGTGCTCCGTAGAGTAAAGTTGGACGTATTATGGTCTTGTAGATGCTGATTTTGTTTTTAGGGCTCAGAAAAGAATTGATCTTCATGATGGGAGACAGAAGACGCTCGGCGATCTGTGCCTTTCTGAGGGTATGTGCTACCTGGGGGTGGCCCTTGAGGGTCTTGTCAAGGACTATTCCCAGGTACTTGGCATTGCGGTTGTGGGTTCAATTATGACGTTGTTAATCGTCAGAGGAGGGTTCATGATAATGTTTGTACGCTTCCTGGTAAGCGCAAGAAGTTCTGTTTTAGAGGTGTTGAGGGTGATTTTCCAGGTCTGTAGGTAGGGAGCTAAGAGGTCGATGTGTCGATCCAGCGCCCTTCTCGCGTCTTCTGCTAGAAAGCCTCTAGTGTAGATTAGATTGCAGTATCGTCGGCATACATCATGACTTTAGTGTCATTGGTTTTAGGTATGTCGGCGATATACAAGTTAAATAGGGTTGGGGAGACGACGGTGCCCTGGGGCACTCCGACCCGAATCGGTTTTTTTGGGGACAGAGAGTTTTGGAATATGATGTTGAATGTTCTGTCACTGAGGTAAGAGCTCGGGTAAGGGGCAATAAGAGAAATTAGATGTAAGTTGTAAGTTGTGTACAGTGAGAAGTTTGTAGAGAAGGCCTTTGTGCCATACTTTGTCAAAGGCCTTCTCTATGTCAAGTAGCAGAAGGAAGGTGCTTTCGCGGTTGTTGAATGCGAGTGAAGCATCTTGACCCCATTCCTCTCCTTTATGAGTGCAACAATGGAGTTTGGTATTCTGTCCGTTTTTGGCTTGGGGGTGATTTTTGGAGCTAGTTGATCTCTGATTTGCGTAATGTTGTGCGTAATTAATGCTACTTGCCGCTCAAGTTCGGGTATGGTGGTTATGGGGTTGGGGATTGTTGTGGTGTTGTTCAGAAGTTGTTTGTAGAGTGTCCAGTTGAAGTTTTTGTAGCTGCGTATTTTTTGCGGTTCCTGCACTGGAGGGTTTTCCAGTACAGGAAGAGCGGTATGTGGTCCGAATTTAGCATGTTGTTAGTCGTAATAGTCAAGTCTCTGAAGCCCCTCGAGAGAGCAATATCTATCGTGGAAGGGTTCAGTCCGTTGAGCGGATAGTGCATAGAGTTATTTGGGTAGTGTAGTGATATGTCCGAGTTGTCGCTTAAAAACTTGAAGAGTATTATATATCTGTCGTGTTGTTTGTGTGGTTAAGCCATGTTGTATGCCTGGCATTAAGGTCCCCGAGAAGTAGTGCTCTCCCATTTCTGGGAAAGAAGACCTTAATGTCGTGGGCGGTTCTTATGGCTCCGGGGGAGGCGTAGCCCCCCGAGATCCACAAACCGTTATCTATCTCCAGTGTTATGTGTTCTATACTGGTATTTAGGGTTGTGATTCGTTTTATAGCTAACTGATTTGTGGATCAGGCAAGTCACGCCTCCGCCTCTGCGATTCCTGTCCATTCGTTCTGTGTTGTATTGTTTGTGCTTAAGGCTGTCCGCTGGTAGTAGTTTTGTCTCGTTTAGAAAAATTAGTTTGGGATTGTAATGGTTCACGGCCTGCTAAAGGTCTCCCCTCTTTGAGTTGAGACCATAACAGTTCCAACTGTATGAGCCACATTTAAAAGTCAAAACCGTGAATTTCAGTGGTGAAAAATTGCATGGTAACTTGCAATATTTGCGATTTGTCACCGGAGCGAAGGCGAGGGATTATCTCTAAACGCAAACAAAACAATCCTTGTCCCATTCACAAGAAGAAGAAAGCTAAATTTGAAAGCCTTCACCCTTAACGGTATACAACTAACATTTTCCAACGAAGTGACGTATACTTAGGGGTCATCCTGGACCGAACACTCACTTGGAACAAACAGTTAGAGAAAACATTTTCTCGAGCTAAATCAGCCATCTGGTCATGTCGAAAACTTGTTGGCAAAACATGGAGGCTATAGCCAAAGATGGAATTCTGGATTAACCAAACTATAATAAAGCCCATGGTCACATATGCCTCATTGGTGTGGTGGCCCAAAACCCAGCAAGTCACCGCTCAGATCAAGCTAAGAAAGGTACCTATACAAAGGCTGATATGTCTTATGTCTGGGAAGCAATGTCAACTTGCCCCACCGCAGCCCTAGAGACGTTACTCAACATGCCCCCACTTCACCTATGTGTGAAAAAGGAAAAAGGAGGCAATAACCAGCGCTCACAGGCTATTCAAACTAGACATGTTCAAGCCTGGTGATCTGAAGAGACATCTGCGCATCCTTGATTTAATAAAACTGGAGAATGCTAGCAAACGAAGCGACCACGAGATGGTCAGATTGGACTTAGAGATCCCATTCGCAGTGGTAATAAACGACCGCCAATCTTGGGAGAATAAAGAATTACCACAAGCAGACAATACATCTCTGTGGTACACAGATGGATCCAAGCTAATAGAAGGGGCTGGACTGTATGTGCACAAGAGTGTCTCAACGAAAGCGTCAAAAGAAAACACATTTTCATACCACAGCTTTTCATACTATCAGACAGCCAATAAGCTGCCTTAAAAGCCTTAATGGCTTTCAAATGCACGTCAACACTAGTCTGGGAGTGTAAAAAGACCCTAAAAACACTTGCGACACAAAACCAGGTAACGATGATGTGGATGTGGCTGCCTGGTTATCGAGGGATAGAAGGAAACGAAGAAGCAGATGGCCTCGCAAAAGAAGGGGTCTCTGAGGGTCTCAACACCATACCATGGACCAGAACCCTACTGTGGCTTACTTAATGAAAAGCCTCATCATGGAAGAACTCAACAAATAGGAAAAAGAACTGTCATCATATTGGAGGCACCTCGGGAGGCACACTCTGGGACTCAGACAGTCAAAAAGGTTTATTACCCTTTCATCAAAAAGAGCTTGGTTAAATACCATTTAAGGTTAATGAGCAGAGCAGAAGACGATCTCTGCAGATTCTGCTTAGCTCAGACGCAATGGAGATCGCAGAGCCACCTACTCTGCGAATGTTCAGCCCAATTCTGCAAGAGGGCCAAGTGGCTCAAATTCTTTGAGGGGGCAACACTGTCACCAGAAGAATTGGACTCCCCCCACAATTTACAAAATCTACAATCTACCTACATAAACTTGACATGGAACTTTGCTAGTAAAAATACATAATATAATATAATACAGGAAAGATTGAAATTAGAGTATTCGAAATCAAAATTGCCTTCACCTTGATGAAGCAATAATAACCTCACATTTTTGCTCCTATGTTATGATTAGATTAGAGAACATTAAAAATAAAATTTACTTTATGATTTGTAGCCCTTTTATTAATTATTGATAAATAATTTAGCAAAAATGCTAGAAAGTGTGAAGCATATAATTTTAGTCTTATCTGGTAAGGGCGGTGTAGGGAAATCTACTGTCAGCACTCAACTTGCCCTTACATTGGTTGAAAAAGGGTACAAGGTAAGTACACTTCAATTTTCACCATACAACTACCCTTCATCTGTATAGGGCTGTTGTAGAATTATTTCTGACCCTTCTACGAAAATATTTCACATATTTCAGGTTGGCATTCTAGATGTAGATTTATGCGGCCCCAGTATCCCTTACCTACTACAACTAGAAGGCAACGATGTCCATCAAGCTGACGAAGGGTACAAGTTACGATAAATTAAAACAACTATTATCCATTCACAATCCGATGTCCACAGGTACAGGTAAAATGTATTACCTTTCAATGCTATTTGATAGGGAAAGGTGATAAATTTACCTGCACCTGTGGACATTGGATTGTGAACAGGATATAACTAACTAAATTTACATAGGTGGGTCCCAGTTTACACAGACCAGACACAAAACCTTGCAGTAATGTCTATAGGATTTCTGCTCAACAACCGAAACAGTGCCGTTGTTTGGCGAGGCCCCAAAAAGACTGCCATGGTTAAACAATTTCTTTCTGATGTCTGCTGGGGCGAAATTGACTATTTAATCATAGATACCCCGCCTGGAACATCAGACGAACACATAACTGTAATGGAAAATTTAAAAGGGGTCAAATGCGATGGGGCTGTTATTGTTACAACCCCTCAAGAAATGTCTGTGGAAGATGTTAGGAAGGAGATTACTTTTTGTAAAAAAACTGGAATTGCTATTATAGGGCTAATTGAGAATATGAGTGGGTAAAGGATTTCATTTGCTTTAAATTTAAACAAAAATAATAATGAATAATTTTAATATAGATTTGTATGTCCACATTGTACAGAATGCACAAACATTTTCAGTCAAGGGGGTGGCAAATCGTTAGCTGATTTGGCAGGAGTAAGTTATCTTGGTTCGTTACCCATTGACCCTCGAGTGGGTGAACTATTGGGCAAAGCTTGTGTGAAAGAATTACCTGAATCACCATCTGCAAAAGCTTTCGGACAGATTGTAGATTTGATAATAAAAAATTAATTTGATAATACAATTTAGCACTTTATAATGTTTTATTTTTATCTCTATTAAAGTTCCAATGCAGCAACAAGCAAAATTCTCCTAACTTTATATTGTAAGAACCGCCAGTGTGTCAAGAATCCTAGGCTGTCGAATACCCTACAAATTACAGATTCTTATAATCTAGTAAATTCTACTTAATCGGGAAAAGGAGAGTTATCCCATGTATTCTAAATGGTACATGAATGGATTTCTATCAGGCAACCCAGAGCCGTGACCAATATTTATATCAAGATAATTGAGGAAAATTGGGAAAGTAAAACAGTAATTTAATTAAAATAATAATAATGTATTTACAATAAAAACTAAAAAAATAATTACACTGACTAGGCCACTCACGCATAAATCTTTTATAGTACAAAAAACAATAATAATAAAATATAAAATACCTTAACAAAATCTTAATGGCAACCCCCTACAAACCATTCATACACTTTTTCCTAACAACCACAGCCCCAAACTCCTCATACTCTTGCCTCAAAACACAAATATTCTTATAAAAACTACTCAAACCCCCTACAATCGAACCACCTCTCCAAACGAAAATTTCCCTATCTGAATCTGCAATTATGTTCACTTTCATGCTAGGTGGTACCCGACTTTCCAACTCCTGCCTCAATCTAGTCTCCAAACCTCTAAACAAAGTATTGCCTCCAGAAAGTACAATATTACTAGCAAATTCTCGCCTCAAATCAAAACCACACTTGAATATTGAATGAAAAATCATTTCGTGCAACCCGTAAGTGTCGTATTGACCAACCAAGGCCGGATTGAAAAGTGGATCTGTAATTTGGCCAGGTGAATCTAAATTAATATTTCTTCCATCAGGTAAAGTATAACATTCTGCACTAGTACTGGTACTATTTGTTTCAGGTATAAAGCATAATTTTTCTTTCAGTATTTGAGCTTCTTGCAGACTGAAATAAGTCATATGAGATTGATTTTTTTTTGTATTTTAGTGGTACCATACCTGATTAATTCATTAGATGGGCCATTTGCTAGTTGGTCAATGAGGTACTGATTTAGGTCCTTGCCTCCAATGTCAAGTCTTAGAATTGCTTCGGAAATGGCGTAACCGCTTAGTATTGGTACTACACTTGTAACTCCGTGGCCGCTTTCTACTATAACGCCTGCTGATCTTCCTGAAACAATTATTAATAATTATTATCATATGCAAGGAAATTTTCAAATAATTTAAAGGACCATATTTTGGAAACCAGACAAGCTATAGGCATGAAATTTTCTCCAATTGTAGATCTTGATTGGGGCTTCAAAAATGATAATTTGGGGCACCAAGCCCTAGGGCTTCGTTTTCGAGATAATAGACTTTGAAGGTTTTCTAAAATTTGAGACAAAGTTTCAACTTTGAGGCTGAATATCTCGAAAACTGTTTGAGATAGATGATTCAATTTTGTTTTATCTTAAAGAGCGTTTAATTCTGATTATGAATATATAATTATGCATCAGAATTTGTGGAATAATAATGGTGTTATCACTGTTATCAGCGATGTTTTCAGGCAATGTCGGATTATCAAAATTTTTCAGGGAAAAAAATGCAAAAATCATTTTTAATTTTTTACAGGCCCTAAAACTTCAAAAATAAAAATCACGAAAATGCTTTTCTACTAAATTTGACCCCCTCTTTCAATTGGTAAAGTCAAAAATTGAAAAATTTGGAAAAATCAAAATTGATATTTTTCTAAGGGGGGCAGGAAATTTCATTTTCAAATATTTCAAAGGGCCATATTTTGCAAACCAAAAAAGGTATCAGCACAAAATTTCGTCCAACTGTAGAACTCGATTGGGGCTTCAAAAAAGGTCTGTTGGAGCATCGAGCCCCAGGGCTTCGTTTTCGAGATAATCAACTTTGAAGGTTTTCTAAAATTTGAGACAAAGTTTCAACTTTGAAGCTGAATATCTCGAAAACTGTTTGAGATAGATGATTCAATTTTGTTTTATCTTAAAGAGCGTTTAATTCTGATTATGAATATATAATTATGCATTAGAATTTGTGGAATAATAATGGTGTTATCAGCGATGTTTTCAGGCAATGTATGATTATCAAAATTTTTCGGGGAAAAAAATGCAAAAATCATTTTTAATTTTTTACAGGCCCTAAAATCACAAAAATAAAAATCACGAGAATGCTTTTCCACTAAATTTGACCCCCTCTTTCGATTGGTAAAGTCAAAAATTTAAGAATTTAGAAAAATTAAAATTGAAATTTTTCTAAGGGGCTTGCAAGGAAACTCCCCGTTCAAATATTTCAAAGGGCCTTATTTCGGAAACCAGAAAAGTTATCAGCTCAAATTTTTGTCTAATTGTAGATCTTGATTGGGGCTTCAAAAAAGCTCACTTGGGGTACCCAGCCTTAGGGTTTCGTTTTCGAGACAATCAGCTTAGAAGGTTTTTTGAAATTTGACACAAAGTTTCAACTTTGAGGCTGAATATCTCGACAACTATTTGAGATAGAGGATTGAATTTTGTTTTATCTTAAAGAACGTGCAATTCTGATTAAGAATGTATAATTAGGCATCAGAATTTCTGGAATATTGATGGTGTTAGGAGCGATTTTTTGAGGCAATGTCGGATTATCAAAATTTTTCAGGGAAAAAAAATGTAAAAATCATTTTTAATTTTCTGCAGACCCTAAAAGCGCAAAAATAAAAATCACGAAAATATTTTTCCACTAAATTTGACCCCTTCTTTCGATTGGTAAAGTCAATAATTGAAAAATTCAGAAAAATGAAAATTGAAATTTTTTTAAGGGGTTTGCAAGGAAACTTCATTTTCAAATATTTCAAAGGGCCTTATTTCAGAAACCAGAAAAGCTATCGGCACAAATTTTTGTCTAATTGTAGATCTCGATTGGGGCTTCAAAAAAGCTCATTTGGGGTACCCAGCCCTAGGGCTTTGTTTTCGAGATAATCAACTTTGAATGTTTTCTAAAATTTGAGACAAAGTTTCAACTTTGAGGCTGAATATCTCGAAAACTGTGTGAGATAGATGATTCAATTTTGTTTTATCTTAAATAGCGTTTAATTCTGATTCTGAATATATAATTATGCATCAGAATTTGTGGAATAATAATGGTGTTATCACTGTTATCAGCGATGTTTTCAGGCAATGTCGGATTATCAAAATTTTTTAGGGAAAAAAATGCAAAAATCATTTTTAATTTTTTACAGGCCCTAAAACTTCAAAAATAAAAATCACGAAAATGCTTTTCTACTAAATTTGACCCCCTCTTTCAATTGGTAAAGTCAAAAATTGAAAAATTTGGAAAAATCAAAATTGATATTTTTCTAAGGGGTTTGCAAGGAAATTTCATTTTCAAATATTTCAAAGGGCCATATTTTGCAAACCAAAAAAGGTATCAGCACAAAATTTCGTCCAACTGTAGAACTCGATTGGGGCTTCAAAAAAGGTCTGTTGGAGCATCGAGCCAGGGCTTCGTTTTCGAGATAATCAACTTTGAAGATTTTCTAAAATTTGAGACAAAGTTTCAACTTTGAGGCTGAATATCTCGAAAACTGTTTGAGATAGATAATTCAATTTTATTTTATCTTAAAGAGAATTTAATTCTGATTAAAAATATATAAATATGCCTCAGAATTTGTAGAATATTAATTGTGTTATGAGCGATTTTGTGAGGCAATGAAGGAAAATCAAAATTGTTCAAGGCCAAAAATGCATGGTTTACATCAATGTGATATAAATTTTAAATCTACTTGAGCATGACATTTTTACCTTATTATAACTTGAAAAAAAAAATACAAATTATAATTAGTGGTACCTGAAGCGTAAAAAGTAAGCACAGAATGCACTTCCTCATACAAAGCTGGAACATTGAATTTTTCAAACAAAATTTCCGCAAGCTTTTCCTTATCTTTTTGAGGATTTTTAGGAGGTTGCGTCAACAATATCGGATGCTCTTCAGGCTTCAATTGCAACTCCTTAACAAAAACACGCTCCAAAAGCTTCTCAACTTGGTCAAAATCTTGTATAATACCATGTTCGATTGGAAACTTTAAAGCTTCATCTGCTGAAGGGATTGTACAAGTTGGGTACTCGTTATCTGCCAGGCCCGCTTTGGTACTACCCGAACCCAAATCAATTACTATAGTGGGTTTAGGGTCCATAATAATCTAGAAAAACAATGTTTGTATTCATATAATGCGATCAATATCAAATATCAACTCACCATTTCAAACATATAAAATATCCTCGTCACATAATGTCGAAATCATATTCATTAATGACAAAAATATTTGAATACTTAATTGGTGTGTGGTGGTACTGGCCGGTGTCTACAACCGGAACCAATTTACTATATGTGGTACTATTACCGTGTATTCTAAAAATAAAACGTTAATTGATTATTATAGGAATGACACGAATATGTACTTGAATTTTTATCAGTAGTGTTTGTAGTACCGATATAATGCAAACAGATAAAAATACCTGAATGTGTTTGCGTTTCTTTACAAAACGGTACTAAATTTTGCTTTTATTTGTTATGGGGTTTGGTGCCATATAAACCTACGATTAAAATTTTTGTTGCACAATAATTTCAACGCTCACATGTTGTTATAGACCCAGTAGTACCGCTATGCATAGGAATTTCTTTATTAATTTTTTTTTTCCGCTTTCAGCTAAAATAGGTGCGGTACTTATATATTTTTTGGTGACATATTAATTTGATGATTCAATGTAGGTAACTACAATGCGTTGCGCTTTTTTTTTACTGGATTCAACCGATGCTTGACTGGGTACTACTTTCGCTTGTAGAATGTTAAATTATTACGTGCACTTATGTACTTTTTATATGGGATATTATCGCATAAGTAGAACTTTTACTATAAGCAATGCGTATCTTGTTTTATTGTTATATGGTCGTACTATTGCCTATATGAGTAATCTGGTACGACTTTTTGTATGGTAATTAGTTCATGTTTTCTTCTAATATAAAGTACAAAGGCCAAAAATATAGTCAGAAATTCTTTTTTGACTATTTTTTCAGTCTGATAAATCTTTTAGGGGTGGATTTGCTGGTAAAAAGGAGTCATTTTGGTTACGAGATTTTTGTTGCATCAGTCCCTAGCCCTAGTGAATCTATGGGGTGAAGATCTTATGTTGAAAGGCAGTACCGGGGGCAGTACCTATCAAAAGACTTTATAAATGTAGTAAAAAGCAGCGAAAAATACAGTTGAAGAGGCTGGATGGACTGTTGAAGACGCGCTAAGAAGCAAATGTAAAAGGCCTCTCGACTTGCAGCTCTAAATAAGAAAAAATGCACTTTAAAAACCATTTTGATAAAACTGAGACTTTATTGATTAAAGAATTAATGGTACAGTTTAATTTAGCTAATAATAATATTTGAATCCTGAAAAGTTCCATTTATTTTAATCTAGAAGATCATAACAAGCATACTTATGACGTAATATCAGATTTTTCGAAGACAACCTCTGCTTCTCAATAACCTTGCTTAAACTAAAAACGAACCGATTGTCAAATGAAATTTGACTTTGACAGTTTCTTTTGTTTTGACAAGTTGTCGTAAAAGGACTATCAAAAATGGTGAGAATTAAAATCCGATTTTATTAATGAATCCTATGGGAAAAATACATTTTTTATGGGAAATTATTAATCTACGGGGCCGATTTCATCAGGCCCATTAGATATTTTTGACCTAATCCCAATTTTTCTCCTAATATTTTCACTTTGGAAAATTTATAGGTTATGTGTAATGTTTACGATTTGTAAAAATTTGTTTATTTAATTTTTGTAGGCAAAACGTACCAAGAAGGTAGGAATCACCGGTAAATATGGTACCCGTTACGGTGCCTCCCTCCGTAAGATGGTAAAAAAAATGGAAATCACCCAGCACAGTAAATACTCTTGCAGTTTTTGTGGAAAGGTAAGTCTTGAGTCACAAATCAATGTATACTTGAGAATATAATTCATTTTAACTATTTTAGGATGCCATGAAACGTTCCGTAGTCGGTATTTGGTCTTGCAAAAGGTGCAAGCGAGTGGTAGCAGGAGGTGCTTGGGTTTACGCCACCACAGCTGCTTCTTCAGTCCGATCAGCCGTCAGAAGATTGAGGGAAGTTAAAGAACAGTAATAAGTTAATAAATATTTAATAAAAAACAATATAGATGTCTTTTTGCTTGAACCGTTCCAGAACCAGTTTTCCATTTATTTTTCGATCAGCTGAATGTTTATCATACTTGATAAATGAATTTATTGACTGGACATTACCGTTCCAGAATGGTTTTCATGTTGGTTGGAACAGTGCTAATATAAATCTTGAGGTTTGGGTTTAAATGTCATATTCGTTTTTGAGATAAACGTTCTCATGAATAGATATACATTCAATTTTTTTGGTCTACAAATAACTTTCAAAAACTAGTCTCAATTTGTTTGATGTTGGGCCTAATGAAAAAACTTTGGCACGCCACTGTACAGTATTGTTTCAAATGGTTTCAACAGCAAGGAGCTTTTACTTCTTAAATCTAGGGAGTCTAAATAAAAATATCGTTGTCGTATCTATATGAAAAAGTATGGATATTTTAAAGAATATTGTATCGATAGCTATGAATTATCGATATGCCAAGCCCTTCTCTTATTCTAGAGCATATCGAACAGATATAAACATCGATACGCCTTTAGGTGCATATCGATATGAATTTGTCATCATTGAGGGCAAGGATAATACACACTATTACAGAATTGCTTATCGGCCTCGTTTTTGGTGATCGCACTCATATGGTTTAGCACCGTCGCCGACGTCATTAAATAAGTCGTCAGCTGTTTGCAGCTGTTTAGAATGTATTTATGATGAAAAATATCATTTAATTTTGATTCACGTTAGCTGGGTTCGGCTATTCAGCGCGGAGTTGGAGTGGAGTGAACAGAGCTAATGGAGTCACCCCTAATACGGTAAAAAACAATACCCGTGCGAATGGAGTCACTCGGAGTGCACGGAGTGAGGAAGCCAAACCCACCTATAATAGACAAACAAAAAAATGCAAACGGGATCAAGGCGAGAAACGACACGCTGCCTACGTCATAAAGTTTAGAAACAAGGGTCCTTAAGTTAATTAGGTTGTCTAGTGATAGGTAACTGGATGACGTCATCTGAGGTGTCTTATGGAGATTTACATTATGTTGAGGCAGCCCAGATGATTTATAAAAGTTATCAGGAAGCCGATTACAATATACATTTATGATGAAAAATATTATTTAATTTTGATTAACATAATAGGCAAAGAGAAAGATGCAAACAAGATATAAAAAAGCGTTGTTTTAGAATGTTAGATAATGTATTAAAACCAAGTATGCATAAAACAAAAGCCCGAGGAATCATAACCCGTGGTGCAAATAGGTACCGAACGGCGGACGTCAAGGCGAGAAACGACACGCTGCCTACGTCATCAATGGCTTTTTGTCGTGGTGGGGGCCTGATTTGAGCTATTTCCGATATAAACTGTCAGTACTGAATTTATTGGACGCTGTTCCGATATTATTTCTGCTTCAGTACTAATCGTGCGTTCGGTATTTTGATCTAAGTTCTCCGAGCTTGAATTTACCGTTCGCTTATTTAAAAAGTGTACTCGATTCAAGATCATTCGCGTTCGTTTATTAAAATTTCGGGCAATCTGATACAGCGTTCAACTGCTCTGTTCGCTCGCTGGTAACCTGATTACAGCTCCGCTCAACACGCTCTACTCTTTGAGCAAAATACCGAACGCAAGGTAAATAACGTTTTGAATGCGCCAGTTGCGTGGGCCGCCTTCACCAGATACAAACGTTGGTAAACGCTTTACGATTATTCTGCTGAACACTACGTTCAATTTATGTTGAAACGTTAATTGGTTGAAACCAAACATGTTTTAAAACGGTCGCCATTTTTGCAAACATAATTTAAGGCTGAGTTGAGGTTTGCACTCCACGGAGCGAAACGGTTTGAGCATGGATATCGTGACGTCATACACGGTCATAAGCCCAACGCAAAAGAGAACACTCTGACACCAGGCGAGTTAAAACGAACAGGATCTTATCGTTTCGAGGCTGCTCAGAGTTAACAAAGTGTAAAGCCGAACTCAGCCTAATGTTTATAATTTTCAACACTTTCTCGCGTGTTGCTAAATTCACCAAAATGGTGCACCGCCACGGATGCGGTTAATAAAATTTACTTATGCCAATGCCAAACCACAGCTTAACAAACCCTGTTTAATTTAAGCTGGGTTCGGCTATTCAGCGCGGAGTTGGAGTGGAGTAAGAACAGAGCTAATGGAGTCACCCCAAAACAGTAAAAAGCAATACCCGAACCTTAACCTGAACGGCTGGAGTGCGAAAAGAGTCACTCGGAGTGAGCAAGCCGAATCCACCTTTAACAACACTGCTTGTTCTACCATTCCACCACAGTGCCTACACCAGCTGAATTTAGCCAAACGCGGTTTGTATTTTGTGTGAGGTGAGTTCGGAATGATACAAAGTGTCGACACTTTTTACACTATTGACACTGTAACGTTCGTTAAGTGGTGGTAGGAGTAAGTTTGACGTACACTATCCGTGCGTTTGGTATTTTGATCTGAGTTCTCCGAGCTTGAATTTACCGTTCGCTTATTTAAAAAGTGTACTCGGTGCAGGCACATTCGCGTTCGTTTATCAAAATTTCGGGCACTCGGGTACGCGTTCAACTGGTCTGTTCGCTCGGTGATCACGTGGTTATCTCGGTACAGAAAATGATGGTGTATTCGGTATTACACCTGATATAACCCTGCATACATGAAAACCGCCTAACATCCCATTCCGAACTCAATTCTGGTGAGGGATTCTAGAATCACGAACCAATCAACACACGACTCGATTTTTTCCGACGATCCTAGGCTGGATAATCTCATTGGAATCATATACCTTTCGAGATGACAGGGTCGGTATCGAGTTGCGTCTTATTGTTAAGTCGTGATTTAAGAATCTTCCTGCTGTAGGTACCTTTTTTTCCAGCAAAACAGTACGCTGTTGAATTCGGAACAGCAAATGACAGTTAAAATCAGCATAGTAAAATCCAGTAATGGCAGTTGATAAAGGAACATAGCCTTGGATCTACACAGGCCTTATGCAAGGATAATTCACACTACTATACATATACAGGAATGCTTATCGGCTTCGTTTTTGGGATTTGCGGCTATATTGTGTAGTACCATTGACGACGTCATCAACTGCGTCGTTAGCTGTTTGCGCCAGCGGCCGTAGTTTAGAAACAGGCTTCTTGAGTTAAGAGGTTCTTTGGTAATGAAATGGGTAACTAGATGACGTCATCTGGGGGTGCCTTATGGTCTAAAAAATTGCCAAATGGTGCCAAAATGCTTGGCAAAAACGGCTTCATTTTCCAACTCCATCTACAACTTCTTTACCTTTACCTGCTTTAAGTAAAAAAGCGTTGTTTTAGAATGTTAATTAAGGTACTACCAAGTATATGCATAGCATAAAGGCAGTAAAAGCCCGCGGAATCATAACATGTAGTGCAAACACCCTACGCAAAGGCGAGAAACGTCACGCTGTCGACGTCATCACTGGTTCTTTGGCGTGGTGGAAGACTTGAGATTTGATCTACACAGGCCCTCTGAGGATAAGCTATCCTAGCTATTCTGTAGTAGTAGCGTAGTAGTGTGCATTATTTTGGGTCTTATAAGGATGAAAGCTCTCCTTTAGTAATAGTGTACATTATCCTTGAGTGTTAATGACAATGAAATTGTATGTTCTTCGAATGGTTGTTTTTTTTTTCAAATTTGTAACTATTCGGTGCCCAAAACGTATGGAGTATAGCCTAGTAACGTCATTGCCTAGTACTCATAACTGCGGAATTCGCATTTGTTTGACATTGCTTCGACAATTTGACGTTTGATACACGTATTAAACGTTAAATTGTCAACGCAATGTCAAAAAAATGCGAATTTCGCATTTATGAGTAATAGCAGGCTTATAACAGGTGTGAAGTGTTTTAGGAGTTTCCCACTATGCACGCGAAAACAACTTAGAACACTCAATTTCTTCTGTGAGAAGTGACCAAAAATCACTTTTTCTGCATTTGAAACTTACTAGCACAGCCTGAATCGCGAGCATTCCATCGAGATCTGCGAGTGACGTCATTACTAAAAGCTGTTGATAGTGACGTTACTTGCAGGCCCCGAATTTAATGGGGAAGGGAGTATGACATAATTGACATATCACAAACCCAGCATTCAGATTATGCTTGATTATCCTCGCGAAATATTGCCTGTTAATAGGTTGCCTGGTAAAGGGTAACTTTGATGACGTATCTGGGGTGCCTTATGGAGATTTGCATTATATTGAGGCACCTCAGATGACGTCATAAAGTTATCAACCGAACCTTGGGGCAACCTACCTCTCTCAAACAACCTTGACCTAACATAACATCAGAGCCGCTCTCCAGTATGGGAGTGTGAGTGTGATACTCGGAGCTACTCAGAGCGTTGAGCCCCCGAATTATACGTACGGATAAACGTCACACGTCATGATACTGGAACGGTACAAATCTAGTGCGTGGCGCTCCCGGGGTGCTCTAGAGCGCGCCAGTGTGCATACTGGAGAGCAGCTCAGAATTTGCTCAAACTTGACATGAACATTTTTTGTAGAGAAGAGAAGAGGATGTATCGATGTTCATAGGTATCGATACGATGTTTTTTCCTACTTCTTTTAATATTGTCATTGATATTAATATGAGAAAATATATATACCTGATTTTTTTTTACACTGCCGAATTTCTGTAGAAGCCCTTATTCAATGTTCAAGGGCCAGTTTCTCAATAGCAGGTCACCTCCGAGTTAAGCATACCTCCTAGGTAAACATAGCAACTGGACACGCTTACCCTGGAGTTAAAACCAACCCGGAGGTGACTCGCTATTGAGAAACCGGCCCCAAGTCCAGTAAAAAAACTGCTCGTAGTGCTTGCTCTACTACTCGAGAGCCTAACAAGAGGTGGGTTCGGCTTGCTCACTCCGTGCACTCCCGAGCCGCTTTCCAGTATGGGAGTGTGACGCCCGGAGCTACTCGGGGCGTGGAGCCCCCGAGCTGTACGTACGCGTCAACCTATCAGCTGTCACATCCGTAGGTGGCTATTTATCTATTTATTTCTTGTTATATCTCAAGATTGAACATTTTAAAAAATATAGTTTTGATTCTCTTTCATTTTTGATAAATAAAAAAACCAACTGCACAAACAAACAGATAATTATTTTTAAAATTTGATATATTTGACACTAAGACGGGCGTCTCACGCCATGATACTGGAACGGTACAAATCTAGTACGTGGCGCCCCCGAGGTGCTCTAGAGCGCGCCAATGTGCATACTGGAAAGCGGCTCTGTATTTTGCTCGAAGAGCTGGGCGTGTTGAAGTGGAGCAGTACCTAATCACGTGACCAGCGAGCGCACAGAGCAGTTAAACACTGTATCAGAGCGCTTGAAATTTTAATAAACGAACGCGAATGAGTCTGCACCGAGCACCCTTTTTAAATACACGAACGGTAAATTCAAGCTCGGAGAACTCAGATCAAAATACTGAACGCATAGTTAAAGCACAGCTTGTTAAAGTAGGGCTTGTTTCAGTGAAACAGTTATTTGGAGCACTAGAGTATGGAGCTACGGGTGTGGAGCACCTCAAAAATCGTCACTGGAAAGCGGCTTTTATTCTGACTTGCAACTAGAGGTAAGCAATATTGATATAAACATCGATACGCCCTTAATGATGGTGCATATTGAGAAACCGGCCCTTATCGGCTTTGTTTTTGGTAAACGCTGTCATATGGTGTAGCGCCGTTATCGACGTCATTCTAAATAAGTCGTCAGCTGTTTGCGTCAGCGGTCGTACTTTAGAAGTTAAATTTATGAATAAAAATTATTTAACTTTGATCAGCATAATACGCAAAGAAGAAGAAGCATTGTTTAAAATGTTAATTAGGGCCGATACTTTTGCTCCCGATTAACGAAAATGATACGTCGTCAAAGTTTTGCATGGGCACATTCAAACCCCTGATTATTTTTAACGCCTGTCAAATTAGAGCAGCAGTACAGGCACTTGATGTACTAACTGAAACCAAGTATGCATAAAGTTAAAGCCCGCGGAATCATAACCTGTGGGTGCAAACATTCTACGTCAAGGCAAGAAACGACACGTCGCCTACGTCATCACTGGTTCTTTGTTGTGGTGTGGGGCTTGAGATTTGATCTAAACAGGCCTTATGCAAGGATAATACACACTACTATACAGAATTGTTTATCGGCCTCGTTTATGAAAATCGCGGGAATATTGTGTAGCACCAATAATGACCTCATCAACGACGTCGTCAGCTGTTTGCGCCAGCGGTCGCATTAAGGCTCCTAAAGTTGATAAATTGTCTGGTAATGGGTAACAAAATCTGATACAGCACAGTTCAGATCGCATAAGAATCCATTTTTGTTTGATCTCTGATTTTCACAATTTTGGGGGGCTGACCGTCAAGTTAGCCCCTCATCTTGTTTTTCTTATGACTTTGGAATCGGAACGGTACAGTAAAGCACACTTCGAGCACAGTAAGGGGTTACAATTTTGTTAGAAAATTCGAATGTGGGGCAGCTACCTTGACGGAGCCCCCGGCTCTCAAAAATTTGTCGAATTGAAGAAAATTTAAGAGCCTGGAATAGAAAAACTATGAATGTCCTCCTGCTGATCATTTAAACCATTAACATTTTAACAAATGACGTTTATAATGTTTTAAGGTTCTCATCAATATAACAAAGCCGCATTGATATGCAACATCGAGGGCGTATCGATAAGCCCTTCTCTAATCGATTGTCTACAGTTTTTCGATATTCTAGAGATGTTCATTTTACGAAGTCTCGATTTCTTGATCGATGGACGAATGATTTAATATTTTTAGTAATGTGTATTATCCTATCCAATGAACTATCAAAATACTAAAGTATTGGTATTGTTGAAGATAATCGATAAAAATTATGATGTGAAGAAGTTTTTTTCTTTCTCTCTCTTTCTAGGCCTTAAGGCCCAGTTGTACAATCTTGGTTCAAAACAGAGTTCAGCTGAACTCGACTGGTAGTTGAACTTCCCCATTTGAAATGCATTGCTGTCAAAATTGATTAATAGCCGACAGCAATGTATTTTAAATGGGAAAGCTCAAGTACCAGTCGAGTGGTAAACGTCTGGTTGTTACCTAGCAGGTACTTTCTATGGATTAGAGAGTAGAAAGTACCTGCTAGGTAACAACCAGACACTTACCAGTTGGTCCATAATTTGGCCCTTAGTTGTTTATAAGCAATAAGCATTTACAGGAGAAAAAACAACAGTTAATTCCTTAAAAATACCTTTATTTTAAGTTACAAAACACATTTCAATGTTCTATTTAACTTCTTTGACTTGAAGGCCTGAAATTAGATGACAAAGATTAAAAATAAGTGCAAAATTCAAAACATTACACACTAACCTGGAGGAAGAGATTGCTTCAATTTTTCAGCCTTTTCCTTGTCGGTGATCACCAAAGTGTACAAAAACCTCGAGCAACGAACCTTGAATTTGGTGTTCAATGGGTTCTTCTTTATTTTTACAGCTGAAAATCATATGGAATATGAAGTTTATGTGAAATTTGTATTGTTTTTACTTACATTTAGCATCTTTCCTTCTGGCTGTTAGAAGGAAGTCTTTAATTTCCGTTAATTCTCGTGGCTGAAAATAAAACACAAAAGTATTAGAATTGGTTATTAAGTAAAGAAATCTCTTAATTGAATTAATTTATTATCAATGGGCAAAATAATAAGCTAAAAGGCGACTTACCATTTTGTTGTTTTTAGGTCCAAGAAGAATGTCAAACCTGAAAACAAATACAAATTTTTACTAAATGAATTATGAAAAATTGCACAATATTATCACAGACGCACTAAACAAGCTCCCTTAATTCGTTTGGGGGCTTTTTAACCACAAATTTGGGCTGATTTTTAAGATTATTACGGATTAAAAAATAATTACAAAATTTTCCAACCTACCTGCGTTCTTCTTGTTTATGAAGAAAGAATTAGGTTAGGATTTTGTTAGAGGTTGGCACTATATTGCGACGTTGCCAATTAGTTTATGTAAAAACACTTTTTTTTACAATAAAAATGTGTTTTGTTGATTTAAATTAATGTTAATTAATAATTTTTTGTTATATTTTTGATATTTGAGGCTTTTATATGGTTTTTAGCAATGTTTTTTTGGATAATTTGTTTTTAATTTGAAATAAGCGCCCTTGTCAATTGTCAACATATTTTGACTTGACAGTTGAGCAACAAGGATTTTTACAAATGGCGTCTCCGACATCTTTTTCTCGAAAGTAGCCTTGTCGTCCGTATCCTCTGTGTAGAAAGTGTTTGTAGTGTGTAAATTAAATTGTTTTTATCAAAATGGTCGACAAAATCGAAATGAGTCTCGACGACATAATAAAAACGACCAAAGGTCGGGGCCGCGGTGGTAGAAGAGGCGGCAGAGGGGGGCAAAGCATCAGGGGCCAACAACAACGTCGGTCGGGCCCCAGCGGAGGCGGCAATCCCAGAAGGGGCGGCGGCTCGCAACGAGGCCGCGGCGGCGCTAGAGGCGGCGGCATTTCGCGCTCCTACATTCGAGTAATTATCCCAATTTTAAATAATTTTTTTAATTTTTTCCAACATCAACAACAAAATCAAGAAAACTGGAGTGATGCCACGCTTTCACACAAAATTTTTCCAATTTAGGGCGACGTAAACAGTGCATGGAAGCACGACCTGTTTGAAGGTTTCGGTGCCCGCAAAGTGGCTGCCGCTAGGGCCGTAGTTACATCTACAATGGGGGCCAAACTCATGGTTTCGAACCTTGACTTTGGCGTGTCCGAATCCGACGTGCAGGAATTGTTCGCGGAATTCGGGCCCCTCAAAAGTGCCGCGGTGCACTATGATAGATCGGGTAGGTCTTTGGGTACCGCCGATGTGATTTTTGAGAGAAGGAACGACGCCATCAAAGCCATGAAGCAATACAATGGGGTACCTTTAGATGGAAGAGCTATGAACATTCAGCTTGCCACTAGTGAAATTCCCACGCCCCCCAGACGAGTTGGAGGAGAGAGAAGATTTAATAGTCCTAGGAGTCCGCGAGGGGCCAAAGGGCCCATGCGTCAAAATAGAGGAGGATCTATGAGTAAGTTAACATTTACACTGTTAAATTAATTTTCAGTGTGCATAATGATAACCTGGAATTTCCGAATTATTATTTTATCATTATCCGTCCGCAGTTAATCTCTTTTACGAGACATTTTACAATATTCTTGATCAGTCAGTCCCTCTTTTCCATGTAAACACAAAAAAATAAGTTCTCATATCCATCTTGGTACACTAGAGAAATAATAAGTCACTTAAAGAAAAACAAAGGCTACACAACAATTACAAAAAAACTAAATTAAAAAGTGACTATGACTTTTTTTCGACTCTTAGGCAGACTATTAAAGCAGAAATTGATGAAGCCTATAGATCTTACATAAGAAATACTGAATCATCAATAAAAAGGGAACCTAAGAATTTTTGGAAATATATCCGGCAAAAACGGCAAAAATCTCGTATACCAGGATCAATGATTCTGGACCAATTGTCTTTAGAGTCCCCGCAAAACATAGTGGATGGATTTGCCAATTTTTTCAAAAGTGTATATGTTGCATCATCAGATCCCTTCTCAATTAACCCTGTCGAGCCCTACAACTCTCAAAATATATCCATTAATAATATTTCTCAGCTTGAAGTGTGCAGTGCACTCAAAAAATTAAAAGATACAAAAACTGCAGGTTATGATAAAATACCATCTTTTATATTGCGTGATTGCTCACCGTTTCTATCAGTGCCCTTACATCTTATCTTCAATAAAATTTTAAGAAATAATATATTTCCGGAAAAATGGAAAAAAACTAAGATTTGTCCTGTCTTTAAGGCAGGTCAAAATAATAATATTACTAACTATCGACCTATCTCCATACTGTCCAACTTTTCGAAGGCCTTTGAAATCTGTATTCACAACAATCTCTTCCATCAAGTTAAAAACCTAATATCTCCTACTCAACATGGCTTCTTCCCACTGAGATCAACTATCACAAATCTTACAAGTTTCCTACAAAGAGCTTATCAAGCTATCAATAATAGGAAACAACTTGACGTCATATATACTGACTTTTCCAAGGCCTTCGATAAGTTGGATCATGGTCTCATTGCCCGGAAAATGTACAACATTGGGTTTCATAGGAACCTGGTGAATCTATTTATCTCATATTTGAGTGGGCGAACACAGTTTGTGGAGTACAACGGTTTTCGTTCTGCTGACTTCAGCGCTTCAAGTGGCGCTCCTCAGGGAAGCAATCTAGCTCCTCTAATATTCGCTATTTTTGTGAATGATATCTTGACACTATCTCATCTAACTGTGTACTGTTTGCTGATGATCTGAAGATTTTTAGAATTATTGACACCATACAGGACTGCTCAGAATTACAAAACGACATTGACTCCCTGTCTTCTTGGTGTATCACAAATAAACTTCCGCTAAATATTAATAAATGCTGTTCTATGACTATTTCCAAACTTCATAATGAAGTGAAGTTTGCATATAGACTTGAAAATACCAATCTTTCAAGTGTAGATTCCATACGAGACCTTGGGGTAATTATCAACAGTAAACTAAGTTTTAATAAACATATTGACCAAATCGTTCAAGCTTCTTTGAAAACACTTGGCTTTATTATTAGGTCTACAAAAGATTTCACAAATACGGAGAGCTTGATTGCCTTGTACAACTCATTGATGAAATCAAAATTACAATATGCAGCTCTGATATGGTTTCCTAGTTATGATGTACATGTTGACAGGCTCGAATATGTCCAGCGCAGATTTCTCAAGTACCTAAGCTTTAAGCAGGATGGCATTTACCCTCCACGGGGATATGACCACAAATTATTACTAGAAAGATTTAACTTTTTATCACTTAAGCAAAGTACAATTCTTGCCAGTCAATTGTTCATTTTCAAAATATGCAATAATTTAATTGATTCGGCTGAAATATTAAGGTGCCTCAATTTTTTGGTTCCCGCAGCAAACACCCGAACTCACCATAAATTTTATCTGGAAAACTGTCATACTAATCTCGCCAGAAATGCGCCTATATATAGAGCCTGCTCATGGCATAATCAATTAATACCCATTATACTTGAGTTGGATCTTTTCAATGGCACTGTAAAGTCATTTAAAACTAAAATTATATCACAGATAAAAAAATGCTCTCCTGAATTAAATTGCTCTAGTGATTGTTTTGATTGATTATTGAATCTTGCATTTTTGTGGAATATTGCTGATTAGCTTGGGGTTAACTTTTTGTCCTGGGGTTTTGCTGGGGGAAGCTGTTGATGCTGCTTAATATACTTAATTTACATCTGTTTTCTCTTGATTGTTAATTACAAACTATAGTTAGTTACTTCATGTATTTGTATATGAAGCATATGTCAAAACCTAGTTTTAAGTTTACAATAACATTTGTCTAGTCTTCAATTTGAAATTATTATAATTGTCTTGTTATTGGGTTTATCCTGTTAGACAATAAACAAATAAATAAAAAAAAAAAAAAAATAATACACCATGTACCCCTGCAATGACAAAATCGTGTCTGGTACGCTTTTCAGACACATGATTTTTAGCATTTTTTCAATTTTAATGAATAGAGGGTCCTTAATAGGTATAGTATTTTCCAAAAGAAAAAAATGCGGAATATTCAGTCAATTTTCAGAAAAAAATTTTTATTGAAAATTTCAATTTTAAATTGTTAAACTACGGAAGCGTAGAACGGCCACTTTATTCTTAATATTTTATTTTTAACTCTCCGACTTTTATCTCAGAATTCCGACTTTTATCTCGGAGTTCCGACTTTTATCTCGGAATTCCAACTTTTATCTTGGGATTCCGACTTTACCTATACCTAAACATAAAACTGGGCCTTAAAGAATTATGTTCTTGCCTCTCTAAAGTTATTCATTTGGCTCTGTAATGAAAGAGCGAAACACAAAAGAGCGCTGTAACAGAAGAACGCTGTAATCAAACAAAAATTCACCAAAAACTTGAGAAACCCTTTTGTAAATAAAGTCTGTTTTTTTTTTAAAGATAAAAGTCAAAATGACATTATGTTGACAATACAATGTAAAATTGTCAATGCTTTTAAATTTTATATGTAGAAAAGGCTTGTGTTGCCAACATAGTTTCTAAATTTCTGACTTGGGGAATTATCTTTAAAAAAAAACAGACTTTATAACATCTTGAAATTTAAATAATTTTTTTTCTTGGATTGCTCACTCCGCTCGCCAAATCTCAAACAGAAGATTCTCAGAAACCTGAAGCCCCCAAAAACGTAAAAGTGAAAACCATTTTTTACATAATAGCAACTTCTTGAATTTTGAAATATCTTCAAGTTTAGGATTTCATTAAATAGCTCCAACAGAAAATACATACAAAATAACCCTTCCTAGCACAAACTGACCCGTCCTCGGAATGCGACTCAATCTCTGTTTCTGAACTTCATCAAATTGCTCAAACAGAAAATGGATACAGAATAACCCAATCTAACCTAAATTGACCCGTCCTCGGAATGCGACCCAATCTCTGCCTTTGTTACTTAATTCACCTTTTTGAAATTCAGACAGCGCTCTTTTGTTACAGTGCTCTTTTGTTATAGCGCTGTTTTATTACAGCACTCTTTTGTTACAGCGCTCTCTTATGCAGCGCTCTTTTGTTACAGCACTCTTTTGTTCAGCACCGTTTTGTTACGTTACAACGCTGTTTTGTTACGGTGCTCTTTTGCCACAGCGCTCTTTTGTGCAGCGCTCTTTTGTCTAGTGCCCTTTTGTTACAGTGCTCTTTTGTGCAGCGCTCTTTTATTACAGAGCCAAATGAATAACTTTAGAGAGGCAAGAACATAATTCTTTAAGGCCCGGTTTTATGTTTAGGTATAGGTAAAGTCGGAATTCCAAGATAAAAGTCGGAATTCCGAGATAAAAGTAGGAATTCCGAATTAAAAGTTGAAATTCCGACTTAAAAGTCGGAATTGTCGGAATTCCGAGATAAAAGTCGGAATTCTGAGATAACAGTCCAAATTCCGAGATAGAAGTCGGAAAGAATTTAAAATAAAAAGTTAAGGATAAAGGTAGGTAATTTTATCCTCTTTCAAATGAGATATGACTCGAAATGATCTGTTGAGAAATAGCGGAATTATAGGCGAAAAAGTGGCCTCGTGTCGGATTCCCACAATTTTTTTCTGATCAAAATTGAAATTTCCTTTTTTATTTTTTTTCGGCCTCAAGATGTACCTAGCGAGGAGGGTCAAATTTACTTTTTGACGTATTTTTTGCTCCTCTATCTGATAGATTTTTTTTTTTTGAAATTCGATATTTGAATATTTTCGACAAAAAAATTCAAAGGGTCTTCAATTTTTTTATTTTTTATTTTCAAACCGTCCCAACTCGAAAACGAAAAGCTTGGGAGAAACACTTCAAATGTAAAGCTTATAGATCTCGTCGAGTACTACAAAAAAGCCTATAAGAAGTATCCCTCCACGGGGCACCATTTTGAGAAAATCGACCTCGAAAATTTTAACAAAATTACAAGAAATTTCAACTTTGACGGCCAATATCTCAAAGACAAAAACAGCCTGGAATCTCAATAAAATAGTTATTTATGATATAAGTGCTAAAAGTGACATTTTATTTTGTGAAAAGGGAAGTTTGGGACACGACGCCGAAGGCGGAGTGTTCCATCCCTTTGAACAAAATAGAAACACTTTTAGCAAGAATATCATACACTATTTTATCTACAAACGCACTAAATGTGATTACTTTTAGCACTAGTGCTAAAAGTAATCACTTTTAACACCAGTGTCATAAAATGGCATTTTAGACACTGACAGCATCCGTTAAAAATGACACTTTTAGTGACGTTTGTAGAAAAAAACATTTTGTAGGTAATTTTATCCTCTTTCAAATGAGATATGACTCGAAACGATCGGTTGAGAAATAGTGGAGTTATAGGCGTCGGATTCCCACAATTTTTTTCTGATCAAAATTGAAATTTCCTTTTTTATTTTTTTTCGGCCTTAAGATGTGCCGCAGCAAAAAGGGTCAAATTAACTTTTCGACGTATTTTTTTGCTCCTCTATTCGATAGTACTTTCTTTTTTTTTTGACATTCAAAACATGATTATACAGTGAGTTCATAAAGTCCCGCAGAAATTCATTATTTTGAAAACGGTAGAATTTTTGAAAAATCGCTGACACCTCAATTTTGTTTTTTTGTTTGAAATTTTTTGATATATTTTTTATCATACTTGGTGTCTCAAAAATAGCTTCGCTGGTATCAACTTCATTTTTTTATATATTATGACTTATGACATTTCTGGATTCTACGGAAAATTATGAATTTATGCGGGACTTTATGAACTCACTGTATATAATAATATACAGGGTGTATATTTTAAGTGATACCACTATTACTATATTCAAAACGGTAAAAGCTACAAGGTGGGTTAAATTAGAAAAAAGTTGCCTTTTCTGATGCCCATGCAAGACTTGTTCACAGTGTTGCCAAATTCCTTTCAGTTTATGAAATGTTGCTTATGGCATTTCCAATAACATATTTAAATTTCATCCAAATCTCATGGGTAACCAATTTCTGTTTAAATATTGCGGGGTCCTTTAAAAGTTTTATAATTATTATTATATATATTTATAAAGCAAGTATCGATTCCTAATAAGTTGACCAAGGAAAATCGACAAATGTCAACCATTTGATATCTGTCAAAACCCAGCCAAACGGCAGCACTCATATCTTTCAGTTTTCAATATTTCATGATGTGTCATTGGCTAGTTTTAACCTATGTCAGCTCTAAGTTTAAAAATTGAAAAAAAAAAAATTACAGAACTGTCAAACCTGTCATTTGTTTTAGTAACAAAAAAAAAAAATTCCAATTTGCTTCTTTTTCGTTTGAAGGTATTTTATTGGTGATAAAACATTAAACAAAGCTCATAGGCATCAAATGTTGACAGCTGTCAGAATCTGACATTAGCTTTTAATTAAAAAAAAAAACAAAACTGAACTCAAGTTCTGTTCCAATTATTTAAGTTATGCTTATTTATTATGAAGCATAACAAAACTTTATACACAGGTTTCAGCTGTCAAAATTTGATGTCTATGAGCTTTGCTTAATGTTTTATTACCAATAAACTACCTTAAAACAAAAAAGAACCAGATATGAATCTTTTTTCCTACTTAAATAAATGACAGGTTTTGACAGTTCTGTCATTTTTTTTTCCGATTTTTCAACACAGAATTGACATAAAATCAAATTGTCAAATGACACATCCTGAAATATTAAAAACTGAAAAATATGAGTGCTGCCGGTTGGCAGGGTTTTGACAGGTGTCAAAATGGTTGACATTTTTCGATTTACCTTGATCGACTTGATAGGAATCGATACTTTCTTCATCAAAATCTGCCATGAAATTCCAATTTTTGACAGCCGATACCGTCTCACCTGTCAGATATACAATGTTGCGCCCATGGTAAAAAAATGTCACAGGTAACCAATTTCCGTTTAAATATTGCGGGGTCCTTTAAATTGTGTCTCGAAAATCAATAGTTTTCCAAATAATTGATGAAATAGTTTTGGACGTTTCTTGGAAATCATCCTGTATTTCATAAACTAGAAGGAATTTGGCAACACTGTAAACAAGTCTTAACTGGGCATCAAAAAAGGAAACTTTTTTCTAATTTAACCGACCTTGTAGCTCTTACCGTTTCGGATATAGCAATAGTGGTATCACTTAAAATATACACCCTGTATATTATGTAATATAATTTTGACATATATCGATGAAACTTATTTTAGGGTTTTTGGAGCCTGGGTTTTCTGACTTTTGTTTTTTGAAAAAAAGAAAAATTTTTGACATTGTCAGTTGTTAAAATTAAAAAAAAAAAAACACATGGGCGTATAGATTTAGCCTCGGTGAAGGAAATACTGAAAAAATTCCATGGCCAACTTTGACAGCCGTCGATGTCAAAAATATGACAAGCAGGTTCAATATCAAAAAAAGGATTCCACCACGCATATTATTTTTCCCAAAACATATCGAGTCGCTTAAAAAAAATTTTGACAGCCATGACTGTCAGACCAAAAAATATGACAAGCGATGATAGCTGTCGAAAAATTCCGTCGCCGAGACGTGGGTGGCCAACGTTGAATATTCGCTATGCACCGAGTTTGGTGGTCCTAGCTTGTAAGGTAAAGCGTGGGGAAAGGCAAACGACCCTATTGTATCCAATTCTTCGGTTGCATGATAGCATGATAAAAAAAAATTCGCCTGGTAATTTGGAAGCGCTTTATAGAAATCTAATGTGGGACGGATTCTTTTTTTTGAAATGGCCAATTTTGACAGCTGTCAAGGTCAAAAATATGACAAGCAGGTTCAATATCAAAAAAGGATTCCACCACGCATAGAGATGGCCCTGAGAATATTCTCCAAAGAACTTCTATTGAGAACAGAAAATTTACCGAGGATATTCTTTGACCTTAAATTCTCGAGAATTTATTATTTTTTTAGGTTCGAGAATGTATAAGAATATACGGTCATTTTTGGAGAATTTATGGGAAGTTAACTGTAATTTTTAAATTTATCAGTTCGTTGTTTAAAAATGGAAAACAGAGTCGGAGTCTCATGCATCCGTTTTCCGAAGTTCGATATCCGAAAAACCTTCTATTCTGACATATTTTTGTGGCACTGAGTACTGAGTGTATTTCCAACTCTTTCTCTCAGCCTCTTAAAGGAACAGAGAAAAACACAAACACATTTTTTTTGCACGATTTCTACCGACCGGAAATGCCATAATTTATTTATTTATTTTATTTATTTAATTATGCACAATTTATTACATTGTCCCATTACTGTGCAGAGCGTGTGTAAAGAAATATTTAATTTAATATCAGTTTTGAGGAAATTCCTTCGAAAATTAAACCTAGAGGGTTGATATGAAAATATTTCATAAGGACAACAAATTTCAATGTAAATTATGTGATTTTGTATATCAAAAAAATACGAAAAGCCCCAAATGATGGTAAGAATCTATAAAGCTATATTTTTCGAAATTCTCTAAAATTCTCTAATGATCCCGAATATTCTCCAAGAAAATTCTCTCAAAATAAATTCTCGAGAATTTGCCATCTCTAACCACGCATAATATTTTTTCGAAGCATTTCAAGTCGTGTATATACAGGGTGTTTGGCGGAGGGTTAGCCAGACTTGGTGGGCGTATAGATAGGCCCATTTCGAAGATATTTTGTTAATACAATAATTGTGGCCTTGGGTTCCTTTTTTTTTCATCATTTGTTCTCAAGAATTTTCAAAAATGAACCTTTTAGCTTCTGTAACTTTTTTTTAAATATTTATGAAAACGTTTGTTGCGTGTGTTTTTGGTCTGTAGGGTATCCTTGATAATATCAGAAAGTTAAAAGGTTACAGAAGTTAAAAGGTCCATTTTTGAAAATTCTTGAGAATAATACACAAGCAATGGTATAAAAAAAAACAGGGACCTTAAGGGCATTGGTGTATTAAGAAAATATCTTCCAAATGGGCCTATCTATACGCCCACCAAGTTTGGCTAACCCTCCGCCAAACACCCTATATATATTATATCGATAATAATCTGGAAAAAATGAAATTCAAAATTGGCGCTTACATGGCATAACATAACCTACGCTCAAATGTGTCATCGCACAAATAAAAAAAAATTCAGGCACACACAAGTAAAAAAACAATCTGGAAATTCTGGGCTAATAAAAAAAAAATATATTCAACCGGAAATCCGGGTGAAACACCCTTATGCTAAATTATTATTTTTTGTTTCAGGAGGTCGTAGAGGAGCAGGCAACAGGAACCAGAACCGGAAACAACCTACTGCCCAAGAATTAGACGCCGAGCTAGATGCCTACACTAAAGAAATGAAGTAGGCTTGCTTTTAGGGGAGGGGCCCTCTAAAACGAAGAAATGTGTTATTTTTTTAAAATTAATTTTGGTTTTTATTTAATCTTTTTTCACTCCTTTCCTGTTCAAAATGTAGTTGATTTTTTGAGTGCTAACAGTCCGGATCTGATGTGTTAAACTTAACGAAATAAAAAATTTGTTTAAATTGTAGTTTAGTTTGTATTATAAGACTAGTATTAATGCGAATAGAACGATAAGATGATTAATAAGAATATAGTTTAAGTAAGGTTTGAGTTTTATTTGTTGATTATCTAAAAGAAAAATATCCTCACATCTTAAAAAAATACACTTTGTTTAAGAGGATGCCATCAACTGGTCAAAAAAATAAATAAATAAAAATACTTCAAGCAATCAGGGGGACTTCAAACTTTCAGGATTTATTCAGTAGGCTTTTCTTATTAAAAACAAAAGAAACGGCAAGTGAATCTCAGGTTCAGAGGTGGATTTAGTTCGTTGAACGGCACGCAGGTTTTTTACTTACGTCGTCGATGTCGTCATAACTTAGAGAAAAAGTTATGTCATTGATTAATTCATGGAGCACCTTCGGAATTATTGTTTTAACTTAGAAGAGAATTTTTTCAGTTATCCGAAAATATATAAATAAAATTTCTCCTAGAGTGACTTTTCACGGGAAATTTCCCTTGTGCATATTTAACTGGAAATTTACCTCGTAATTTTCAAAAATTGACAAGTGGAAATATCCCTGGTGAGCGGGATATTTCCGGGTGCAATTTCCAATGCGACAATGCCGCGCGGCGTCCGTCGGAAACCCACCTTTAGGTTGTCATTTTTGGCATTGAGACCACCTTTTCCATTTAAAACGCATTGATGTCAGAAATCTGTCACAGTGTATATTTTTTGACAAACACAATTTCACAAAACATCCCCCCTTAGAAAGGCAAGTGCCGTGTTGAGAACCTGTCTATTACAGTGGCTAAATAAACTAGTGATGGGTCCACGGGTTTTTAGGTTTAAACCCAAAAAACCGGTTTGGGTTTAAACCCACCCGGGTTTTTTCAGTGATGGGTTTAAACCCTTTTTGATTTTTTGGGGGTTTCTAGGAAAAATAGGTTTTTTGGGTATTTTAGAAAAAAAAAAACGTTACATGGTGGCGTAAAACAAGTTCTCTATAAACAGGTTAAACAAAAGTGTCCAATGTCCACAAAAAAAAACCAGAAGAATGCAAGTGCGAGCACTGCGAGCTAATTTAGGTATTAGGTTAGGTTAAGAATCAAGGATTAAGGTGACTTGTAGTAGTTTTATGTTTTCTTTTCTTTTGTATCGAGTTTATTTTTTTGTTTTTTTTATTCAGTTTATTTAAAAATATTAAAACACTAACAGCTGTATGCAACATCCTCTTTTAACTTAAAAGCGCTTTTTAAAACTGGTCACTTTTAAAAATATGTATTCTAAACCATACAAATTTTTAAAGTTACCAGTTTTAAAAAGCGCTTTTAAGTTAAAAGAGGATGTTGCATACAGCTGTTATTATTTATCCTAATAATTATCATTTAAAAGTTTGATTTGGTTTAAAAGTGTTCCTAGAGAAGCAAAAAATGAAAAACTTGGGTTTATTGGGTTTTTTAAGAAAAATCAGGGTTTAAACCCAAAATTTGAATAAACCGGGTTGTTTCAATGAACCCGGTTTTTTGAAATAGGGTTATTCGAAAAAACCGGTTCTTCCCAAACGGTTTTTAGGGTTTTTTCCAAAAAACCCGGTTTAAACCCATCTCTGAAATAAACCTTTATTTACGACTAATGTATAATGTGCGTATTATATTTGTGATTTTGGCAGTATAATGACATATGTTATTCCTCCAGGGATTAATGACGAGTAGCGGGATTAATGGTTATTATTCCACAAAAGTGTCAGTGTCAAACGTGTAGTGCTTGTGGATTTGTATTGAAAATTATGAGACGGATGAAATTTGTTCATTGAAAATCTCAAATAAATTAATTTGTCGTAAATAAAGTAGAGTACACTACTCGCAATAATGGCTCTAATCCTCGGAAATAACAGCTATCATTATTGACTCGTGGTATAATCTACTATTACATACAGTGGCGACAATAGAGGTCCCGCCGCCATCTTGTTCCCAACCTCTTGTTACTTTTAAATATTAGTATATAGGATTTAAATGGACATCTATCATAAAAAATTGAAATCGACGTATTTGATGACCATTATCAGGTCCATCAAATACGTTGTTTTCCATGATTTATGATGGATGTTCACCTAAATCCCATATATTCATATTTAAAAGTAATAAAGGGTTGGGAACAAGATGGCAGCGTTTTTAATGTAAATATATGGGATTTTAGAACCAATCAAAAATGAGACAGCAAATTGTCGCCACTGTGGGTTATAGAGTCACTGTACTGTCTATTACAGTGGCTAAATAAACCTTTACATACAGTGGCGACAATAGAGGTCCCGCCGCCATTTTGTTCCCAACCTCATGTTACTTTTAAATATGAATTTATAGGTTTTAAATGGACATCTTTCATAAAAAAATTGAAAGCGACGTAATTGATGACTATTATTAGGTCCATCAAATACGTTGTTTCCATGTTTTATGATGGATGTTCACCCAAATCCCATATATTCATATTTGAAATAAGCAATAGATGGGAACAAGATGGCCGCGTTCTCAATATAAATATATGGGATTTTAGAACCAATCAAAAAAAAGACAGCAATTGTCGCCACTGTGGGTAATAGAGTCACTGTACTGTCTATAAGTTTTCAGCGCCTCTAGTGACTGGGGGGGTCAGCTTTTGTAATTCTGGATTTATTGGCGAATGCAAAACGCAATTAGGGTTCGTTCGGTATCTTATTCGTTCCGGTGGATCGTTTGCACCGCACCATTGTTTGATTCTAGCGATTCAACACCACTACTTTAAAGTTTCTACCATTTTTTGGCATAAAATAATTGTGCCAAAAAGAAGAAACTCATAAAATCGGTAGTGTTGAAGCGCCTTCAAGGTAAAATTGACTAAGAATTAAGATGACAAATTTAGATATTTATTAAAGTTTGAAACAGAAAATATATTTAGAGAGTTATTGGAACTATTAAATACTGCTTCGCAGTATTAAGGATTTACGTTATTTCATTAGTGCATCAGCACTATTTTTCCAAGAAAAAAACAGTTATTGGAAGACTGTAGAGTATTACCTTATTTTGTATTCATAATTTTGACAGCTGATAGCTATGTTTATAAAATTCAGCCTCAAAAAGTATTTATTTTTGTTTGTGATTTTCTGCTGATACCCATTTTTTGATGTTACCCTCAGTAAAATGGAAAACTATTGTAAAAAATAAATTTTCTAAGTAAAATTACATCATCGTGGAAAAGCGAAATGTCAAAGTCGTCCAAAATGTCAGAAATTTGAAATAAGGGAAGTTTACGGCGTTGCACTAATCATACACAAATAAAGACAAGCAGTAACCTTATTAAGGGAATCCTTATTTTCGGACCCAAATGCGCATGCGTAGATGTCAAAATAAGGCTAATTTAAATACTGCTTGTCCTTATTGCACGTCCAATAACTCTCTATATGGAATTAATTACAATTATTGCGAAACAGTTTTTTTTCATGTAAGTATACATACATAGGTAGGTAATGCTAGTTAAGTTAAAGATAATAAGGACAGTTACAAGAAGTAATGACGTACATTAAACAATAGCTTGGTGAAAAACTTAAATCGTAAATAAAATGACAAAAGAGGTCCTTTTCTCACAATCCAGAATCGTTGTTAACCTAACAAGTGAGGAAAGTGTTTCTGCACGTGATGGAAGTTGCACGAATGACAACAAAAAGCAGAGTTCGGACAAGCCTTTAAGTCCAGAAAATACACTTTGCGCATGTGTTAGGTAGAAAGTTTATGTAGTTATACATAATATAAAGCTCATTCAAGAAACAGATTTCGCCTGGATGATAGAATAAATATTTTTGATAATAGTCTATACCCTTTACCACTAGCTTTAAGCAAAGACAACGCCAACAACTTCTCGTCCAATGTAAATCGTCTAGCTTTAGGCTTTTGGTTTTGAGTACGGACTTGGCTTAAAATAAAGCTGTATATCGATGGATTGACGTGGTCTACGAGCCTTTGAAATTTGGTTTATGATGCAAGTTATTCAGCAGCAGAAACTTTGGATTTAAATGACGACAACCTTCTACTGATTCTTCTTAACTTATTGCTGGATTCTATAACTTTGAAATAAAGATATTTTTCCCTTGGGGATAGGAATTTTTGCCTAGTGACGTTAATGTTCCTCAAAATTTGGCATCGTCTCTCATGACCTGCAAAAAAAAAATAGATCAAGATTGGAGACGAGCTTTTCGCACATTTAGCTTCTAATTTTTCTAGCATTCGACTGCAAGTTTTAGTAAGTAATTAGTAGTCTTTTATAGTAGTAGTCCTACTTGAGTTAGGATGTTTTAAAATTCACCTACTCCCAACTGGGTGGTTATTCATTAAGCAATAACACTTGGGTACCTACCAATAAAAGTTTTAAGAGACAAAGTTGGTTGGTGACTTTTTCATGTTTGCAGATGTGATGGTTCCACTTGGTGTAGCAATGTCTGCCCGAATTGCAGAAGTTTCAGTAGATAAAAATTGACGACATGAAGGGCCTGGTTTATCTAAAACAGAAATTTCGTTACCAATGATTCTACCAAAAAAGTTTGGATAGACGCATTGTAGAATATGGTGTACCTGTATGTAACCAGGAATATTTTAATTATTGTGTCTCCTGATAAAGGAATAAACATTTAAAAAAAAGAAATGAATAATATAAGCTTTGTTCCAACACAGCAGAAAACCGTACAATGTACCGTCACGATTCTGCGCAGAAACTAAAATTGTTATACTGAGTGGTTTCGAAACCGTTCATGGGACGATTTTTTGACGTGTTGGAACAGAGTTATTATGTTTACCTACCTATGTCAAATCATAGTTGCGAAACTAATTTCTGAAGGCGTCTTAGGACTCTCCGACGAGTTTCAACTGTGTCGATCTCCACTTTTTGCCATTTTGGTGATTGTGGTTTATCAATTAACGACTCCTCACTGTTTTTGATAATTGGGGCTAAAATTAAAATTAATTTTAATGTTTCTGACCTATGCTCCTTTAAACCCGAATTCTAACACGTTGTCGTTAATCAGAACTATGGGGAGGAGTAAGTGAAAATGTAAGTACGTCTTTCTCACATATATCTAGTATTAACTTACCTTCAGGGAGATACAGCAAAAGCGCAGCATTCCGTGTGAGTCCTCGTCTGGCTTTTGGATCGCCAACAATAAATTCTCGAGGAAAATGTCTTGTTCACACTCTATAATTATTATAAGCACTCGACACTGAGGCTATTTAGTAAAGGATTGCGAACTTTTATTAGCCATTGTTTCATTTTTTCGGCATCTTTTGGAAACCGGAAATAGCTGCTGTATTTGTCGCCGCACCCCGGAACACAGCATTTCTGATGCTTTTCAATTAACAAACTGGGAGAAGACATTATGAGATAATAATTATTGATAAAGGTAATTGATAATTCTAAATGTTGGGAGAAGTTCCAAATTTAAATTTTGACGACTGGAAATGGCAAAATAAACTTCAAATCTTGGCGCACAGTCCGACAGGAAAAAGAAAACTTTAATAGGTTGATTGAAGCGCCTCTAGTGATTGGAGGGGAAAGCTAAAACGACTAGACTGACGTCTCTCATAAGACTTACATTTCTAAGGGGGGATGTTTTGTGGTCGATGGTATTCCTTTCGACAACGTGCAATTTTCACGATGCAAGTTCAAGATAATTGAAAAAAATTATACATTTTTGTAAAGTAGAAAAATCAGGCTTTCTGACAATGACAAAAGATACGGGGTGTTTCATTAAAAATAAGGCAGTTATTTTATTTCAAAAAATCGCATGTCTGTAAAACCAAATTCCAGCAAATTTCAGGATTCGGCAATAATGTGGAAAAAAAATTTGAAAAATCCCTATTCTCACAGAACAAACCGCATCTCGTTATCTTTTCCCGTTTTCGAGATATTTACCTACAAAATGTGTCAGTTTATCTAAGGACACCCTGTATAATGAGCTCCTCATTTTCTTCTTTCTCCTGGAAAAATTTCACAAGTTTTGCTCTATTAGTTTTCCAGAAATAAATTGAAATGTGAGAGGATGAATTTTCCTTAATTTTGCTTAAATAAGTCAATTTTCCAGAATTTTTCCTGAAGTGATTTTTCACCGGAAAATTTTGAAATTTTGCTTTAATGAGATCCTCACTTTCCTCTTTTTTCTGGAAAATTTCCACAATTATCCTTTTGCCAGTTTTCTAGAAAAAAAATAAAATGTAAGAAAATAAATTTTGCTTAAAAAAATCAATTTTTCCTTAGTTTTTGCATTTTCGAAAAACTCATAATTTTCGTAATTCACCCGTAACTTTTTCGTAATTTTCCCATAACTTCAAAAATCATAATTTTTTCGTAATTCCCGTAATTTTTTGTACCCATTTTCAATTCTCCTAATTTTTTAAAAAACTTCGTTATTTTTAAATTCCCCCCTAGTTTTGTAATTTTCATAATTTCAAAAATTCGTGATTTTCGTAATTTCTATAATTTTTGTAATTTTTGTAATTCTCTTTATTTTTATAATTCCAGTAATTTTTCGTAATTCCTGCAATTTTCCGTAACTTTTCAAAAATTGCGAAAAAGTGAGTGTCAAAATCGCAGGAAAGTGACGTTGGAATTACGAAAAATAGAAGTAAAAATTACAGAAAAATGAGGTTGGAAATGTTGGAATTGCGAAAAAGTTGAGTAAAAATGGCAGAAAAGCAAGGTTATAATCGAGAAAAAATGAGGTTATAAATACGAAAAACAAAAGTAAAAATTTTGGAAAAATTAGGTTGAAATTGCGGAAATGTGAGGCGAAAATCCCGGAAAAGTGAGGTTATACTTATTGAAAAATCAGGCAAGAATAACGGAAAAGTGAGGCAAAATTCGCGGAAAAATTTGTTGAAATTGCGAGAAAGTGAGTTTGGACTTTGAAATTGCGGAAAAGTGAAGGTGAAATTGCGAAAAAAAATTGTTGAAAGCCGTTATTTCTCAAATAAATTTCGTTATTTTTATAATTTTTCCTTAGTTTTTGCAATTTTCGCAAAACTCGTAATTTTCGTAATTCCCATAACTTTTTCGTGAGTTCCTTAATTTTTCGTAACTTTCCAAAATGTATCGTAATTTTTCTGTAATTCCCGTAATTTTTGAATAATTCCTGTTGTTACATCTCATTACCTATATGTGGGAAAAATTTGTTAGGTGTTTGTCAATTTGTCATTTTGATTAATTGTAATTGTCATAGAATTATAAAAAAGAATAAAAAAGTAATGTTTAATTTGATGATACAGTCCACTTAATTTTCGATTGGTTGTTTTAATTCTGGAAGAAAAAGACACCATCGGCGAGGGAACAAAACACCTGTTGTTTCTCAGATTTTCGTAATTTTTTAATTTCTGTAATTTCTCAAAATATTCAGTTACTTATTTTATAATTCCCCCTAAGTTTTTGTTACTTTCAAAAATTCGTAATTCCCGTAATTTTCAATTTTTTTTTTTTGTGAATTTTCATTATTTCCGTAATTTCTCAGATAATTCTCCCTATTTCTATAATTCTTCCTTAGTCATTGCAATTCTTGGAAAACTCGTAATTCTCGTAATTCCCGTAACTTTTTCATAAATCCCGTAACTTTCCAAAAATTATCGTAATTTTTTCGCAGTAATTGTGATTTTTTCTTATTTCTTTTAATTTTTATATTTCCTTGTAGTTCCTCAAATTTTCGTAATTTTGTAATTCCCGTAATTTCTCAAAAAACTCCGTTATCTTTATAATTCGCCCCCAGTTTGTTGTGATTCTCAAAAACTGGTAATTCCCGTATTTTTTTTTTCTTGGAATTTTCGAAAATTCTCAAATTCCCGTCATTTCTCAAAAAATTCTCGTTAATTTCATAATTCCTCCTTAGTTTTTGTAATTTTCGGAAAATTCGTGAATCCCGTAACTTTTTGTAATTCTTGTTATTTTCGTAATTTTTTGGAAATTGTCACCATTTTTTTAATTCCCGTGATTTTTTCGTATTTTTCATAATTTTTGAATAATTCCTGTCGTTTTCAGATTTCCGTAATTTTTTAATTCCTGTATTTTCTCAGAAAACTTCGTTATTTTGATAATTCCGAAAACATGTAATTTTCGTATTTTAATTTGGGAATTTTCGAAATTTTGTAATTCCTGTCATTTCTCAGATAATTCTCGTTATTTCCATAATATCCCTTAGTTTTTACAATTTTCGAGAAACTCAAAATTTTCGTAATTCCCATTATTTTCGTTTTTTTTTTTTGCTTTAAGGGTGCTTAGCACCCCCCTCGTTGCGCCTATGCAAATAAGACAGTCAAATTCATATCAAAACAATAATTACTATTTACTTTTGAAATAGAAAACAATAAAGAAACAAAAAAAAAACAATCAAAAATACAATACAAAGAATCAATAATAATATAAGGCAGATTAATATTTTCTTTTAGCTAAAAAACATGGAATGGTACTTAAAATACATACAAATAAATTATAACAAAGATGGTTTATTGTCATCTTCGTTGTCAGAAATTTCCGAATTGCTGTCTTCCTCTTTAGGTAAAGCACCTATTTGTCGCAACTTTTCTTTAAATTTATTCAATTTGGTGTCTTGCGCTGTGAGAAGTTCTAGAAGATCGTCTTGATCTTTTTGGTAACTATAAAAGTTTATTTATAAGACTTATATATAATCAACTAACAAATTATACTATTACCTTTCTAATTCAGCTATTTTATCAGCTAATTCTTCATCTTTTTTAGCAAGTTGGGCTTTTAGGTTTTCTATTATTTCAGCAGAATTATCATTTTGATGATTTTCTAGATTGTTAATGTTAGCTCCACTTGACATTTGGGCTTTAAATAAAGTATGTTGGTCTATTAATTGTATATTGGTTTGTTGTAGTTCATCCTTTTGAGCCTATAACAATAATAGTGATTTATATTTATATAATTTTTTATAAATATTAAGTACTTATACCTTTACATCTTCAAATTGTTTCTGCAAAAACGCATACTTCCTTTGACACTCTTGTAATTTCTTATCCTGATCCCTAATCAAATCCTTATATTGCAACAGAAGGGCATTTTCATGCTCGCTTAAGCTCAACTCAGAAATACCATTGGACAAATCCCTTTGCACTCCTAAGGCTTGAATTATCGAGCCTTCCATTATTTTGAATAATTTGCAAAACTCAAATTCTATAAATTATTGTATAAGTATTAATTTGCTTAAATAAACAAGGGGTTTTATTATAGGTATATTTCTGCAGAAATTTCATTGATTGAAACAGACCTTAATATTTCATTTACCTAAAAGCAATTCACTAGAATGTTTGGCCCTAATTTGAGGCTGCTTGGCTGCTCTAGCGTACAACTCATGCCTGGCAATTTCATTGAGCTTTTTACAATAAGTTTCCAAACCAACTCTTTTCTCAATTAATTGGGACAAGTTCTCTTTCGAGTAATTCTGCACCGAATTGTCGTTGAACAATACGCAAAGGCCCATTATAAAGGCGCACATGCCTTGCAACAATTCGGCGTTATTGTCGAATTCGCTGGCCGAAGTTTGGGCTGTCAGAAAGGCCATCGCTCCCGGGACGTTTAGGAAAATTTTCACTGCAGGTGGACAATGAGCCATCCACATAGAGATCAGCATTAGAATACCTAAAATAATTTCAGTAAATTTCCTATTCAAATGAGGCCCCTCTGGAATTGAATTTCTAAAAACTTTGTTAGTTGAGGAATAGAAGAGTGTTTTTTGTACTTAATCTTCAATTTGGATCTGTTCTGGGACACTTTATCAGTTGATTTTTGTATAAGATCATTTTCAAAAAACAGGAAAGCGGCTTCTTTTTCTTGCGCTGAATCTCCAATTTGAAAGTGTTCTAGAACAGTTTGTCCTTAAATTTTGAAGATAAGATCACATTCAAGTGCCACAACGGCTTGCCAGTTCAGAAATACAGGGGCGTAGTCACCGGTGTTCCGCGTGTTCCACGGAACACGGGCCCGGTACCTCAAGGGGCCCGGTTCTAGATGTCAATATTATTTTTAAAATGCATTTTACACATTTGACGCTAATTTATATAAACATAAAAAATAATATATCTACAGAGTGTCCCCATTCAACTAGTCAAAAATGCTAGGATATACATATAGAGGAACCATAGAGAAGTAGTTTGAGATAGGATACCGAGGGTAGGAAGTGCGTCGTTTCCAAAATACAGGATGTTTGAAGAATCCCCTTTCATATCATCTGAAAGGCTAATGCTAGGCTGTTCAATTTTTTAGGAATTATTGATATTTAAATTTCAACACCCTTTATTTAGGAAGCGTCGCACTTCTGACCATCGGTGTCCTATCTCAAACTACTTCTCTATGGATCCTCTATATACCCTAGCATTTTTGACCAGTTGAACGAGGACACCTTGTATATCTATGTAGGTAAAGTCTAAAGTCTTCATTTCTTACATTCAGGTTACATTCTTATGTAGACTTATAATGATTTCTTTTATTCTTTTATGACAACTTTCCGATTTTACCGCTTATCGCATATCGTTTATCTTCAAAATTCATCAGTACGGGCAGTACGGCCGAACCACTCCATAGTATGCCAGGATTGCCAGGTATGCCAATTCAAGATCCTGCAATCCCTGCGTTGTGGTTTGTTGTACTGCCCTCTAATTAGGTGAGTTAAGCTTTAACATTAAGGGCCGGTTTCTCAATAGCGAGTCACCAGTCACCTCCGGGTTGGTTTTAACTCCAGGGTCAGCGTGTGAAGTTGCAATGTTTACCCTGGAGTTATGTCTAACCCGCGGAGGTAACTTGACACTGAGAAACCGGCCCTTAGGGTATTTCTGGCATTATAAAAAAATTGGTTTAAAAAAATCTCAAGCAAAAAAACAAAATCGACGTATCCGAGCTTCCATACTTTAGGTTCACCCTGTATATTTAAAAATAAAATATACATTTCATTGATTTTTCAATTTTTTTATCTCGCGGGAGTAAGGGCCCGGTAAAACTTTTGAGCACGGGCCCGGAGCATCGTCACTACGCCACTGCAGAAATAGAAGAGTGGAGTCGTTTTTTGTACTCAATCTTCAATTTGAATCTGTTCTGGGACACTTTATCGGTTGATTTTTGCATGAGATCATTTTTAACTACTACAACAGCTTGCTGGATCAAAAACAGGAAAGCGGATTTTTTTTCTTGTTCTAAATCTTCAATTCAGTGTTGCCAACTGCGGATCAACAATAGCTTTGTTCCAATCCAGCAGGAAACCGTAATATTATTGTCAGGATTCTGCGCACAACCTAAAATTTTTGTGTAGAAACCGAAATTCGTATACAGAGTGGTTCCGAAACCGTTCTGGGATGGTTTTTTGACGGGTTGGAACAAACTTTATTATAGTATAGAACGCTACAAAATAATAGTACATAAATTGGGCATAAATGCACCATCCAACATTTTATTTTTTTTCTGGAAAACTATCCAAAGGAAAATTATGAAATTTTCTGGACAAAACGAGAAAAGTCAGGGGTGTATCAAAGTAAAATTTCAGATTTTTTCAGTGAGATATAACCTCTTTGGACGTTAATGAAAATCAACTAAATTAGGCATAAATGCACCATCCAACATTTTATTTTTCTTCTGGAAAACTATTCAGGGGAAAATTATGACATTTTCTGGAAAAAAAAAGAGGAAAGTCAGGGACGTATCATAGTAAAATGTCAAATTTTTCCAGTGAAAAATAACCCCATTGAAAATTAATGAAAATCAACTAAATTAGGCATAAATGCACCATCTAACATTTTATTTTTTTTCTGGAAAACTATCCAAAGGAAAATTATGAAATTTTCTGGACAAAACGAGAAAAGTCAGGGGTGTATCAAAGTAAAATTTCAGATTTTTTCAGTGAAATATAACCTCATTGGAAATTAATGAAAATCAACTAAATTAGGCATAAATGCACCATCTAACATTTTATTTTTTTTCTGGAAAACTATCCAAAGGAAAATTATGAAATTTTCTGGACAAAACGAGAAAAGTCAGGGGTGTATCAAAGTAAAATTTCAGATTTTTTCAGTGAGATATAACCTCTTTGGAAGTTAATGAAAATCAACTAAATTAGGCATAAATGCACCATCCAACATTTTATTTTTCTTCTGGAAAACTATTCAGGGGAAAATTATGACATTTTCTGGAAAAAAAAAAGAGGAAAGTCAGGGACGTATCATAGTAAAATTTCAAATTTTTGCAGTGGAAAATAACCCTATTGGAAATTAATGAAAATCAACTAAATCAGGCATAAATGCACCATCTAACATTTTATTTTTTTTCTGGAAAACTATCCAAAGGAAAATTATGAAATTTTCTGGACAAAATGAGAAAAGTCAGGGGCGTGTAATAGTAAAATTTCAGATTTTTTCAGTGAGATATAACCTCTTTGGAAGTTAATGAAAATCAACTTAATTAGGCTTAAATGCACCATCCAACATTTTATTTTTCTTCTGGAAAACTATTCAAGGGAAAATTTCGACATTTTCTGGAAAAAAAGAGGAAAGTCAGGGACGTATCATAGTAAAATTTCGAATTTTTCCAATGGAAAACCCCATTGGAAATTAATGAAAATCAACTAAATTGGGCATAAATGCACCATTTAACATTTTTATTTTCTTTCTGGAAAAATATTTAAGGAAAAATTATGACATTTTCTGGAGGAAAAGAGAAAAGTCAGGGGCGCACTAAAATTTCAAATTTTTCCCGCGAAAAACAACGAAAAAAGGTGACTAGACATAAGGGCTTGCAGCCAACAAATTAGGCTTTAAAATATAGGCTAAGGAGAACTGGAATAAGGAATTTTTCCAGTAAAAAACTAAATAATTTAATAATGCATAATTATAGTATTTTAGGCGTACTTTAATGACCTTTGATAGTACATAACCATTCAATTATAGTACAAATACTATAATTATAGTACAGTTGGCAACACTGCTTCAATTTGGAAGTGTTCTAGAACAGTTTTCTCATAAATTTTGAAAATAAGATCATTTCCAAGTTCAGAAATAGGAAATGAGTGTAGTCGTTTTTTTGTACTTAATCTTGAATTTGAATGTATTCTGGGACAGTTTATCATTTTATTTTTGCATGGACCAGTCTTTGGTTCCAAAAATACAAACTTCAAAAAATAATTAACGTCTTAGACGCAAATTTTCAAATAAAATTAGCTACTCTTAGAGCCATAATTACCTGCATGTGAATAAAAAATCCACTAGAACTACTTATTGTCAACCAACCTAAACTATAAGGATCAAATTCTTACCTAGTTTGGCTTGTAATTTGCTAGTATGTTGCAAAAAGACTCCACATTGGCTCAGCAAGGTGACAGGTTGCGCCCCCAAGTTTGTAGCCAACAAAACTCGAAGCAATTGCTCTTTTTGCGCTGGATTTTCAATAAGACAGTGCGACAAGGCAACTGCTGAAAACCAATTACTCAACGGATCGTTACTGAACAATCCACTGCACAAAAGTTGACCAGTAGTCACTGCAGTGTTGCCACTAGAACTTGGCAATAAGGTTTGCACGACCAATTCCTGCCCGATTTCGTTTTTGTAAAGAAAACATTGGAAACAATACAACACTGCACACCTGAAATTATCAATAGATTAATATAAAACAAAAAAAAATTGGAATTTATCAACCTCAAGGCAAACGGTTGCTTCTCATTCACCATGGACATTATTAGGACAACCAGCGCAGGCCTGGGAGGGTTTGAGGGGGCCAAAACATTAGTAAAATACTCTTGGTTGGTTAAATTGCCTCGAATCACTTCGCCTACGGTATTTATTGTTTCGGTCAAAATGTCGGCTGGTACGCCGCTGGCCATCAAGATGCTGCACAATGCTTCAAGAAGATTGGCATTTCTGAGGGTTTTTTGACAGCTGGTTATAATTTGGGCTGGATTATTGGGAGACACTAGAGTCCGGACCAAGTGCAAGACGCAGTGGAAGTTTGACACTTTTTGCGGGCTCCAACCAATCTGGAATTTAATTTTAAAAGCTGGATAGAACATAAGCAAACTATATATACATAGGCGCAACTCTAAAGCAAAAATTAGCACTCCCATTTGGCATCCCACCATAGCACTACCTACAGTGGCACTACCTAACACTAATATAAAAAAACTGGGGCCGGTATTACAATATTTCCTTAAAATCAAGACTTACCCTGAAATATACAGTTTTTATGTTCCATTTGGGATGAACTGCGTATTATACAGGGTGTTCCTGAATATCATGTAATAGGTGTTTGGTGTTTGTTTATAACTGGAACACTCAGTAACTTTCTTATATAATTGAAAATAAAGGGCATGTTTTAGCTAGAAAATTTCTTGGTAAATTGCAACCTTAAGCGCTACAACGATATTTTTTTTCATCATAGGTTTACAGGGTGCGCCAAAAAGGTATTTTTTTCAAATGGAATGCCCTGTATAATAGTTGATATGTTTGTAAAGCTAACTTTCTAAAAAATTCAAAAAAACAAAAATATACAGGGCATTCCAATGGACAAAATGACTTTTTTGGCGCACCCTGTATACCTATGGCGACAAAAAAAAATCTCGTTGCAGAGATTAAAATCGTTGCAATTTACCAAGAAATTTTTCAATAAAATCTTAAATATGTTCTAAAAAATTGACTTATTTTAAAGCAAAATTGAAAAAAATTCACTCTCTTACATTTTATTTTTTCTGGAAAACTTGCAAAGGGAAAATTTTGAAAATTTTCCAGGAATAAGAGGAAAATGAGGAGCTTATTTTACGAAAATTTCGAAATTTTCCAGTAGAAAATCACTCCAAGAAAAATTTTAAAAAACTTACTTTTTTAAGCAAAATTAAGGAGCATTCACCCTCTTACATTTTAATTTTTTCTGGAAAACTGGCAACGGGAAAATTTTGAAATTTTTACAGGAGAAAGAGGAAAGTGATGGGGAAAATTTCAAAATTTTCCAGTGGAAAATCACTCCAGGAAAAATTTTGAGAAATTTACTTTTTTAGGCAAAATTCACTCTCTTATATTTTAATTTTTTTTTGGGAAACTAGCATAAGGAAAATTGTGGAAATTTTCCAAAAAAAAGAGGAAAGTAAACAGCTCATTATAGCAAAATTTGAAAATTTTCCAATAAAAATCACTCCATAAAAAATTCTAGAAAATTGACTTATTTAAGCAAAATTAAGGAAAATTCACCTTCTTACATTTTAATTTTTTCTGGAAAACTCGCAGAGGGAAAACTTTAAAAATTTTCCAGGAAAAAGAGGAAAGTGAGGAGCTTATTATAGGGAAATTTCGAAATTTTCCAGTGAGAAATCAATCCAGGAAAAATTCTGGAAAATTGACTTTTTCAAGTAAAATTAAGAAAAACTCATCATCTCACATTTCAATTTATTGCTGGAAAACTAATAAAGCAAAACTTGTGAAATTTTTCCAGGAGAAAGAAGAAAATGAGGAGCTTACTATAGGAAAATTTCAAAATTTTTTAATGAAAAATCACTCCAAGGAAAGTCGAGCGGAAAGTTTTGGAAAATTGACTTTTTCAAGCAAAATTCATCCTTTCACATTTCAATTTTTTTCTGAAAAACTGGCAAAGCAAAAATTGTGGAATTTTTCCAGAAGAAAGAGGAAAATGAGGAACTCCATAAAAGAAAATTTCAAAATTTTCTAGTGAAAAATGACTCCAGAAAGGATTCTGGAAAATTGAGTTATTTAAGCAAAATTCAGGAAAATTCACCCTTTCACATTTAAGTAATTTTTTTTTGAAAAACTGGCAAAGGGAAAATTTTGAATATTTTCTAGGAAAAAGAGAAAAGTGAGGAGCTCATTAAAGGGAAATTTCGAAATTTTCCAGTGAAAAATCACTCCAGGAAAAATTCAGAGAAAATTGACTTATTTAGGCAAAATTAAGGAAAATTCACCCTCTTATATTTTAATTTTTTTCTGGAAAACTGGCAGAAGAAAAACTTTGAAAATTTTCCAGGAAAAAGAGGAAAGTGAGGAGCTTATTATAGGGAAATTTCGAAATTTTCCAGTGAGAAATCGCTCCAGGGAAAATTCTGGAAAATTGACTTTTTCAAGTAAAATTAAGAAAAACCCATCCTCTCACATTTCAATTTACATATTTCTGAAAAACTAATAAAGCAAAACTTGTGAAATTTTTCCAGGAGAAAGAAGAAAATGAGGAGCTTATTATCGGAAAATTTCAAAATTTTCTAAAGAAAAATCACTCCAAGAAAATTCTGGAAAATTGACTTTTTCAAGCAAAATTCATCCTTCCACATTTTAATTTTTTTCTGGAAAACTGGCAAATCAAAAATTGTGGAATTTTTTCAGAAGAAAGAGGAAAATGAGGATTTCCATATAAGAAAATTTCAAAATTTTCTAGTGAAAAATGACTCCAGAAAGAATTCTGGAAAATTGAGTTATTTAAGCAAAATTAAGGAAAATTCACCTTTCACATTTATTTTTTTTTTGAAAAACTGGCAAAGGGAAAATTTTGGAAATTTTCCAGGAAAAAGAGAAAAGTGAGGAGCTCATTATAGGGAAATTTCGAAAGGACCCCGCACAAAACTTACGGAAAATGTGTTTATGTCAAATTGTCTGATTTTTTGATAGCTCGATATCCTGAATAAAAGTTATCATTGCGCCAAAGCCCAATAATGAACAGTTTTTGAAATAAACGCCCTTTTCTACTCTCACAAATATAGGTAAATCTTATAGACAATGACATCAAAAAATTAATTACCTACAGGTGAAAAATGCGGTGATAAATGGAATCAAAACACTGTTGCTTTGGGTCTTCCAGGAGAATGCTTTGGACTAGCAAAAAAACACTATTTCATTGGTAGTACAATTTTTGTTTATATGAGTATCTTCAATAATCAAAATGGAAAAATGGAGCTGAGTTTTTTGTTTTTGAGTATTATTACTATGGCTCATGTCGATTTCCAACATCCATAACCGTTTCTAGTAGGATTGTTGGGGGATAGTGCACATTGGGTTGATGTCGCGCATAACCCAACCCAAATACCATAACAAGCTTGCAATATGGCTACAACAACCCAATGTCCTTGCACCAGATTTGCAAGTGCAGTAATGTCCCAAAATTGCTTCTTCCATTTGTTCAGGATGTTGCTGTAGTTCCTGAACGGTTCTATAAGTAATCCATATTTGGTACTTAGTAGCATTTCTGAAGCGGGAATAAATTTGGGCCCGAATAAATCCCGGTTCTGGGTCGAGTTGATCTACCTGCAATTCATCATCGCCATCTCGTCGCAATTTTTCCTGTATATACGACGGCGCTAGGGTTACTTGGTACACACCAAATGTGAAATCTTTTAAATACTCGATATTCAATTGCGGAAAGTCCACCAATTGTCCGTCATTCAGCCGTTCCCAAGCAGCATTTCTCGCTTGCAGACCAAATTGCTCAACTCGAGCTTTAACCACATTAACCTCACCGGCTTTTTCCAACATGGATTGAGCCAGCTCAGCATTGCAGCCATTCATTTCTATAAGGGGATGGTACCTATTAATTATAGCTCCCGCAATCCGGTAAAAATCTCCTAAATGTGGTATATGCTGAAGGCTTATTGTTTGGCTGAAAAACTTGAACACGCTTTTAATGTGTCCATTTCGCGCTTCTACAATCCAGAGGGTTTTGGTAACCAAACGGGATTCATTTGCATCCTCAGTAGACAACTAGCGTTGTCCACGCTCCACACTACGAGGCATACGATATTGGATGTCAAGCGCCTGTAATAGTGGGATTGAATCCCTATACCCTCTATCAAGCTCAATAATGTCGCCGTTCTGGAACCATTCCCTCATGTTTTCGGCATCACGTTCAAACTCATTTCGTAGGACAGCCGCATCATTATTACGCGAGTCGGCAAAATAGGGACCTTGTACTGCCAAAATATACCCGTCTGGTGCTACTATCAGTGTAGGTTTCACAAGATGACGACCTTTGTGAATCGAAAACGTTTGTCGCAGGGTCTGGAAGTTGGAGCTTTTGGGAACATAGGAATACATGCCATCAATATATGCAATAACTCTCGGGGTGCCCGGATTCTCATTGTAAAGTATATTCGCAAAGGGAGGTACATGAGTTTCAATAAATGCGGCGCGATCAATAGCTGTAAAACCAATATTTTGAGGTACAAATCTTTGTAATAGAGATTGCCTCACGGTTGCTATCGCGAGACTTGCAGTTTGGCGACTTCTGTAATTGAAAATAGCCTTAACGAAACTATCCGACAATCCCTGTCGCATTTTGCACAAAAAGGCCAGTAGATCTTTTCTGGCAACATATCTATAACCATTCTCTATCGGTATAGGATCGCAAAGATCACATAAACTTCTAAACTGAACTTTCGTGATAGGGGCGATGCTTTCAAAGTCTGCATCAGAAAAATAATCTTCACTATCAATTTTGGGATGTTCATTAGCTGTATTTCTCAAGTGTTTCAAAAACTTTTGCAACTCTCGACCTGGAATTATGTAGGGCCTGTTTACAAATCTCAAACCTGGCAGAAGTCTTTGCAGAAGAAAACCGTTTCCGTTCAAATGGTGAGCACAACTTTTGACATATTCTGGAACATAATATGTCCCTATTAAGGAAGATATTCACCCTGGCCTCGGTAGATAATCGGGGTTCATTTGGTGAGTTGCAAATGAGACACGAATGGCTTGAACTTTGCATCAAAACATTGAGCCGCAAACAAGTGGGATCTCGCTGAAGAGCATTTATTTCCCTAATAATGGATCTGTTTCAGCTGGCACAAATTCTTGTGAGTTCATTGATTTCTATAATAGGCCTGATGTTTGCTAGACGCCTTTGTTGAGCTATGGTACACTTATCGGCATTTTCATCTCCAACAAGACGCACCATTAATCGGGGAGGAAGTGCCGCCGGACATATGAAACAGTGCAATATATTCCTCATTGCCATGATCAAAAAGACTTTATGAATCGGAAGAAAAATGGATCAAACTATAAAACAATTTACGGTTGCGGAAGGTGTGGGGAAAACCTGAACTTTTTGGAATTCACCTATCTATTTTTATCTGTCAAACGCTGTCAATACAGTTCAATTCCGATTCTAAAAAAATGAAAACGCTTCAACGCATTTTTCACCTGTAGGTAATTAATTTTTTGATGTCATTGTCTATAAGATTTACCTATATTTGTGAGAGTACAAAAGGGCGTTTATTTCAAAAACTGTTCATTATTGGGCTTTGGCGCAATGATAACTTTTATTCAGGATATCGAGCTTGACACAATATCAAAAAATCAGACGATTTGACATAAACACATTTTCCGGAAAAATTGACTTATTTAGGCAAAATTAAGGAAAATTCACTCTCGTACATTTTAATTTTTTTCTGGAAAACTGGCAATGGGAAAATTTTAAAATTTTTACAGGAGAAAAAGGAAAGTGATGAGCTCATTAGAGGAAAATTTCAATATTTTACAGTGAAAAATCACTCCAGGAGAAATTTATTTATGTATTTTCGGATAACTGAATAAACTCTATTCTAAGTTAAAAAATGTATTAAAAAACAATAATTCCGAAGGAAAGAATTAAACTATGACTTAACTTTTTCTCTAAGTTATGACGTCATCGATGACGTAAGTAAAAACCTTCGAGCCGTGCAACAAACTATATCTTTGTTTGAAGTTTCAGAAATAAAAAAACCTATTTTTCAAAAAAAAAAAAGGCAAATGATGACGTAAGTACAAACCCTCGTGAAACTAACTTTTTTTACGTGTCTCATTTCTTTTCCATCAAACTCCATCAAAAAAAAAAAAAAATGATGCTGCCCCTCAAGTTTGGAGCCTAGTTGCGCTTATGCATATACAGGGTGACACAAGGAATAGGGAACAGCCTATAACTTTTTTAATATATAAGTTGAATATATGTATTTGGAAACGGGAAAAAAAGATCTTCCATTAGAGCTTAAAATATACAAGATGTTCTTTTAGAAGACTACGGAAAAATATCCATTCCTTACCTCTTCAAGATTTTCTGGCAACACAAACATAGGAGTCAATTTCTGGATATAAGAACCCTCTTTGAAAAAGTTAATATTGCTTGTATTGTTTTGCAATAGATTGAGCATTAACAATAAACAATCTTCCACAACAATACCACCATCTGTATATCCCTACAAAAAACACAAAAAATTAAAATAAATTCAATTAATCATCGTGACATTTACTTCGTCACTGATAATATTCAATAGCTTATCGAAAGCGTTTTCAAAAGCTACAATTTTCTGAATATTAGCATTGGATTTAGTCAAGTGAATCAGCAACAATACTGCATCATTTCTGACTACTTCACGGTTTTCTGCTAGAAGATCCATCAACTTGGACATCCCCATAGGGCTGACTAGAATTATTTCTTGCACCTCTTTGGGTTTACATGTTGTCAGGGAAATTAGGAACTTTATTGCAGGCCATCTAACTCTAATAATAATTTATTTAGGTAAATTATTTAAGGTAAAAATAATTTGTTTGTTGATTACCTAAAATCATATTCCTCCAAGTAACTAAGAATTACAGGCAAATTTTCTGGGTTTTTCAAAAACATTTCCGAGAATTGCTCTCCTACATTTAAATTAGGATTAACATCATTTTCACGTTCTTCTTCGAATATTTCTTTTGAAGTTATATTGCATAGAGTATCTAAACAATAACTAAAATAATTATATTATAGTAATGCCATTAGGTATATCCTGTTCACAATCCAATGTCCACAGGTGCAGGTAAATTTATCACCTTTCCCTATCAAATAGTATTGAAAAGTGATAAATTTTACCTGTACCTGTGGACATCGGATTGTGAACGAATAATATCATAGTTATATTGTACCCAATAATTTCTGGATCGGCTCTATCCAGCTCCAAAACCTGCCTCAAAACGTCCATACCTTGGGCGCCCACTTCAAGCCTGTATTTTTTCGATAGAGCCCTAAGGGCTCTGCAAGCATCTCTACGGTCTTCCAGTAAAGTACTGGTACTCACTCTAGATACTAGTTTTTCTACCTAAAAGTGTTTTCATTGAAAAATATGTTTCGGCTCAAAAAGTGAATGGAAAAGCTTACTGTTTCAGGCCCTGTTGGTTGGGTGCCAGGAGGTGGGCCCCCCAAAACCGACTTCAAACCGCTCTTGAAATATTCCATTTAGTAATTATTGTTTATTTTATTTATAAATAAATTTATTTCATTTTTTATTGATTTAAATAGTACACATATACACAAATAATGAATGGTTGTCAAAACAGCTGATATGAAATCTGGCAACAAAGCAAACGTCATCCCTTCACTTCATTCTGTAAATAACTTTGTCCCTGGAACACATTTCGAACCACTTTGGCACTAATTCAGGATTGTTCTAGAGCAGGAATTTTATTCAATTGCACCGTACGTTCGGTATTTTGATCTGAGTTCTCCTAGCTTGAAATTACCGTTCGTTTATTTCAAAAAGGTGCTCGGTGCAGGCTCATTCGCGTTCTTTCATTGAAATTCCTAGCTCTCTGATACAGCGTTTAACTGCTCTGTGCGCTCGCTGGTCACGTGATTATGGCTCCGCTCTTTGAGCAAAATACAGATCGCAAGGTCTGACGACGAAAATTAAGAACCAACTCCTTACCTTCGAATAATAATTATTATGATAACATTCCGAACTAGTTCAGGATCAGCGCGTAGAGCGCTTATTAAAATATGAACATTGTACCATGAACTGGAAACGAGAGCTTGGAACTTTTTAAATTCCTGGGCTGGGATTCTGGGATCACGACAAGTAGAATACTACTTCCATGACGTCACCCGTTACCCATTTATCGTGTACAGTACAGGCGATGATGACGGTTGCTAGGCAACCTGACGTCATGAAAGTAGAATTCTAGCGGAATTCTACTTGTCTTGATCCCAGCCCTGGAACCGAGAGAACTGGTTCAGAATCGATCCGGAACCAGTTCTAGTTGAACCGAGAACTATGGTTTCTAGTCAGTTCCGAATTCTTATTGCGAACAAAGCCATGATAAGAAATCTGAGCTGCTTTCCAGTATGCACATTGGCGCGCTCTAAAGCACCTCGGGGGCGCCACGCACTAGATTTGTACCGTTCCAGTATCATGGCGTGAGACGCCTGTCTTGTGTCAAATATGTCAAATTTTAAAAATAATTATCTGTTTGTGTGTGCAGTTTGTTTTTTTATTTATCAAAAATGAAAGAGAATTAAAACTAGAGTAAAAATCAAACGAGAAGAAGCCACACGCATTATCGTTTGTCTCACTTTAAATAGGAGGAACCCAGAGAAAAGGAAATCTGCCTTCTTTGTCAGCGATGATGTCAATGGCTTCTTCTCGTTTGATTTTTACTCTGTATTTTGAAAATGTTCAATCCCGAGATATAACAAGAAATAAATAAATAAATAGCCCTCCACGAATGTGACAGCTGACAGGTTGACGCGTACGTACAACTCGGGAGCGTCACACTCCCATACTGGAAAGCGGCTCTGGCTACAGTGCAAACACTCTACAAATAGCTTTGTTTACAGTTCACATTTCGAACCAGTTTGGAACTAATTCTGAATTGCCGTAGAGCACATCCTAAATTAGTTCATAAATAATTTTATTCTATCGCAGACGATTTCGGAACAGACAGCGAAAACTCAGAACTGTTCGCCACCCAAGTTTAGAACACTAGAGCTACTCGCTCCGGTGTAAGTCGACCACGATTTGAAAGGAACAGATGCGCTGGCTTCCGTGCACTAAATAGTTTGAGTTCGGGCTTGAGCACTCAGGTGCAACAGACACTTTTCGAAAGGAATAAGCGCGTAACGCCCGGGAGTTGTTCCGGTGCTCCTCCTAGGTGTGAAAAGAATACAATACAACTTATTAACTTTGCTCGCGGATTCCTCTCTAACTCAGTTCAGATTCAGAAGTGATTCAGGATCGTGGAACTAGAACAATTTTAGAACAAGAAACGGGAGCAACCTTTTACCTACCATCTACCACACAATAGTTCTTTTCACGTGGCTCCGGTTTAACTAACCGGGTTACAAAACGGTTAGAGAAATGACATACCGTTTTTTAACCCGGTTACAAAGTGACGTGATCAATGAACTATAACCAAAAACTGGAATGCTAACACATAAGGAAGGACGTGAAGCCTAGTGCAGCTGCTGCGGAGGGGATACCTGTTTTTGTCGCACTCATTATGTTAAATGGCGAAAATTGCTTCCAACACGTATTCCAATTGATGAAACCTGTGAAGGAAAATATGACAAAACTTTCGAAAACGTCATATGTCAGCGAGCAACAGAAAAAAACAACATTCCCCCTTGTGGCATCTGTCTTTCATGGCTTCATTTTTTGGGCAGATATGGCAATGTGCGCGCATTCCAGTTTTTGGCTATAGTTCATTGGACGTGATGGATACCTACCACTCGAATTTGAGCGGTATATTGCGGTTTGTTAAACCGGAGCCACGTGAAAAGGTTTAATATAGCCAACATCGATTAAAGGCGATTAACCGGTCGGTCATAGTTGACAGAAAACCAATGAAGCAAACGTCATTTGTCAACCAATCGGTAATAAATGACGTTAAATGCATTGTTCATCTGTCAATATAACCGACTGGTTAATCGCCTTTAATCGACTCAAGTAACTCCAAAATCGAGTCCAAAGTCCAAATTATTTGAAAAATATTTAAAATTTGAAAGTATTGACAATTTTACATTGTATTGCCAATATAATGTCATTTTGATTTTCATCTTTAAAAAAAAACAGACATTAAAATTGTCGAAGAATACATGCATAATGAACTAGTTCAGGATCTTATTTCATCGCAAGCGAATTTGAGCTAGGTGTTTTCTCGAGAAACGACAAAATGGTCGCGTTCACCAGCACTCAACCTGTTGAGTGATTAGTCAGCGGCTTTGTTGAGGATCAGTTTCTAGCGAGTCATCTCCGGGTTGGTTTTAAATCTAGTGTAAACGTGTCCAGTTGCAATGTTTACCATGGAGTTATCCTTAACCTGGAGGTGACTTGCTATTGAGAAACCGGCTCTGAATTGAAAACAGATGAAAATCAGCTCTAGACCAATCAAAACTATTCTACCTTGTGTATTCCACTCAACATTTTGAATGCTGGTGAACGCTATCAAGGGTCTCAAAACGTGGATTGGATTTTATTTTGAACCGGTTTGAACCAATTTTGATGTGACGTCATGGGTTCATCGCGAGAATAAACCTACTGTTTCAAACCTGTTTTGAACGTTGGGATTACGCGTCCCCATATTGGTTGTCGGGACGCGTAAATGTCCCGTATTCTCTGATATTTTAAAAAACGTGAAATAATTCGATTTTTGCGTCTCATTCACAGTCTCTGCGGTGGCATAAATGAATCGATTTTTGCGCTCCTCATCACTAGTATCAGCAAATCGCAAGTGGTGATTATTCGACAGCATTTGACAGTTCAGAATTTGGCGAGTTCGGCACAAGGATATACACACCACTAAGGATTGCTTATCGGCCTCATTTTTGGTAATCGCCGCCATAATGGTGTATCATCATTGCCGACGTCATCAACTAAGTCGTCTGCTGTTTGCGCCAGCAGTCGTGGTTTAGAATTTAAATCTATGATGAAAAATATTATTTAATTTTATTTTGATTACCATGATAGGCAAATAGGAAGATGCAAACGAGATCTAAAAATAGTTGTTTTAAAACGAAGTATGCATAAAGCAAAAGCCCGTGGAATCATAACCTGTAGTGCAAACAGCCTATGTCAAGGCGAGAAACGACATGCTATCTACGTCACAAATGGTGATTTGGTGGGGTAGGGGCAGAGATATGGGAGAGTTGTTGGTTAGAATAGAATAAGGGTCCATCCTGCGCAACTGGCCGAATTTGAAGGACCGCCATTTTTATCACTTGTCAAATTCGGATTTGGAAAAATAAGTTATGAACAACTCATCATAACTCCAAAAATGAACAGAAATAAGAAAAAGAAATCTTTTAAATTACCACTCTGTTAAAAATATCTCAGGAAAACCAGAAAAAATCGCCAACAACCACAATCTGTAACCGACCAAAAGTAAGGTTATGTTGTGAAAAATCTGTCAGATTGAAGTTGTCAACGTAAAAACTAATAAACCCTTTTCACGTGGCTCCGGTTTAACAAACCGCAACATACCGCTCAAATTCGAGTGGTATCGATCACTTCACTTTGTAACCGTGTTAGAAAACGGTATGTCATACTTGACACACCGCTACTAACCGTTTTGTAACCCGGTTAGTTTAAACCGGACCACGTGAAAAGGACTATAGCGTTTTCGATTGGAAAATTTAATGAGCATTGAGTGTATTTTCATCCTTTTTCATCAACCTGTAGAAGAAAAAGACAGAAATAAAAAAAAACTGTACTTACTAGATCTACTAATCGCAAATGGCATAAGTAAAAACTAGTGAAAAGTGATAAAAATGGCGGCCCCCTATGCGTTACCAATAAATCGGATGCGCAGTCGTCTAAGCGCATTCTATTTCCCTCACATATATCTGGGTAGGAGGCTTCAGATTTGTTTTACACAGGCCTTATGAGGATAGGCTATCCTGCAGTAGTAGTGTGTATTATCCGTGGGTTCGGCCTACAGGCATGGTCCCGAAAAAAAAATTCACCTGCGGCGCTATTTTTTCTATAAATACATGAAACATCTGCCTCATAAAAATGTCCTGTTTTTTAATTAAAATAATATGGTAGCCTTAACCTAACGTAATGAAAATAGATTTCCAGTGTAGAATTCTACTTGTCGTAATCCCAGCCCAGTTTCAAAAAATTGAACGCCAGAAAACAGCTCAAGCTATGAACCTAATGAACCTTTTACCACAAACAATTTTGGAACAAGAAACGAAAACTTGGAGCACGCAAATCCCTAGGGGTTGGTTTCTCAATAGCAATTCACCCCCAGTTTAAGCATAACTCCGGGGTAAACATACCAACTGGACATGCTTACCCTGCAGTTAAAACCAACCCGGAGCTGACTCGCTATTGATAAACCGGCCTTATTAGAATCAAAAACATTCCACCAAATACGATTGTTTAACCTAATCAGGCGTACATTCGCCAGTTTTTAAGTAATAGCAGCTGATAGTGGTGATGTCAGTCGCAGACCTCAATAGACTGTTCTGTTTGCGATTTAGGCTGTGTTTGTAAGTTGATGTTTTCGTCGATTTTAAATGTGAGAAAGGTGATTTTAATGTTTAGGAACTCATTGTTTTGACCTATAACATTTAATGTATTTTGCGCTAAGAGTTGAGGTCTGCGGCTGTGACGTCACAAATAGTGGGGAGTTGTCGCGTCGACGTGGCAGAAACTTTCAGCTCAATAAGCGAGTCCTCTGTGGTTGAGTGTTCTTGCCCCAGAACCATTGAAACTACTCCCGAATGAGTTGTGAGAGCGAACAAAGAGCTGTAAACAAAAAAATTGGAAATTACTGCAGTGTGAACTGCGCATGAAAATAGTTCCGAATCAGTTCTGAATCCTTGCTGCGAACAAAGCCTTGACAAGAAATCTGGCAACCGTGCAAAAATCATCTTCATTCAAATAGATTTGTTCCGGTACACATTTCCAGCCGATTCCGAACCAGTTTGGAACTAATTCTATGCAGAGCTGCTTTCCAATGGCGAATTTTAAGGTGCTCTACACATCTCTGCTCTACACCCGTAGCTTTTACACTCTGGTGCTCCAAACAACTGTTTTTTCACTGGAACGTGTTTCTGATGCACCCATAAAATTGCTGTAGTGTTTGAAGGGACAGGGGAGACGAAAAACGAACAATTCAGTTCCACGAAACTCTGAAGCAGTGGAACGTCTATAAACAGCCTGGGGCGCTATAGAGGAGCAGCTCGGAGTGCTTAAAGTGCGGCACTGGAAAACGACTCTGGATAGTTGTAGAGCGCATACCTAATAATTAAGCCTAGTACTTATAACTGCAAAATTCGCACTTTTTTGACACTGCTTCGATAATTTGACGTTGGATTCACGCATAAAACGTCAAATTGTCGACGCAATGTCAAAAAAGTGTGAATTTCGCGGTTATGAGTACTAGGCTTTAACCAGGTTCTGGATTATTTTATCCCAGACGAAATTGGAAGATTATGAACTTTCACCAAGAACAATTTTGGAATAGAGACAGAAATCTCTTTCAATCCTTAAAACCGATAGATCTAGTGGAACTGTGTATGAGCGACATAACTGTAAATAGTTCCGGATTGCTTTGAAGAGAATAAACTCAAAACTGCCTATGTCTCGAACCAATGGTTTTTGTTCCATAGAACTGGTAGAGCTAGTTCAGAATCAATCCGGAACCAATTCTAGTTTTTCCGCGAACAAAGAAAAATCAGAAAGAAGCTATATCTGCAAAGTATAATGTGAACTAGGCATGCGAATTGTTGCAAATCAGTGCTGAATCCTGAAACGCTTTCCAGTATGCACATTGGCGCGCTCTGGCGCGCTCTAGAGCACTTCGGGGGCACCACGCACTATATTTGTACCGTTCCAGTATCATAACGTGAGACGCCTGTCTTAGTGTCAAATATGTCAAATTTTAAAAATAATTATCAGTTTGTTTGTGCAGTTTGTTTTTTTATTTATCATAAATGAAAGAGAATCTAAACTATATTTTTTTAAATGTTCAATCTTGAGATATAACAAGAAATAAATAAATAAATAGCCACCCACGGATGTGACAGCTGACAGGTTGACGCGTACGTACAGCTCGGGAGCTCAACGCCCCGAGTAGCTCCGGGCGTCACACTTCCATATGTGATTCAAGTAGAATCAGTTCAGAATCGATTCTGAACTAGTTTTAAGAGTATGATCAGAACTACAAAGTCGAGAAATGCATAGTTTCGACCGAGGTTTGTTTCGATGGTAGAGTTCCTCTCGTTGCTTGTCCCGAACTGTTCGCGGTAAAATATAACACGCTCATAAAAAGTATTCCTCATTAGAAGCTGTTCGAGAGTTTAAAACACTAGAGCTACTCGCTCCGGTGTCAGTCGACCCCGATTTGAAAGGAACAGTTAAGCCTAGTACTCATAACTGCGAAATTCGCACTTTCTTGACACTGCTTCGACAATTTATTTGATGTTTGATTCACGCATAAAACGCCTGGCTTTCATGCATTAAATGGTTTGAGTAGGGCTTGAGCACTCCAGAGCTGCTTTCCAGTGCCTAAATTGTTAGAGTATCATGCTCCTGGAGTGTGACGCACTTGAACTGTTCCTCACAAGTAGCACTGGAACGCTCCAGTCTTAACCCCCACCATTTCGGACTTCAGGAGCATGAAACACTGAAATAAAAGTTGTTGCACGAGGGAGCAGGGGATAACAGAAATGAGTTCAAGTGTACGACACTCTAAGCACCGAAACGCGCAAAGTAATTGTGGAGCACTCCTGAGCTGCTCACGAGTAACTTGAATGGGTCACTGGAAAGCACCTCAGAGGTGCTTTCCAGTGTCCCACTTGAGTTACTCCTGAGCAGCTCAGGAGTACTCCGCATTTACTGGCGCCGTTCCAGTGCTTGGAGTGTCATGCACTTGAACTACTCATTTCTGTTATCCCCTGCCCTCTCGTGCACCTACCATTAGACGATTTCACCACGTTTTGGTAACCCACTGTGGTTGGTCAAAAATGTACCAACCAATTTCGGCACGAAAAACAATGACGTCACGATAACTTTGGTATCTATTTTGGTATGTCAAATTGGGTACCGAGCTTGGAGCACGGTTATTTGAATTGGTAGCATGCTATCTTTCTCTGTTTTGGAGTAATTTAACCTAACTTTTTTGTTTATATTTGAAATTAGGCAATCCAACGACCTGTCCAAATGGCGTCTGGTTAGGCAAACAATAAACAAAAAACATATGTTTTTCTTTTGGCAGGATTAAGCCTAGTACGCATAACAGCGAAATTCGCTCTTTTTTGTCATTGCTTCGACAATTTGACGTTTTATGCGTGAATCAAACTGAGGAATCAAACGTCAAATTGTCGAAGCAATGTCAAAAAAGAGCGAATTTCGCGGTTATGAGTACTAGACTTTATCAATCTGACACTTTCTGACATCGTTGACATGTAACAACCCGTATTCTAACCTCATAAAAATTTCAAAATGCCGGCTGGTTGGCAAAAGTCCGTGGTTTGGATTCCCTAATTATACACAACAAATAAACACAATTAATTTTCACTATTCCCAATTTTAATTTCCAACAATAAAAAGTATTCAGTATTTTGTTTATTTTTATTTTCTCAGGCATACCATCACCACACGTCATACACGTGACATTTGACGCATTTGACAAACCGGCCGATTTCGGCTGAAAGTGGTATGCGACGTCACTGGCGTGACGAAGAGCCTACCTAGCGGTTAACCAATTTACCTACCAACCAAAACGTGGCGAAATCGTCTATTGTTTCGGTGTTTCATGCTCCGAAATGGTGAGGGATAGGAAAATTCAGGTTATTTTCATTCGGTTTCTTTGAGAGTGTTCCAGTGCTGCTTATGACCAACAGTTCAAGAGCGTCACACTCCAGGAGCATGATACTCTTATAATTCGTGCACTGGAAAGCAGCTCAGGTGTAACAAGCACTTTTCGAAAGGAATAAGCGCGTAACGCCCCGGAGCTCCTCCTAAGTGCGAAAGGAATACAACTGATGTTTCGTTATAGAAAAAAAATTACGTCGGGTGAATGCATTTATTTCATTTGTGTTGTGACACTGCATCCAGTGGCGTAGGTAAAAACGGTTTTTTGTTATTGTGACAAGTAAAAGTGAGGTTAGTTTTTTCTTCTACAACACAAAAACAAACCAGCCATGAGCAAAAACAAGGAACTAATATCAAAAATAGGGCTCCGCCTCGATGGTAGAAGAGCCGACGAACTACGAAGGATCCGTTGCAAAATGGGAGTGTTCGCTCAGCCGGACGGCAGCGCCTACATAGAACAAGGCCTCACCAAAGTCCTGGCGGCCGTGTACGGGCCCCACCAAGTAAAAAATCGCCAAAAGGCCCAGCACGACACGTGCATCATCAACACGCAGTTCAGCATGGCTGTATTTTCGACGAACGAGCGCAAAAAACGACCCAGAGGAGACAGGAAGTCGACCGAAATGTCTTTGCATTTGCAGCAAGCTTTAGCTGCAGTAATTGAGACTGATTTGTATCCTTGGTCTCAAATCGATGTTTATGTGGAAGTTTTGCATGCAGACGGAGGCATTTATCCTGCTTGCGTTAATGCAGCTACTCTAGCTATAATTGATGCTGGAATTCCTATAAAGGAATATGTGTGCGCTTGTACAGCTACTTTAGCTAACAATGAAATTCCAATGTTGGATATTTCGCATCAGGAAGAGGTCCTTGGAGGGGCTACTTTAACTGTGGCAGCTCTACCAATGTCAGGCAAAATTGTTCTAATGGAAATGTCTCAAAGGTTCCATTTGGATCATTTACCTAAAGTACTTAATAAGGCTTTGGAAGGTTGCAAGGATATTAAAGTAATTTTAGATGAAGCTGTTAAAAATCATGTTGCAGAAATGGGTAGTTCTACAGGGTGGGCTAATAGTAGAACTTGATTGAATAAATACATTGTTTTTTTTTTTATATTGGATATTTTATTGCTAAGCCTATAAACCTACAAGTTTTGAACACTAAATTATTTGAGACTCTACAATTGAAGTGGATTTATTAAATCCAGAAATATATTATATCTTTTTTTGTAGATTCACCCTGTTTAAATGTTTTAGTAATTTTATATTGAATAGTGGATGTTTAAATAGAGAGTTCCTAGAGTGGATTAAGGACAGATTGGTATAATTTTTCAGTTAGTAAGACATTATTTTCCAATTTAACTGTCCTCATTATCTGTTACCATTTCCATGCAATGAGAAGATTGGTAATGTATTGGACACCCTATTAGAATTTTGACCCAATAAAATTACTCTGTCCTTAAATTAACACACTCCAATTAAAAATTCACACAAAAATAATTATTAGTAGCGTTTTATATACAACTTATCACACTTTAAAAATTAATTATTACATAATACAAAAAGGCTTTAGTGATGAAGTGAAACATTTTTTTATAAAAAGTTGTTGACAATTTTCTTTCCCTAAAATCAAGGACCAAGTAAATGCAAAATAACTGGAAACTCCAGTATTGTCTGTTATAATACTTTTACATATTAAAAAACTTAAAAAAGACCAAATCACATAGGAATTATCAGTATAAAAAATATATAATTAAAAAAAAAAAAAGAGAACGCATAATATATATTATTAAACTCTAAATAAATGGCAGTACGTAAAAAAAATGAATGTTTCAAGGAATTACTTACTGTTTTTATGTCTGAATACAACCTCTAGTTGTCCTTTGCAAATACATTTCATAGAGCAACTTGTTTATATTGAAATAATGTGGATTTTGGCTTTCGTCTAAATCTGGCGAATAATGATTTGGGGGGCAGTTCCATTGAGTGCCGTGCTTGGAACCATTCGGAGACTCTGGCAGACTGTGGTTATTGTTGGTGACTTGCTGAAACCATTCTGGGTTCATCATGTTCGAATTCGATTCTGTCAGCATGTTGTTTATGTGCAGATTGTTGATACGTTTCGATAGGGGCATGAATTCGGTCTCGTCTGGGACACTCCTAGTGCGTTTTCTGAGGAAAAAAAAAAATAAAGATGGATTAATATTCGAATGCAAGTTTTCAATACATTTCTATCACTAGATTTAAGTGTTGATTAAAAATAACTAACTTACCTATTTTGTGTCATCTTTTTGATGAATTTCCTGGCGTAATCGGAGGGAAACAGGTCAATTTAGGTACAAAAGAAAATCTAATGATTTTTGGTTTGTGATAAATGAAAAAAGTTGCTGAGGGATTTTGCGTCAAATAACAGCTGTCAAAAGTTAACCTAGAAAAACAGTGGCGTGCCATAAATACATTGGCTTTGTTCGCGGATCCCACTCCTGTAGTTCAGAATTATCCAAGAATATTTACTCGTTATAAATCCGAGTAAAAATATTATACTTGAGTAACTCTAATAACGAATACTTTTCATGAATAGCTCGTTTAACTTTACCGCGAACAATTCCGAACAAGCAACGAGAATTCGGAACTCTTGGCTTTCGTGCATTAAATGGTTTAACTTCGGGCTTGCCTCTTAGGTGTACTCTGTTCAGATTTAGAAGTGATTTAGGATCGTGTAACTGGAACAATTTTAAAACAGGAAACGAGAACAACCTTTCACCTACCACACAATAGCTGAATTCCTTTCATGTTTTTGAAACACTAGAGCTACTCGCTCCGGTGTTAGTCGCCCCGATTTGAAACGAACAGATGCGCTGGATTTCATGCATTTTAATGGGTTACTTCGGGCTTTAGTACTCAGGTGCAATAAACACTTTCCGAAAGGAATAAACGCATAACACCCCAGAGCTGTTCCGGAGCTCCTCATAGGTGTGAAAGGAATCAAATCAAATCAAAATCAAATAAAAAAGGTGTGAAGTCCAAAATATTTGAAAAATATTTAAAATTGTCAAAAAGTGTATGCATAATTATCAACTATAATAGCTCAAGATTTTATTTCATCACAGACGAATTTGAGCCAGAGGTGTTTTCTCGCGGTTCAAGTTTTTCAAAACTGGTTTAAAACAATATGTTACGTTATTGAGTGTTGAATGACGTCATAAATTCTAGGTGCGAGAAAACAAAAAATGGTCGCGCTCACCAGCACTCAACATGTTGAGTGATAAGTGAGCGGCTTTGTTGAAATGAAAACAGAAATCAGCTTTAGATCAATCAAAACTGTTCTACCTTGTGTATTCCATTTGTTGGAACAAAACCGCTTACTAATCACTCAACATGTTGAGTACTGGTGAACGCCAAGGTTAATACACACTACTAAAGATTGCTTATCAGCCTCGTTTTTGCTAATCGCCGCCCGATTAGAGTGTCACCATTTCCAACGTCATAACTAAGTCATTTAATTTTGATTAACATAAAGGACAAGAGGAAGATGAAAACGAGACCTAAAAAAGAAATGTTTAGAATATTAATTAATGTAGTAAAACCAAAGGCGTTTTCTCGCGTCCACTTTTTTGAAACTGGTTCAAAACTGTTTTGAAACAGTACATTCTCGCGATAAACCCATGACGTCACGTCAAAATTGGTTCAAACCGTTCCGAAATACAATCCAATCCACGTTTTCAAACCATTTTCTCGCGCCGAGAAATTATGACGTCATGGTGAATTACTTAAACCAGTTTTGAAACATTTGAGACGCGAGAAAACGCCTCGAGTATGCATAAGCAAAAGCCCGCGGAATCATAACCTGTAGTGCAAACAACCTACGTCAAGGTGAGAAAGGACATGCTGCCTACGACACAACAGGTGATTTGGCGTGATGGAAGCTTCACATTTGTTCCACACAGGCCTTATGAGGATAGGCGATCCTGTAGTAGTGTGCATTATCCTTGAGAGAAACCAGTCCTATGTTGGCAACACAAGCCTTTTTTACATAAAAAATTTGAAAGCTGGACAACTTTATATTCTAGGTCTGTTCACGACAAGTAGAATTCCACTAGAATTCTACTTTCATGACGTCAGGTTGCCTAGCAACCATTATCATCGCCTGTACTGTACACGATAAATAGGTCGCGACTCGCGAGTGACGTCAAAAAAGTAGAATTCTACTCGTCGTGATCCCAACCCAGGTGTTTTCTCGCATTCCAAAGTTTGGAAACATTTTTTAAAACTGGTTAAAACGGCTTGAACCAATTTTGAAGTGACGTCATAAGTTCATCCCGAGAATATACTATTTCAAACCTGTTTTGAACCAGTTTCAGAAAAGTGAACGCGAGAAAACTTGTATTGCCAATGCTAACATAATGTTATTTTGACTATTATCTTCAATTTTGAGACAAAAGTATTTTTCACCAATAGAGAGTTCTCGTGCCGTCCAAATTTCAAATAACGTAACGCTATACGACAAGTATGATAGTTCTTACGGTATTAGCGTTAGAGGAGCCCGCTATCTAACGGAAATTACCGGATGCCTTACCGTAACGCTATGTCAAAACTAGTTTACGCTCCATTTGTGTCTGCAAAAACAGCAACTTCTAATAATTCCTCCATAAAAAACACCAAGGAAAAATAAATCAAGCTCAGGAATTACAGGATTTATGTGTCTTTGTGCCTGAGAACTATAAAATACCATGTGAAATACCGTACTGTTAGCAGTACCGTATTAGCGTAACGTCTGACGCACGAAAACTTTCTAATTGTATATCCAAATCTACGATCGCTGGCGAGACCAGCTGACGACGTAATTGATGACCGATGACGTCGTTAATGGTGCTCCACAAATGACCGCGATTCGCAAAAACGACGCCGATAAGCAATCCTGTGTAGTAGTGAAGTTGTGAGCTAACATTAAGATCTTTCCCACGACCAAGGATAATACATATTACTAAGGATTGCTTATCGGCCACGTTTTTGGTAATCGCCGCCATATTGGTGTGTGTTGCTATTTTCGACGTCATAACTGAAAGCGTTTTCTTGCAAGGCGAATGGTTCGAACTACGGTTTATAAACCAATTTTTAGATGACGTCATCTCTGGTGAACGCGAGAAAATGGAAGGTTTGAACACAGTCTTATTTCAACGGAGGATAAAGCCTAGTACTCATAACTGCGAAATTCGCATTTTTTTGACATTGCTTCGACAATTTGACGTTTGATTCACGCATAAAACATCAATTTGTCAAAGCAATGTTAAAAAAGTGCGAATTTCGCAGTTATGAGTACTAGGCTAAGCCAGAAGTCCCAGGAGTGCGTTCAAAGACGGCAATGCTAATGCCAAAACCTACTTTTCCCCTTTTACCGGCAATACCAAATCTGATGTGAATTTGCTAAAACGCCAAATACCGTTTCCCAATTAGACAATCCAACCAAACCACGTGACATTCAAGATGGCGTGGCGTCCACACATGGACGAAAAAACACAAAAAAATATCTAGTTTCTGCCCAACTTAATAGTTTACGTACCTACAAATATTTTATTGAATAATCAAAATCAAAGCTGCATGCAAAACTCGAAGCAAAATAATTGAAATATGCATGAAAACACATATTCAAAACTAACTTGCTGGGCGCCACGCCATATTGAATTTGGTCTCATCCAATCAAAATTCGTATAACCATTTCTAGACTCAGTTAAAAGCACTTCCAAAAGTTACTTTACCGCGGCCGATTCTGAACGTGTAAAGCCAACCGTTTTTGGCACGCTGGAGCGGAACTTGAACGCAATATGCCAATTTTGGCTTGGCTTTAGCCGTTTTTGAACGCAGCCTTGGTTCAATGTGACGTCACTAGTTCAACGTAAAAGTGTACAGCTTCAAACCTATTTGAACCGGATCCAACCAGCTCCACCGTGAGAAAACAGCTCAAATCTGTTCTAAAAATTGATCAAAAATCTGTTCTGAACTCGTTTACTGTCAAATTAATACATTGAACTTATTCCATTTTTTGTTCGTAATTCAATCACAGTTTTAAACTATATGATAAAGTTCAACTAAAATCAGTTCCAAAACGTTTTTTTGTGTTTTAAAGACTTGTTCTGAATTAGTTCACGATCAAAAAATCTCAATAAAAGTGCCCCGGAACACATCGAATTTACTCTTTTTAATTCACAATTCATTTAGAACTGGTTTCAGATCGACTCTGAACTGATTTTAATTTGTTCGAACCTAGTTCAGAATCAGTTCTGAATTGAACTGCGTTATCAATACTGAACACTCATTTTTGTTGCGTTGTTCCGAACACACTGAATTGTTCGCAGTTCATTTAGAACTAGTTTATATAATTTTTGAACTGGTTCTCAGAGTTCCGAGTAGTTCGATTGCTGTTCTGAACTAGAGAAAATCATGAAGTAGTTAATTATTATACAAATACGGTGCACGAGAATCCTGAATTAAGTGTCCTGGATTACATTAATAATTCATTTAGAACCGGTTCCAGATCATTTCAGAATTGATTTTTAGAGTTCCGATTGCTTCAATTGCTATTCCGAATTCGGAATAAATTAAACTGTGTATTGGAGCACACTGATTGTTAGTAATTCAATTAAAATCGGTTCCGAATAGATAGTCTTGAACTGGTTCACAATCGAGCAATCTTTAATTTGTGTTCCAGATCATTGTTCAGGGTGCAACTTAGAATCAGTTCCAAATCGATTTTATTTGTTCTTAAACCTAAAAACCTGTTCCGAACTCGTTCGCCTTTTTACTCTTCAATATTCGAACCTACTCTATTTACTTCAAAGGAGTAAAAAAAAAAATACAATCTTGAACGATTTGCTCACTTAGAGCACTCGAAATATGGCCAATAGAGTAATTATGTGCATGTTTGAGTATAAGGAGGAAAATAAATAAAAATCTCAGATCAATTGGAGTAACTATTAACGTTGCCCGATTAGTTTCAAGTATAAAAAAACCTACTCTGGATCCTGAATTAGTGTTCTAGAAGAGGCAACAATAAACAAAATTTGAGTAAAAAATGTCGATTGAAACGAAATCACCTCTGAAAAATATGCAAATTAGCTTACAAAATCCGAAAATGCCGGTAACGCAGGCACCTGCAATAATAAATAGAATTCTATTTTAGTTAAGTTACTTGTCATTTTTAAAATAAAATTATTTTAAGCCGGAGTCTCGTACAGGTAAAGGTAAAGAGGAGTAGTAACCTGGATTTGGAAAATGAAGCCGTTTTTTCCCAGGTATTTTGGCACCAAGAAAATGGCGCTTATGGCAATTCAATGCTTTACCTGTATCTTGGTGCCAATCACCTGCCAAAAATTTGGTTTCACTTTCATAAGTTTCATAAGCAGAATGGCGCGTTCCTACTCCATATGTCCGTAGAACAGCGCTTTCCTGCTCTAAGCTCGTGCATCATTTCCGACGAAAAATATCCGAAAAACGTTCTATTCTGACATAATCGTATATAATTATGTCAGAAAAGAAGGTTTTTCGGACATCTTTTGTCGGGAATCGGATGCATGAGACTCCGGCTTCAATCAAAGTCGTCTTTTCGCGGGGCGAATGGTTCAAACTACGGTTGGAACCAATTTGTAAATGACGTCATCACTGGTGAACGCGAGGAAATGGAAGGTTTGAACATAGTCTTATCTCAACGGATAATAAGCCAAAGATTGCATTTCAAATTTTTTTGAGCCAGGTTCAATGTGACGTCACTGGTTCAACGCAAGAATGTACAGGTTCGAACCGAATTGAACAAGTTCCACCACGATAAAACAGCTTAAAGGCGGTTACACACGGACGTGGATGTCTGAAAACATGTACGCGCATACATAAACGTGCAAACAAAAACATCAATGTGTATGCAAAATACCGTCGCGTTTTTGAATGTGTACTCTGTAGAATGACGCTCAAATGAATGGCAGCAAATATCCAGCTAAGTTCCATAAAATTTTGTAGAGGGCGCGAGTGAACTTGGAGTGCTTTGAATTTTGGCGGTAAATGTCAATAAGTAGTTTAAAACCGTTTCAATAAGTGGAAGGAAAGATGACTACATATGAAAAATGAACAGTGAATAAGTTAAAATATGTTCCAAAACGTTCAGTGGCCCTTAAAAAATATTTTCAAAAGTGTCAGCGTCAGCTTAGCTGCTTTCCAGTATGCACATTGGCGCACTCTAGAGCAACTCGGGAGCGCCACGCACTAGATTTGTACCGTTCCAGTATCATGACATGTGACGTTTGTCCGTGTGTATAACTCGGGAGCTCAACGCTCCGAGCGTCACACCCCCATCTGGAAAGCGGCTCTAGTCTTGAAACCACACATCAAACTTGACTTTTGAGGTTAAAATTACATTCGATTATTCACGCGCCAAAATTTAAAGAGCTCCAAGTACAGAAGCGCCCTCTTCAACTCAACTGTCAATATTACATGCCATTCTGGAATCGCTAGAAATTTTGTATGCACACTCGGAATACTGTAGCAAGACTGACAGTTTTGTGCGAGCGTCTGTACAAGACTGGCGTGCACGTTGATGTATGCACATATATACTGTATACCTTTTACCCGTTGAGTTACTCGGAGCTGCTCAATGTCAAAAGCTTGAACGTTCCTTTTAAAAGTGCGTTAAGCACTCGAGTCGCTCATAGTGCATCCCCCTGATGCACCAAATTTGCGGTGGGTGCAAGAAGCCCTTTCACGGGTAATATCGGTAACGTTTATATTAAAAAATAATGATAAAATCTGAATTGTGTTTTGGAGTGACTCCGAGGAGCTCGTTTGGTGTAACTCGATGTATAAAAGGAATACAGTAATTTGTATCAAGCCATCCACGCCCGTGTGCAACCGCCTTAAGTCTACAGCTATTTGCTTTGCGTCGTAGTTTAGAATTTAAATTTATGATGAAAAATATTATTTATTTTGAATAATAGGCAAAGAGGAAGATGAAAAGGAGATCTAGAAAAAAAAACTGAGAACTAAAAAAAAAAGTTAATTAATGTAGTAAAACTAAGTTTGAATAAAGCAAAAACCCGCGGAATCATAACAAAAAGCCTATGTCATGGCGAGAAAGGATATGCTGCTACGTCACAATTGGTGATTTGGCGTGGTGGGGGCTTCAGATTTGATCCACACAGGCCTTATGAGGATAGGCTATTTTGTAGTACATCAAATATAATTTAAAACGGAGTCAATCAAAACTGCAAATTCAATGCTTCAACTTTTTATTTGCAGCTTGTTTGAATTTACTTTTCCTTTTCTTTGTGTTATTCAGTAAAGGACACTGTAACTTCTTGTGGCCCTTTTTGTTACAATTCAAACAAACCTAAAACAACTACATATCAAAAAAAAAAAATTAATACCTAATGAATTTCTTACTCCGCTAAACAAAATATTGCCGCACTTATGATCCTGTTGAGCGCATCTATTGCATTTGAAACAGTGTTGCCAATTAGGCTTGACACACCTCCGACACTTATTACAATGCGCATAAGTTTGGCCATTTTTAGAAGTACAATCCTGACAAACTTTACAATGTTTATTTTCATTGGAGACCCATTTATTACAATCTTGGCAAAACTTGTATAAATCGTTTGGTAATTTTATCAGGCTATACAAAAAATCAAATATAATATTCAGTCCAAGATAAAAATATTATGTCATACCTTGGACTAATATTAGTGAAAATTCTTACAGGTGAACCTTGTTTGCGACCTTTAGGTCCGTTTTGAAACAAAGAATGATTATCGTAGAGCACTTTATAGTCCAACATCTGAAAATCACTAAACGAATTCAAAATTTGAGGCTCCATAAAATAAGGAAAAATCCAAAACATTGGCAATTTGTTTTTGCCATATTGAGCGCTTATGGCTGAAAAGGTTTGAGCCAGTGGCTCAATTCTACCGCCAAAAGGTGGATCTGTGATTAGTACTGTGTCTTTGTTGTTGGTTCCTTTTAAAAAATCTTCAAACACTTGTTTGGCTTCTTCGAAAAAGAAGTGATTGTTGAAAGAGTTGTACCAGCAAAAGTCTAAAGGCCCAAAGAAATTGTGGAATCTATCATCAATGTCTAATAAAATACTAGACAAAGTTTTTACATTGGATTGAATGTATTCATGGATTCTAGGAGTTCCTATGCAAATGACATGTCTAAAAGGTGAAAATACTTGATTGCAACAATTGGATCTTAAGTACTTCATATATTGTCTGGCCAGGGGATTTGAGGCTAAGGGGCATCAGTGAGGAGAATGCAGTTGTGAAAAATAATGGGTGATTTTATTCATAAAATACCCAGCTGTGTCCGAAATTTTTTGAAACTTCAATATTATAATATTGCAACTTTTTCATGAAAATTAACAGTTGAAAATATGAACTATACTATACTGCATACTGCATGTCTAGTATTTTTGATCTATTTATAATTAAACATGTCAAGATTGCACATTTTCGTCCAAATTCCATCCCTTTTGTAGCTTCAGATCCCCTAGTCAGATATTACTTACTTGTATTTTAATTCTAGAAAAGTATTAACAATAAACTGAACAGATTCTTTTGAAAATAAATACTGAGCTTCTTTTTTAGCATTTTCCAACGCTGGCATAATTTCAGAAGGATGTTCCAGCTGATAGTCTGTTATATTAGACAAAAGTGAATGCTCAACATGTTTGTTTTCATGTTCTAATGTAAACATTGAACATGTTTGACAAAATGTGCGTTTATTTGGCAATAATGCTTTGATCTATTAAAGTAACTTCCTCTTTATAATCTTAATTAAATATTAATTTAATTTCTACCTTATTTAACATAATGAATCGCTTTTTATGATTGATCCCTTTAAGAAACTTTTTCCGTTCCTTTTCCCAGACTTCCAGCTTAGACTGGGACAGTTTATTCAGTTCGTCTTGCCACAAAAAAAAGCTGCACAATTTCCGATCTCTGCAAGCGGCACACGCGTAAAATTTCCTTTGATTTTCTCTGGAAAATAGCAAAGTGGGTCCGTGGGGGCATTTCGGATGAGATTTCAGGTCTTCAATTATTACTGTGACCCCTTGCAAAACTTTGTCAGCATGCACAATTGATTTCATTTTATAATAAGCTTTTGTTAATTATTATAAAGATGTATTTGTTTAAATAATAAAATGATTGAAAAAGACGGTGCTTGTTTTTTTTTAGGAAAAAAATTGAGGTTATGTTTATTGTTTTGGTTTTTGAAGGAGTGTGGTTTTGTCAAGGATTATAAGGCAAGAGGAGGACTCGTTATTGTCAAACATCGATGATCAAACGTTGATACCGACGTGACGTCATTGAAGATGCTCAAAACAATGCGAGAATCGTTATCGTCGAATTAATTACATTACATGTGGGCTAATTATTCCGGGCATTTGATAAGAATAAAAAAAAAGGAATAATCAAAAATTGATTATCAAAAAAAGTTCTAAATACTCTAAAATTCTAATGTCGTTTTGAAGCATTCCTTTAGCAAGGATATTGCACACTACCACAGGATTGTAGCAGATTGCTCATTAGGCTCCATTTTTGGAATCAAGGTCATTTTTATACGATTGCCGACATCATCAAAGGTGTCGTTAGCTGTTTACGCCAGCGGTCGTAGTTTAGAATATTTATACGGGGTGTATATTTTAAGTAATATCCGCAACGAAGCGCTATAAGGTCGGTTAAATTAGAAAAAAGTTACCTGTTTTGATGCTCATTAAGCCGATCCCAGACGCTGGTGGTATAGCGAAGGTTTGGCTTGACAATTGACCTATCTTTTTTTACCTTGACTGCGCGCACAACTCGTGGGCTACAGGTGAGCGTCCAAAGAGAAGCGAGTTTGTTACGGGCTTACGTCATATTCTTATTCAGGGGCCTGTTCAGAATTAATCATTCCTTCTTTCTTTGTAACGTGTAATTCGACAAAGAGCAAACTAATACTTTATGTATTACTTCTGAACTCCCCGCAGTGTTGTTTAAAATTATGTCAGATTATACCAATTTCTTGGCGCCAAAATATTGGACCAATAGGAATACTTCCAGATTATCGGATTGACGGAAAAACGGATGTATGAAAAGTAAGCTTAAGCTCGTATACCGAATGTTCGCAGAATACCGTAGCTTTTTGGGACCGGCTTTATTTGAGACTCGTTTACAGTGTTGCCAAATTCCTTTCAGCTTATGAAATATGAAATATTTACGGACAGGGTGAACGCCTAAAATTATATCAATGGGCCGCACTTTCACATTTTTCAAAAACATATTTAAATTATTGTTTTACTCATTCTAATACTATCTGTATGCTTTTTTTCCGAAGAAAAAAAGGCTTTTTTTTGAAAAAAAAAATTATTTAAAAATCGAATTTTTAAACTGGCGCGAAAACGCGAACTTGGTTTGTGACGTCACAAACCAGAAAATTAACAAAAATGCGAAGATGCCAAATTTCTCATTAATAAATCCTTACACATTTCACTAGCTAGAAACTATTTTCGTCCTCTACTACATCATAAAAAAATAGAGGATAGGTATAATCCCTATTAACTCATTTAAATTCCGCATTTCTACATGTGGCAACAAAAACGTCAAAATCGGCTTTAGCCAATCAGAGAGCGTTTTCAATCGCATGATTTTTCGTTTAAATTTTTAGTTTTTATTTATTAATTTTAATCTGACTGAAATTTTGCAAAATATTGTTCATTCTCGATTGCATTGATGGTATCTGCGTCAAATAATATCATAATTTGTAATATTCCCGGCACGTGAAAGTGGCCCATTATTTCGCAAACTATTGATATTCGAGACACAATTTAGATTTGAAAGTTCGCTTTACAACGTGGCACCTTCAACTTCATTTTTTTAAATACTCACCTGAATTTTTAGAAAACGCCCTTTATTCCCTTTTTAACGATAAACTTCTTAAGTATGATTGGCCTACGTTTCTGCTCTAAAAAGTGATTAACAGGGCCGAATTAAGGTAAAACTTTGATAAAAATCGCGACCAGTAGCAACGTTGGCCAAACATACCTACTTGCAAAAAAAATAGTCAGTGGCGCGTGTAATACGATGAAATTTCATAAAACTGTCCTAGTTCACCAATGACGCAATGACTAATCACTTTGAAACAATTTTGACATTAACGGCTGTATATTGTTTTATTAGGAGTATAAGTGATACTTTTTGTGGCGAGACTAAATGTTTGACAATTTTAGACGAGCCACAAAAAGTGCTTTTCTCCGAATAAAACATACGATTTTTCCCGCAAACGGTGTTCAAAGCGATGGAATCTAGGAAATTTCTGTTACGTCACTTTTTTGTCCGGCCGTGAGCGTACAAAATAGTATATTGTTGTATTAGGAGTAGAAGCTTTACTTTTTTGTGCTGAAGCGGTAGGTTTGCGAGCCGAACGTAGTGAGCCTCGGCTATGAAACACCAGCCGCGGCATTAAATCTTGTACTTTTCTGCCTAGTGAAACAAATAACTATTCTATACTGCTTGGCAACCCCAGCGGCAGCAAAAGTACTTTTAGTGCCGCTCGTACTTTTACTGCCGCTCAACCATTCACTTGCCACCAAGCTTACCCCATTCGTTTGAAGAAAAAATAGCATGTTGCATACGGAGTAGAAGCACTTTTTTGTGCTTCAGCAGTATTGCAAGCCTCACTACGTTCGGCTCGCAAACCTACTGCTTCAGCACAAAAAAGTAAAGCTTCTACTCCTAATACAACAATACACTATTTTTGTACGCTCACGGAACGCGCGGACAAAAAAGTAACCAAAAAAATGACGTCTGTGAAGTCAAACTTCAACATTAAGAATTAAGGTTAAAAAAGTCGTCATTTTTTGACGTTTGCGGAAAAAAATATTTTGATGCAACACGAGGATAATTCATTGATACGAGGTGCGTTCAAAAAGTTTGTCTCAATCTCAATGGCTACAGTACCATCCAATCAAAGGATAATACATGCTGTTACTACTACAGGATAGCCTATCCTCACCTCATACGCTCTGTGTCTTATGGCCGTTTGCACTGACTATTTTAAAAAAGGCTTAACGATAAGTATACCTTAAAGTGACATTTTTACATGTAAAACTGTCATTTTAAGGTATACTTATCGTTAAGCCTCCCTTAAAACAGTCGGTGCAAACGGACATTAGACAAGCGTAGTTCAAATTTCCTAAGCCCCCCCCACCATGCCAAAGTACCAGTGATGACATGGCAGCGTGTCGTTTTTCGCCTTGACGTAAGGTGTTTACACTATAGATTATGATTCTGTAGGCTTTTGCTTGATGCATACTTGGTATTACTACTAGTACTAATTAACATTCTAAAACAAAGAATCAAATAAATTCTGACGCCATTGACAATAAACAAGTGAACATTTATTATAAAATGGCGGAATTATGGTTAGAACATTCTAGACTACTACGTAGTAGTATTGTCTTTGACTATAGTCAAAAACTGGAATGCGCACAGATTGCCATATCTGCCAAAAAAATGAAGCCATGAAAGACAGATGCCATAAGGGGGAATGTTGTTTTTTTCTGTTGCTCGCTGACATATGACGTTTTGGAAAGTTTTGTCATATTTACCTTCACAGGTTTTATCAATTGGAATACGTGTTGGAAGCAATTTTCGCCATTTAACATAATGAGTGCGACAAAAACAGGTATCCCCTCCGCAGCAGCGGCACTAGGCTTCACGTTCCGTCAATATGTGTACGCACAAGGACGTATATTAAGGGGGGTTTTGGGGGTTCAAACCCCCCCCATTGAACTGAATAAATTATTTTTTTAAGAAAAATAAACGTTTTTGAGTGTGGAATCCGAAAAAAATTTTCGCCTTGGGCGTTATCCTCCGCCGACTAAGCTACTGTAGGGTTGTCACCTCTCCGGGTTTCACCCGGACTCTACGGGTTTTCGCATATGGTCTCCGGGCTACGGATTACTAGGTGTTTTCTCCGGGTTAGCAACAGCGCAATTCTGTTTCTCCCGGAAAAATTCTCCGAAACGCACGCGTCGTCGTTACCTACGGTCTCACTCAAGGATAATATACACTATTACAGAATTGCTCATCGGCCTTGATTTTTGGAATCAAGGTCATATGGTGTTGCACCGTTGGTGACATCATCAACGGTGTCGTTAACTGTTTGCGCCAGCGGTCGTAGTTTAGAATATACATTTATGATGAAAAATATTATTTAATTTTGATTAACATAATAGGCAACGAGGAAGATGCAGACGAGATCTGAATAGGGTTCTTTTAGAATGTTAATTAATGTACTAACACAAGTATGCATAAAGCAAAAGCCAGGGGAATGATAGGCTGTGGTGCAAACACCCTACGTCGAAACAAGAATCGACCCGATTCCTACGTCATAACTGGTACTTTGGCGTGGTGCAGTGGGGGCTTGAGATTTGATCTACACAGGCCTTATGAGGATAGGCTATCCTGTGTAGTGTGTAGTATCCTTGGATATCCCTCTCCAACCGTCTCAACTAACTCAACTAATCCAAACTAACCCAACATCAAGCAACATCCGGAGATGCCGGAGGGGATTTGTGTATAGATATATAGTAAAGTGTAATGCATCTGTTGTCAGATTTCAAGGATTTTTGTTCCTCATTTTTCTTTCAATGAACGTTTTTTTTTTCCCCAGTTCAACTTATTTTCAAAGGTGGCGTCCCTATATGCCAGGTACATCGTCTGATCTAAAATTGAAACCCTTCCCAGACCACGAGCCGCCACTGCTCTAAAACCCCCCCCATGAAAAAGCTATAGCTACGTCGTTGCGTACGCATTCCAGTTTTTGGTTATAGTTCATTGTTCTAGACAGTTGCTACATTGAATAATTATTCAAACGTTCATTGTTCAAACCAGCATTTAATATTTGACATGACATGGTGAGCAATGAGGTCCCTTCGTTAGCCGGTATTACAGATCGCTTCACCTAAAGGCCGGTTTACATTTTGAAAACTGCAAGTGTTTAGTGTTAAATGGTAATTTGACATGTTTAATAAAAGTGTTAATAAACAGCAAAATAGAATACGATTTGATTTACTTGCACTTGTAGCTTATCAACACTAATCACGTTTACAATTCAACAACTAAACACAAGCACTACACACCTGCACTTGCTACTAATCAAAGTGTAAATTGGCCTTTATGCTAACCATTCCAAAAATACATTTGACAATTTTTTTCTGCTGTCACCAAAACGCCTCGAGTTCCAGTTGACTCAGAAATCATTAATAATAATTATGGCTCTACGTGTGGCGAAGCTCCTCCTGAACCGATCAACAACCAAAAGAACCATGTCACTCAGCTCCGTTCTAAGCAAGCAGAAAAAAGTGATTTTCCCAGATCCCATCGACCACGCAACCGGTCCAGAAAAGCGCGAAATGTTGGCACTAGTTGCCGGAAACGACAATTTGTGGGACATGAAGAAGATGCGAAGGGGCGCCGGTACCCGGACTCAGCCTAACGAGATACCGTCAGCGTACGAGTGCCGGATGGTCGGGTGCGTATGCGAGGACGAGTCGTGCAGCATCAACTACATGTGGCTGTACAAGGGCCACCCGAAGCGGTGCGAGTGCGGACACTGGTTCCAACTCGTACAGAAAGCACCAGTGTAATAATTATTATTGTTTATGTTCTATAGTGGAATGAATTAATTGTTAATTTGTTACTTTTGTTTTATTTGGAATAATAATAATTAGCCTTTACTACATATATCCATATCTTTTGGAGATGTTTAATAATTATTGATCGGATTTAAAACAAGGAATCAATCATAAAAATCCACATTCAGTCCATGATCCACTTCCTCTAGCATTTGTAGTTTACTTTCTAATCTTTCAACATTCTTCTTGACTTTCAATATTGGCTGATTCGTTCTTCTTGTCAAATGATTTCTCCTTTTCCTTGTTTAGTTTTTTTAAATCTTACGTCTTTATCGTGTTTGATCTTGTGATTATTTCTAGTTTATTGTTTAATCTTTCGACATTTTTCTTGAGCGGTTCATTGACTTTTATTTGCTCTTTCTTCCTTCTTGTTAAATGATTTTTCCTTTTTCTCCTTCAATACGTTTGAATCTCAGGTTCTTATGTGTTTTTCTATATTTTTAATTTATTTTCCAATCTTTTAACATTCTTCTTGGGAGATTCTTTGACCTTTATTATTTGCTCATTCTTCTTGTTAAATGACTTTATCTTTTTCCTGGTTTAGTAATTTCGCGTCTTTATTGTGTTTGATTTTCTATTAAGTATTTTTTATTATTCAATATGGGATTGAAATTTTTATCAACATGGAAAAATTTCTCGACTCTATTTCCAAACTCTAGATCCACACTGTCTTATGGAAGACAGTTTAATCTATAAATTTTGAAACATAAAAGTCGCTGTGACACTTGGAATTATTTTTCAGAAACTCTCTTATGAGATTTCAGGAGAAACTCTCAATTTCCTTTCGGAATTAAAATGGAAAACAAAAACTAACTCTACCTATTTCCAATAAGGTCTAGATCCATGTTAAAGCAAACATTTGTCGTATGAAAAACACTTCAATCTATAAATCCAGAAATTTGAAGTCAATGCGACGCTTGGAAGTATTTTTTAGAAGCTATCTACTGAAATTTTTGGGGAATTTTTAAGCTACATATAATTAAAAATAAACTTACAAAAATTTCTTGACTCTATCCCCAAACTCTAGATCCACTTTTAATCTATAAATCCTGAATATTTATAGTCACTGCTGCGACGCTTGGAAGCATTTTTATAGGCTTTCTAATAAGATTTTAAGAGAATTTCTAAACCTTCTTCAGAAATCAGCATGAGGGAAAAAAGCCTTACTAATTCCAAGTTCTAGATCTACTTCCGCTTCAATTTGCCTCAAAAAATGTCGTTCAATCTATAAATCCTGAAAATTTAAAGTCAGTGAGACGCTTGGAAGTATTTTTCCGAGGGTTCAGGAGAATTTTTAAGCCTAACTCTATTTCCAAGCTCTAGATCCACTTATAATTCCTTACGAAAGACACTATGAAGTATTTTTTAGAGACTCTCTAATGAGATTTATGGTGAATTTTTCAATTCCCTTTAGGAATCAACATGGAAGATAAATATTATTTCTATTTCCAAGCTCTAGATCCACTTTCGTTATAATGTGCCTCATAATTCTGGGAATTTGAAGTCCCTGCAACATTTGGAAGAATTTTCCATCTAATGAGATTTTGTGCGGACAATCTTTAAACTTTCCTAGAAATCAACATGGAAAAAAGATCTAAACTCTATTTCCAAGCTCTAGATCCATTTTTGTTATAATATTCCTTATGAAAAACACTTTGATCTATAAATCCTGAAAATTGAAAGTTACTGCAACACTGGAAGTATTTTTTAGAGATTCTCAAATGAGATTTATTTATGTCAAACTTTTCAATTTCCTTTAGGAATCAACATGGAAGAAAGATATTATCTTTATTTTTAAGCTCTAGATCCACTTTTGTAATAATGTGCCTTATAATTCTGGAAATAATCTAAAAATTCTGAAAATTGAAAGTTACTGCGACACTTTGAAGTAAATGTTTTAGAAACTCTCTAATGAGATTTATGTCAAATTCAAATTTTTCAATTTCCTTCAGGAATCCACATGAAAGAAAAATATCTCTATTTCTAAGCTCTAGATCCACATTCGTTATAATGATGTGCCTTATAATTATGGAAATTTAAAGTCCCTGCGACATTTGGAAGAATTAACCAACTAATGAAATTTTGTGCGGACAATTTTTAAACTTTCTTATGAATCAACATGGAAAAAAGATCTTAACTCTATTTCCAATCTGTAGATTTAGTTCTGTTATAATATTCCTTATGAAAGACACTTTAATCTATAAATTCTGAAAATTTATTTATTTAAAAAAAGTATTTTTTAAAGACTCTCTAATGAGATTTATGGAAAATTTTTCAATTTCCTCTATAGGAAATTAACATGGAAGAAAAATATTAACTCTATTTCCAAGCTCTAGATCCACTTTTGTTACAATAATTCTGGAAATTTGAAATCCCTGCGACATTTGGAAGAATTTTCCATCTAATGAGATTTTGTGCGGACAATTTTTAAACTTTCTTAGTAATTAAGACATATATTTGACAGTGAGAATGAAATTTCAAGCCGATCCAGTGAAAAATTACCGTCGTACTGAAATTTTACTGATTTGTTTTGGATTTCATAAAATTATAGTTAGTTAGTTAGTCTTGTACTTTCTATCTTTTTTTTTTTTTGAATGAATTGAGACAGAATGAAGCAAATTGACACTTTAGATGCAGGTGTCAATACACGCGATTTTCAAATTATTTTTGATCCTTAAAACATCAAAATGGCTGAAACCCAACTGAAATTTTTCTGATTTGTTTTCGTTTTCATAAAATTATAATTGGTAGCCTTATGTTTCCTATCTTTTTTCATGTTTTGAATAAATTGAGATAGAATGAGGCAAATTGACGTTTTTGACGCAGCCTTCAATAAACGAGGTTTTCAAATTTTTATTTTTGATTCTTGAAACACCAAAATGGCTGAAACTCAACTGAAATTTCACTGATTTGTTTTGGATTTCATAAAATTATAGTTGGTAGCCTTGTATTTTCTATCTTCGTTTATTTTTTGAATAAATTCAGACAGCATGAAGCAAATTGACGTTTTTGACGCAGCCGTTAACAAACGAAGTTTTCAAATTTTGATTTTTGAAACATCAAAATGGCTGAAACTCAACTGAAATTTCACTGATTTGTATTGGATTTCATAAAATTATAGAGAGTAGCCTTGTGCTTTCGATCTTTTTTTATTTTTTGAATAAATTAAAATAAAGTTAAAACTACATATTGCGAAACTTGGAATTTCTTCAAGGAAAATAGAGAAAATATGATAAAAAAATTTAAAGCTGATCTACTAAAAAACTTTTCGTTAAGAAAAATCATAAAGTTTCACTGTCAAAAAACTCGCGATTTCTCATGTTCCATTTACCTTTTCTCTGTGGAAAAGTAATGATTATAAAAAATTGAGCAAATAGACTCAATCCACAACCGAAATTTTTTTTCATCAAAATTTACATAAAGTGTGCGTCGTCACGTTCCTGCCAAAAAAAAATAGTCACCCTCCGAATCCGAAACGTTGCCGCCTCAGTTTTCAGTCGAACGTCGCGACGCCTGGACAATGGACGCTAGAGTCGATTCCGACGCCGCTCCGAACACTTGTTGAAACTTCACAGACGCTCAATTTTTTTCAAAAGTGAATTTAAGTTTATTTTGTGTGATTTCTACTGGAATTAATATAAAGAGTTTTTAAAAGGCAAGTTTAGAAAAAAAATAATTTTATTTGAAAAATTTATTACGTATTATTTGATGAAGTTAATTATTAATATATATATATAAATTGAAATTCAATGCTTGCAACCACAAGAATTGTATGGATGTAATAATTGAAATTCACCCTCATATTTGTAACAAATATTTGAAATTAATTCAATTGAAAACAATGCATGGATTTAGTGAAATGCAAATTTCTAGTTTGCAACTTTTAATAATAAAATATTGGTTGTTTAGAATTGTAAATTTTCCATAAATCTCTGCCAAATTGAGTTTGATAGGTTTCTCAAAAACTATAAACCTAAAAATATTTTCCAATACAGGTTTTTTAGAGCCTAATAGGAGCTACAATTCCTGAAAATTTTAATTCAACATCTCCATAGATTTCAAGATATTGAAGCAAAAAGATTTTGAAATAAAAATCCAAAGCAGATTATCTCGAAAACTTAGCCATAAACTAACACTGTTAAAAAAATTATCTCAAATTTATATAAACTTTACGTAAATGTCACAGATTTTTTCACTGAGGAGTGTGTTTCTTCAAACTTGAAAGATAGACGTTGAAATGAGCGACTTTTGAAAATTTTAATTGTGAATACTGTATTTCTGGAAAACAACATCAAAAGACATTTAAAAATTCAATGAGACCTCGTAACCTTTTACACCTCGAAATAATAATTTATAATTTATTTAATTATTATAACTTCCTGTTCTATAAGCGTATAAAATCCCTGAACTCGCTTACTGCCTAATTTTGTACAATAGGTACTTATACTCAAAATCTTGTATTTAGAGTAAATACTATCAAAACAACGAACATTTTATCTAAATTCATTTAATTAGAAACCAAAATATCTAACTAATCATTTACCTACTAGACGAAACAATAACAGTCAATTCTCTTCAGTAAAATTCATTGCAATTTCAGACATTTGAATTAAATTTCTGTACCTATACTAAGCACAAAAATATTCAAAGTCAATTCACTCAAGATAATGATATTTATGCAATAACATTTCATAGTCAATTCACTTCATAGTCATTTCAATCATTGATAAAGTCAAAATAAAACTTGTCACTAGAGTACTTACATCACTGTTGCCAGGTCAAAAAAATTTAAATCACCAGAAATCTTGAAAGTTGATTTTTCAGGAAAATTCTCGCCTTACGGGCTTATATCAGACCAAGTAGGCTTTGGAAACATGTATGTATTGCAATGTCGGTATTACAGAGCGCCATATTTAAATTTTGAAATTTTGCAAAGCCTACTTTGTCCCTTGTCAAACAGTGTTGCCAACTACAACTTATAACAAATATTATGTCAATCATTGAGGCTCAAATTTATACAAAAAAAGCCCAAGTAGGCCTTGCAAATTTCAAATTTTCCATAACAGTAATTATATAAACATCGGCAACACTGTTGGGCAAAATGTCAAATATCATTTATGACAAGCGATAAGATTACTACTTATCAAAAACTAAGTGAACCTTGAAGCAATCCTGGGCTGGAATCATGACAAGTAGAATTCTATTTTCATGACGTCACCCGCGACCTATTTATCGCGTATACTACAGGCGATGTTCACTGTTGCTAGGCAACCTGACGTCATGAAAGTATAATTCTAGTGGAATTCTACTTGTCGTGATCCCAGCCCAGGTTTTAATCGATATCGATAATACAGATAACTGTAAGCAAAAAATTTATCAAATCAAGTAGGTCTTGGAAACAACCTAGCCATTTTAAATTAACTGTCAAAAACTACAGGGCCTACTTTGAAACGTTAAATTGCGTTAGGGTTACTACATTTTTGGACTAGGGTTGCTAACTGCCGGAAAAGATTATAATATTTAGGTTTGACAGTTTGACTATTAGATGACATTGTGGCCCATAGACAAAATTTCGGATTGGAAATTCGATAATGCCATATGGTACAGGGGAAAATGTGGCTCATTGTTGCCACATTTTGCACAATATCTTAAGAAGCTTAACAATTGGATATTGTTTTGAGAATCAAATGATTGCTTAGAGGAAATCAGGTAATCAATTGAGAATGATATAGGAAACCCCTAAAAAATGGAAATCACCTGGTAAATTATTTAACAATCATAAGTAACTAGTTGTAATTCTTGGGAATACATGGGATTTATTGATCAATGATTGTAGTAATTTTTTTTTTTTTTTTTTTATTTCCAAGTAAATCACAGGATATAACAAAACAATATATAAACTTAGGGGTTGTTTAAGACCTAGAGCGCGAGACTATATGGGTCATTCAATATAATATGTTAAATCTACGTGAGGCTAAATGTATCAGGAAATTTTTCCTTGTTGTCATACTATTTATGCAGAGAAAAAGTTGCTGTAGATTAGTTCTTTGAGTCTCCGTTGAAAGGGCGTTATTCTGCGACATTCTTTCACATTTTGTGGGATCTTGTTGTATATGTTCAAGCCTTTTGACATCATGCTTCGTTGTCCACTAGTGGTTCTTGTAGCTTCTGTCCTCAATGTTTGGTTGTTACGGGTGTTGTATTGGTGGATTTGGTTTACAGTGGTGAGAGTGATATTGGAATGAATGTTTGATATTTGAATGTTGTGAATAAATGTGCACGTTTGAAATATATAAAGTGAATTAATGTCCATGATTTTATTTTGATTGTATAGTTCTGCAGTCGGAAACAATGTAGGCAATTGAAAAAGTTTCTTGAGGGCTCTGTTCTGGAGAACTTTTAGGGGTTTCAGGTGGTTGGCAGTTGCATTTCCCCAGACAAGCGTTAGGTATGAGAGATGGCAGTGGATAAGAGAATGATATACCATTTTGCGATGGGGAGGACACAGGAACCTTGACAGCCTACCCAGGATTCCTACCGCTGGGGAAATTTTTTGACATATTTTTGAAATGTGAAATTCCCAAGTGAGTTTATGATCAATGAGCAAGCCAAGCACTTTTATACATTCTTCTTTTTTGAACTTGTATTCACCTAGGTCTAGTATTATATTTCGCCAGTTCATGTTGTTTAATATAGTCATGTAGCTGCATTTGTTGATGTTCAGTGAAAGCTTGTGGTAGCAAAGCCAGTTGTGGATTTTTGTTAGGTCTTCTTTTATACTCGTTTGTAGGGCTGTGTGATCATTTCCAGAGTACAGAAGACATGTATCGTCAGCATATAGGCATAGCTTGGAGCTTAGGTCAAGTTTAATTAGAGATGGAGTTCATATAAACAAGAAACAGGGTGGGTCCCAAAATCGATCCCTGTGGCACGCCTCATGTGACATCAGCAGCCTTGCTCAGTGTGTTGTTAATACAAACGTGCTGAATTCTTCCTGTGAGATAGTCCCTCAGCCAGGCCAGTTCCATACCTTGGACACCATTCTGTTCAAGGGTGGATATCAGAATATTGTGGTTGACGGTGTCAAACGCCTTCGGTAGGTCTAGGGAGACAAGTATGCAGTTGGAGCCTTTATCCAATTTAGAATAAATATCAGTTACTAAGTCTGTGGTGGCTGATATTGTACTAGACCCTTTTCTGAACCCATACTGGTATTTAAAAAATATATTTGAGAATTCAAAATAATTCACCAACTGGTTATTCATGCACGACTCTAAGATTTTTGAGAGAGCAGGCAGAATTGAGATAGGACGGTAATTGCTCGGGAGTCTCATATCATCCGCTTTAAAAATTGGTACAACTTTGGCCCTTTTTAGAAGGTTGGGAATACAGCCCGTAACAAAAGTAAGATTGGTAAGTTGGCACAAAAGAGGAGCCAGTTCGTTCTTGAATTCCTTAAGAATATTGGTGCTGAAGTTGTCCAAACCAGGAGACGCATTTTTTTTCAGTTTCCCAATTATATCTTCAATAATTTCGATAGTCACCGTCTGGAATTGGAAACTTGTATAAGCAGGTGTAGGGTCATCAGGCAGATATTGTACTACAGGGATACTGTCTGCAAGTGTGCTTCCTATTTTAGAAAAGTATTCATTGAAAATGTTTGAGATGTCTTTGGCATTTGTATAGGTCTTATTGTTGCCTTCTATTTCTTGTATTGTTGTTTTTACTTTTTTCGGTCTCGAGTTGCGTATGATGCTATTAAGTACTGCCCATATTTTTTTACTATTGCCATCGGAGTTTTTCAATTGATCGGAGAAGTATGTTTGTTTTGCCAGGTTCATGGCAGCCTTGAGTTCCCTTTGAGAGGAATAGGGTACTTGCATGGAAAATTAAATTGATTATTTTTTATTGCAAACTGTAGGAAATCTAAAAAAAATCGTTACTTTTTTTTCATTTCGCCCAAATATAATTATTTCGGAAGTTATACAAATATTAAGTTTTGTATATATAGATATACTGAGCATGTGCGACGTCATAAAGTATTATACCTGATGACGTCATAGGCATATTTCATAGCTTTGTATCTCCGTCAATTTTTGACTAAGAAGAAAAAGAAAAAACACGTGTTGACTTATTTTTCATGGACTATCGAAATCAGCAATAAAAAAATTTCATGCAAGGGGCCTATTGTATTTTCCCAGTAGATATTCACTTCGAGGAAATTGCTTGTGCCTTTTATAATGGAAGTCTCTTTTCTTCACAAGATCGTACAAATGTCCATTGAATCACGGAGCACTATTGGGTCTGAATCTGTCTTTAAATGTATTGGTTGTCAGATTGCTTAGAAAAGTTCTGATGATGTCATCACAGAGAACGTCAGGGTCATTCTATTGTTGGCGACTTAATTCTTCAAGTTTCCTCTTAAAATTTGCTTTATTTAGCACTGTTACTGAATAGTGATTTTTCGGTTCTATCAGCTTATTAGATATAATATTTAACAGATGTGCTTTATGGTCACTGATTGAATCATCAAATATTGAAAGTTTTAAAGCTGAGTTTAACCAGTCTGTTATTACATAGTCTATTATAGTGTTAGAGAAAGATGACACTCTTGTTGGATACTTTTTGTTTCAAGATTTGGAAACCATTTGATGT